GAAAATTGGAAATTAACTATTATAATATCCTCTAGATTATGACTATTGATAGACCCTTGAGCTCATGCACACTCTAAGCACAAGTTAGAATACGTTATAATTATTAAGTAGTTCGTACTTAACATTTTAGAATTTTGTTACTAATCTTGAGAGGTCATCTTAATTATCATTAGAGAACTTGAAGAGTCTTGTAGTTTTGAGCACAGTAGGTGGGCAACACTTCCAAGTGAAGAAGGTTGAAATAGTTTGGTGTAGACTCATGGTAGAAGGTGGACATTAAAACTCATTCTAAGTTGAAAGTAGAACACACTCACATTCTTCTTACACATCTTATCTCAACATGAAAAGATGACTCTTTTTACATAGAGAACTATTAAGGTCATGTCTGATATCTAGATTATTTGGCTACTTGAATGGTTGCTTAATAGTTTGAAATATGTCACATCCAGATTTATATTTCTAAACTATTGAAATATATTTTAATATTACAAAATCAACACTAATTGAATAACATTGAGTTTTTATATAAGGCTGGCTTCATTGAACTCTTCTAACAAATAACTTTCTAATGATTATGTGTATGAGTTATTGACTTTAATTACTACAAAAAATAAAATCATTGTCACATATGTATAATGATGATTTTTTTACTTTTAAGTAGTATTAAGTTTATGCCTAAACATTAGCTTTTCTACCCTTGAACGAATTTCACATAGTAAATCCATTGAACATTATAATGTATGTTTTATAAACTTAATCAGAAGTTTATGATCTTGAAATTTTTCCCAAATTTCTATGACTTTCAATATTTAAACTTGTGCACTTAATTTTTACCTTCAAGCTTTTATTCTAAAAGTATTCATAAGCTGTGTTTTTATACACAAATACTTATAACTCTCAATGTATTTTTTAAAATATATTATTTGTGGAAATGAAGGGTTAAATAACAATCCTCCCATTTTATAGGGACCTAGAATGGGAAAACCACCTGAAAAATTCTGTTTCTATCCCCATTGACATCTACAGGTATGTCTATACAATTTCATGTCTCTCCCTCCCTCCCTCCCTCCCCCCCTCTCTCTCTCTCTCTCTCTCCCTCTTCCTCCCTCCCTCCCTCCCTCCCTCCCTCCCTCCCTCCCTCCCTCTTTCTCTCACTCTTGTCTCTATCTCTTTGTTGAATCGTTAGTGGTGACATGTAACCCATGTGGAATACACTCCACCTAACCCCAAGCCAAGCCAAAGAAGGAGCATAATCTAAATGATGGGGTAGCAAATGATTACCCAAGATAGGACCAGATAAGTGGAAGCTGATCTTGTAACTTATGTTGTTATAGTGCATGTGGCTGGACAAGTTGTGTGGGCAGCAGAAGGATCTGGTGGTTGTCCAAGACAACTATCAAACCTGACCAATGGGTGACATCATGTTCCACATTCATTAGATTTGACAGTTAGACTAGATCCTAACTAATCTGACGATAGTGGGGAAGTAGTCCTCATAGAGCTAGAAGATAATGCCTTTATGAACGACCAAGCACTACTTTTAGAAGCAAATAATTTTTTAGGAGAATTCCATTTAGAGCATGAGATTACTCATCTTATATTGGTGGCCCTATAGCCTAAGAGGTCACGGTTCCTCTCCTTATCTTCCCAGTGTATTCTAGCTTCTTAGCCTTAGTGTTGTTCCCTTACTTTATTCATCTTTCTCTCTTTCTATGTTGTATTCATCAACATACCTCGATTATGGGGACTATTATCATTGGTCAAGGCTTGTGTAGAAGTATCTTCTTATTTGGGTGACCATCTAAGGGGAGGATATAAGAGCTGAACCTGATGCAATAGGGCCCAAGCCTAATGATTTGAAACTTGAATACATGGAGAAGGATCTTGAGGAAGTTTGGCATGCACTCCTCAAAGATCAGGTGGCAAATAAAGAAATATTACAAGAGTTATGGGTGGAAAAAATTAAAAAATCATCAGCAATCGGGGTCTCTGTCCTAATTACTTGATACTCTACATCATTAGCTGCCCCTCCTACTAAAATGTGTCAACAAGAAGAAGTCTCCTCCATATCTTTTAGAGGTTTGGGCCCAATGGGAGAACAACTTGAGCCAGCCTAAATGTTGAGCAAGTGAGTCAATTGCCAAATGAGATATGTCGTCAGGACATAACATCTCAAGATGACTGACGGAGACTTAAAATTTGTAAGGGCCACTGACTCAGGCCCTCGACAATAGCTATAATTCACTCTCTTCTCTAGTATTGACTCATAAGGTTTGATCTATTGTATAAAATTTTATTTCTTCATGTACTAGTTGACATGGCCTGAACAACTAACAGACATGTCTTAGTATGGAAGGAAAGGTCTTCTATTGGTTCATGTGGGTTGGGGCCCGACAACACTTTCATGGTTGAAATGACCCTAAACTCCAGCTCTTGGAGTGATGCGGCCACAAGCCAGCTCGTTTTGTCAACAATTCCTTGAACTAGAATAGAACAAGATGGTGGAGGAATACCGTGAATAATTCGAGCTATTATTAGGCATCATCAAACATATTCTCAAAGATACCCTCGAAGTTACTTTTCTTCAGGGTCTTTAGTGTGAGATTTAGGTCAAAGCCTATACCCTCAACCCCCATGGACTTGAGGCCATCATGCGGGCAGCTCAAAGAATTAAAACCAAGCTGCGAACTTTGGCCGACAAAGGATTTACAAGTCAACTAAGGCTAGTTTGAGGTCTAAAGAAGGGGGCCTCAATTTATGACTATTGAAGTAAATGCATCTTAGTATATCATTAGTTTCAGGTCCTGAAGACCCTACACAAGAAGAAGGTGAAACCCACCTTGATTTGATAAACTTCGAGATGATGGTGCCTACAAGGTTGCATCTCACAGTCTGATCAATTACCAACAACAGTTTCATCTCATAGTTGCTGAGATATAGTCTAGGTGGGTGCATGATTATACTTTTATTGCGATAAAAAATTCTCACCAAGACGTAAATATAAGTAGGGGTTGCATATCAAGTTTACACCAGTCAACTCTGATTATCTTTTAGAATTTTTTTAGACAAAAGATAATAGTTTAAATAGCACTAAGAAGATGTCACTTAGCCCAATTAGAGGCTAATGTGCACTTGTCCTTGTGTTTAAATACACATTCTTTAATAATATTTATAACTAAGATAATAAAATATCAGTATAGAAGTAAGTCTCAGGTCAAACACAAGGAGATTGATTAATCTGTTGTGAAAACTAATTTAGTTTATATATAAAGTGATTTTAATATTTTATTATATTTAATAGAAATAATAAAATAGAAGGGTGAGGTGATAAGAATAAAGGAAGGGAAGTGAAAAAAAGGAAAGAGGAAAAGAGAAAGAGAAGAGAGAAGAGGAAATCTCACATGAGATGGAGAAAGAGAGATCTCACGAGAGAGAGAAGAGAGAGAAAAGAGAGAGAAGGAAATCTCACGTGAGATAGAGAGAGAGAAAGGTTTCACAAGAGAGAGGGAGAGAGAGGGAGAGAGAAGTAGATCAATCGATGTAGAGAAAGAGAAGGAGATCAATCGAGAGAGAGGGAGAGAAAAAGAGAGATCTCATGAGAGACAGAGAAAGAAGAAGAGGTCTCATAAGAGAGGGAGAGAGAGAAATAAGACAAAAATAAAGAAAGAGAGAAATATGGTCAACCCATTTTCACAGTGACCATTATTCTTAGACGAATGTGTGTTCGAAAATTTACACACATGATATGAGGTCAGTTGTGAATATCTTCAGTTTGTTTTAATTGTTGAACGCTCATTAATCAGCCTTCAATCTCGATGATTTCACGTTCGAAAGTAAAAAAATACTCATTATTTGAGAAACACCGAAAACATGAATATGTCAAGATTCGGCTGTAAAAAATAATAGAAAATAAGTTGAAAATGATGTTAGCTTGATCTTAGACGAGTTTCAAAGGATTCAGAAGAAGAATGAAGATCATTCGTCAAGTTTTGAATTAGTTCTACTTTTTTCAATTGAAACATGTATGAAATTGAAATAACTTATCGTAAAATATAAATAAATGACAAAAGTAGGTAAGTAAATACTAAAAATAGGAAATAAATTATTGTCTAAGTTTAGTCTATCTCTTGGGTAATTGGAGACACCAGTGTGGCGGCTTGGTTTCGTTTGGACATGTCACACCATGCTAGAAAATACATAAGTATCATTCGGAAGTGTTGTATCACTTGTTAGAGAGATCTGCCAAAAGAGGGGTGGACCACACTATCACCGTCATTTGGGAGGAAAAGAGAAGAGCTGACTACTCACCAGAAGCCTTTAGTGTAGTCAGGGGAGGAAGGAACGAACTTGTCGATCATCGGAGGTGTTGATTATGTAAAAAGAGGGAGGAAATGGATTGTTGTATTTGCGACTGCCATTGAGATTTTAAAGATAATCAATAATATTTATTTTACTAGATAATAATTAATTATTGTCTTTATATCCCTAATGATGATACATGTGAGAACTTAAGTTCTCAGTACTGTGGCACTTCGTGAGCTGCTGAATTAGATGTGTTTGGTCACATGGTGCACTGAGTGACGCAAAATCAACCCACCACGAACCTTTGTCGATTAGGAACTTAAGTCCATAGTGTCCATAGTATTATGGTGACTCCTTAATTGTCGGATCATCATCTAAGGCCACATGCGTGTTGAGCAGCGTTGGATTCGTGAACCGCTGATGGATCACTTTACGCATCTAATATAGTGGTGGCTCACCTAGTGTAAGATCTGACTTATCTGATGACATGACTTGCTGAATACTATTGGTTCACACCGCACTCCACATGGTAGTCTTGAGATAGACAAAAACTTTTAGTCCCACATTATAAATATTTTGGATGCATGAGCCAAATATAAATTAAAGCTATCATCTCTCATCAGAGATCCCTTCTCTCAAAATAAAATAATGCCCATGACTATCTTGGGAGAAGGCAAAAATAGTGCTAATTTGCCAACATGTGGAATGTTTTTTTAATAATAAAAAATTATGCTAAGTATTTTAACTTCATACTAATAAAATTAACAATATATCCTATAATTATTCTACAAGTTAATAAAATAAAATAAAATAATAAAACTAATTAAAACACAAAAACTTAAATTTAATAGAGGTCACCTAGTATTTCATCTTAAGGGATGTAGATAGCTGTACGATATGCTTTTGAGAAAAAAATCAAGGATACCTAGTGACTTCTACTTGACACAGGGCTACTTAATGATTTCATCAAATAATGTTTAGTTGAAGAGTTTAAACTACCTTTGATTAAGACAAACACATTTCGTGTGACCACCGATACTAGAGAAATGGTGGTTGGTTTTGAGATGTGCTGCAAGTTTGTCATTGATTTGTAGGAGGCCACTGTTTCAAATGATTTCTTCCTATTCCCACTAGTGTCCATAGACATCATAATGAAATGGTGTCATTCGATTGAGTTAGACCTCAATGAGTGGACAATGTCTTTCCTAGCCATATTAGAGATGGTCGTTCTTACTATGGAGCCTTTGAAATCTGCCAACTAACTCAAGCTTTAGAGGCAAGCTGCCTTTGTACCAAAAAAGTTTATTTTCAAAATTTTCAACTGACAACTAGCTAACAAAAGGAGAGAAATAGACAATTGACCATTGAGCTGCATGAATAACTTTTATAGGCATTTGTAGACATCATCAACCTCCCTCCAATTTGAGGCCTAGAACTCGAATCAGAAGGAGGTTGGTACCCTATTGCCCAAAGACAGAGCTCAAGAAATTGATGACTAAATTGTTGATGAAAAGGCTCATTCAACACTCTTATAATTCGTTCTCGTTCTTGACTCTTCTTATTTAGAAAGATAATTTTTGACATTTTTGTATAGATTATTATGTGCTCAACAAAGTGATTATTCCATATCATTTTTCCATCATGATTGTGGAGGAGGTTACTAAAGAACTACATGGCATCATCATCTTCACCAAATTGGACCTCCGATTAGTGTATCATCAGATTTGCATTGGTATATAAGACATTCTAAGTATAGTCTTTAAGACATACCAAGAACATTACAAATTTCTCGTAATACTTTTCGAACTCACCAATACTCAAAATATATTTCAAGCAACTATGAATCGCACCTTCTCCTAATTCATGTAGATTTTCTTCAACAACACCCCAATATGTAGCAAAACAATTGAAGAACATGCCACGCATTTGTCAAAGGTGTTTAATCTATTTCAAGCTCATCAATTTCACATTTATGATAAGAAATGTATGTTTGATTAGTCACAAATATCTTACCTTAATCACTCAATATTGGCAAAAGGGGTGGTTGTGGACTTGAGAAAGTCATTGTGGTTAACAGTTGGCCAACCTCGATGAACCTTTGGGAACTTAGAAGATTTTTGAGGTTGGGCAAATATTATTAGTGCTTCATTGAAGGTTTTGGCACACTAGCATGGCCATTGACACAACAATTGAAGAAGGATTCCTTTGGATGGAATCCTACAGTAAGACATGTTACAACATCTCAAACACATATAACGATAGTTTTAATACTATCTCTCTCTGATTTTACCACTTTGTTAGAACTTAAGGCAGATGTTTCCAACTATGGAGTGGGTGCCCCCCTCATGCAGCAACAATGACTGGTAGCCTTCTTCAATCAAACATTAGCTATCACTCATTTGAGGAAGCCCAATGTACGATCACGAATTGATTACTATTGTCTTGGCCATACTTAAATAACATCATACTTATTAGGGTGCTTATTAGTCATTCATACAAACAAGCATAGTCTTAAATAGATGTTGGAATAGTGTCAAATACTTTTGGATTATCACAAGTGGCTGGTGATGATCATCTTATTCAAATTTGTTTCAAGTCCGACAATGAAAATTGAGTGGGGGGACCTTATTTTGTGCACCGGAACAAGTATGACTTTAACACATACAAATCTCATCCCAAACTATTAGACTTAGATCATATCAACTAGGAAAACTATCATGACTCCTAATTGCAAAGGATTATAGACACACTTCTAACTAACTTAAAAAAAAAAAAACATTATACAATCTAGCAAGGTCTTCACCTCCATAATGATATCTTGTTCTTTCAAATTCATTCATCATTATTGTGCAAACTTCATGATTTAGTAGTAGGTAGTCATTTTGGCTCAAATACAATGTCTATAGAGTGAGAATGAAAGAACATGTGAAGAAGTATGTGATATCCTGTGGGATTTGTCAAGCCAACAAGGTGTAAACACTTTTATTGTTGGGGCTCCTCTAGCCACTATTAATTTCATAGAAAACATAGAAAGACATCATGATGAACCTTCGTCTAATGATAGAATGCCGTCTTAGTCATCAATCATCAGAGTAAGCATATGCACTTCACAAGTTTGCACCATCTGTCTATTGCACAAGCTGTGGTGGAGATTTTCTTTAGAGACATTGTCTAATTGCATGAGTTTTCGACATTGATCTTAATACACTATGACCACATCTTTATGAGTCATTTTTGGTAGACTATTATGTCAGCAAGACACAACTCTCTGATGGATTAGCACATATCACTTGTAGATTGACAATTAGATAGAAGTTGTCAACCACGGATTGAAACATATCTCTGTTGTTTTACATGTGAACATCATGAATAGTAGCATAAATAGCTTCTTTAGATGGAATTTCGATTCAACACAAACTACAACTGCTCCACAAGAATCACCATGTTTCATATTGTTTACGAATGACCACCCCAATCTTGGTCAGATTTGTTAGAGATCAAGTGATGTTCGGAGATGTGGAGCAGCTGTTGAGGGAGCATGATGATGTCATGCACCAGCTTGAGTAAAATTTGGAGCATGCTTAATCTAGAATGAAAATGTTTGCTGACTGCCACTAATGTGAGGGTGAATTTGTTTACCTTTGCCTTCAATCATACCGTTATATGACAATGGTGAGATGCCCTTGTGTGAAGTTGACACCGTATTTCTACAGGCCATTCAAAGTCATGAAACATATTGGGCCGTTCACCTACCAATTTAAGCTTCAATCCATGGCCAATATTGATTCCATCTTTCACATTTTTTAGCTCAAATGGGTAGAATAGAGGGCAAACAATGGGATAACCCTATCCCTACTAGCAGATGGCGACTTGTGTTTAGATGGCAGAACCAAGTGTTCTTTAGATGTCCAACTTCACCCTAGTAGGTCAGAAGTCCTGATCTAATGGGAAGACATGCTAGTCGTAGATATCATGTGAGAACTTGCTTGAGGTATCCTTGAACAGTTGCCACATTTTCACCTTTAAGACAAGGTGTGAAAATTGGGAGGGAGTATTGTTGAATCGTTAATGACCGTAAGTAATTCACGCAGAAATCGCTCCACCCAAGCCCAAGCCAAGCTAAAGAGAGAGCATAATCTAATTAGTGGGGCAGCAAACGAATGGTGACCCAAGACAAGATCAGAAATAAGTAGAAGCAGATATTGTAAAGGACGTTGTTATAGTGGATCTAGACAAGTTGTGTAGGCAGCGGAAGGATATGACAATTGTCTAGGACAGTTCTCAAACCTGATTGAAGGGGCCCTCACAGAGTTAGAAGATAGTGGCTTTAAGAACGACCAAGCACCACTTTCGAAGCTAGACAATTTTTGAGGAGAAGGATGCCATATCAGTAGTTTTCTATTTACTTATCCCATTTTTTACAGAATCGATTCCCCGCAGGAGATTAGTCATCTCGTATTGGTGACCCTGTGGCCTAGGAGGTCATGGTTCCTTTCCTTATTTTCTCAGTGTATTCCAACTTCTCATCCTTAATGTTGTTCCGTTACCCCATTCCTCTCTTCATCAACAAACCTCAATAACAAGGACTATTATCTTAAGTCAAGGCTTGTGTGGAAGTGTCTTTTTGTCTGGGTGACCATTATAGAGGGGAGGGGGTTCGTCACTCTCTCTCTCTCTTTCTCTCTCTCTCGCTCGTTCAAGCTGTCCAGGTAGTATTGGGCAGACTATTCTCTGATCATCATCAGAGAAAACGCAAAGTCTACCGTCATCATCACCATTGAAGAAAGAGAGAGGTGAGAGAAAGCCAGGAGGCGCCTTTAAAAACAGGTCAACTCTGAGAGGTGGAAGAACCTCGCTGCTTACTTAGGGTTGGGGAGCTTCCTTGATGGAAGAATCTGCTCATCAGCCTGTGCAACAACAAAAAAGGGGTAAACATTGGATTATCATCAAAAAGAAGAAGAAGAAGAAGAAGAAAATTCCTGAACCTGCTTGCCAGTCCACAGCGACAAATTGTCGCGGAGGAGCAGCATTATGGGAATGCTGTCCTTCGTGTGTGATAGTCCCCCCTCGCACGCCATTAGCTCCGCAAGGGCTCCTTCGTATGCCTGAGGATCACGAGGATGTTGATGATACCCATTTAGATAATCACAGTTCGACGAAGAGATGGGAGATAATCCCGCACACACACCTGCTCGGCGAGTGTGCAGGCTATTTCGGGCGATTTGAGGATCTGGAAGTAGAAATCTGAGACATTGAGGGCCAGGCCAAGCCTGATGGGGTGCATGGGGGGTAGCTTCTCCTCCGCGATATCCTGGGGAATGTTCCAAGCATATTCGTCAGAGAAGACAGTGACGAACTCAAGATAGATGAAAGAAGGTGGAATCAATCGGAAGGAAAGCCTGGTAAACGAGAGCGCAGAGATTCACTTGTTCTCAGAACAAATCAAATCCGCATGTGATAGATTCCACGAAAGGAAGACTGAACTTTGCGACAGCGGATGAAGGCGGCCCAAGCAGACAGACGTGATTACGACAGAGAATGAAGGAAGAACGAGGAGGCGGTGTAGCCGACCTGAGCAGCCTTGAAGGCGGAGAGCGCGCTCTCGGCGGCGTCCTTGCGGGGGTCGCCGGTCTTGAATTCGGCAAGGTAGCGGAGATAGTCGCCCTTCATTCTGAAAAAGAAGACCTTGGAGTCGTCGGCGGTGGCGGAGGGGATGAGGCGTGTGTCCAGGAGCCGCAAGATCCCCTCGCAAAGGGAGTTGAGATCGGACTCGAGCTCGGCGCGGTACTCGCGGATGGCGGTCACGCGGTCCCCATCGCCGTGGCTCTTGATATTCTGCTCGCGGATGAAGGTGTTCCTCCACGAGGCCTTGAGGGAGCTGATCACGTTCTTGTAGGCCACGGAGAGAAGATTCCTCTCCTCTACTGTGAGCTCCTCCGCCTCCGGCAGCGCCGCCACCACCTTCTCCATGAACTCCACCATCTCCTCGTACCTCTCCGCCTTCTCCGCCAGCCTCACCAAGTGCACGAGCTCCTCCCTCCCCTCCGCCATTGCCTCTCCTCAAATCCTCAGCCCTCGGCAACGTTCACCAGGTTACCAAGTCTCAACCAACTCACATTGCATTTAGATCTTTTCTCTCCCCCCCCCCCCATTTCTTTCACATCTCTCTTTCTCCTCTCTCCCTTCTCTATCCCTTCTCTCTCCCATCTCTCTCTCTCTCTCTCTCTCTCTCTACCTTCTCTCTACCTTCTCTCTCCCTTCTCTCTCCCTTATCTCTCTCTTCTCTCTCTCTCTCTCTCCCTTCTCTCTCCCTTCTCTCTCCCTTCTCTCTCCCTTCTCTCTCCCTTCTCTCTCTCTTCTCTCTCTCTTCTCTCTCCCTTCTCTCTATCTTCAGAATTCCCGCCAAAGGGCTAATTACGAAGACGAGTCGATATATGGAATCCTGACCGTTCGATCTACAGGATCAAGAATATCCAACGGTTACTGGACCCGGAAACCGTCCTTTGGGAGGGGGATCGACGGTTCCACGCGGGCCAACGGGATGTTGCCAAGTGGCGCGTGTAAAACATGGAACAATCTTACCTCGTCGTCGCCAGCAATATTTTCATCCTTAATCAATAATTTTATTTATTTATTATTTATTAATACGCTACCAGCCATCAGTTTTTCCCGAGGCCATCTGGACTGTACATCTATAATACCACCAATCTTAACCCTCCAATTGGTGCTCCTTGCAGGATCCATCATCTGCAACTCCCGTACAAAGGAATTCATCCTGACCGTTGAAGTTCCGCGTGCCTGTCACGTCTGCAGACGGGAAATCTCCACCGTTAATTATGTATTTTGCAAAAACACACCCTGGATGCATAGCGCACGCGCCATTGGGAAAATCTCTGCAGAGGAAAGGATATAAAAGTATTATCTTAACTTAATGTCTTAAAAGATAAATTCTGAGCTTGACAGGCGTGGTGGAGAAAAAGCCGGTTGTCTTCTCCACATCTCCTTCATGGGCCAGATGGGCCGGCCCAAGGGGATACCTGGCCCAATGGATAGAGGGGCCCGGAATGGGCTGGCATCAACTGTTACGTGGGCGGAATAACGCAACCAAGGAAAAGTCTCTGCGCAGAAGGGGAGTACTGCTTCTCACCACCCCCAAAACAAGCATTTATCGGGTAAACGGATCCGGATTGAATGGAGAGGCTTTTCACTTAGCCGTAATCGGATCCATTCAGTGTGTGATGGCAAGTCAAAGTTTGACAAAGTCCTTGTTAAGACACTATTTAACAAAAATAATATTTATCAAGATATCCTGATTTGTAGTAGCTTTTCCATACAGGGTGAGTTGACTCTTCCTGTTGACTCACACCCATAGCACAAGAAGATAAACTTTGCATGTGCTTCACACCCATTGACTTCTATATCTAGCAAAATATCATCATACATTTTCAAAATCGCTGCTAAAAATCATGTAGGAAGATGATAATTCATCTTTTTCACCAAAATATTACATACAGGGTGAGTTGACTCTTCCTGTTGACTCACACCCATAGCACAAGAAGATAAACTTTGCATGTGCTTCACACCCATTGACTTCTATATCTAGCAAAATATCATCATACATTTTCAAAATCGCTGCTAAAAATCATGTAGGAAGATGATAATTCATCTTTTTCACCAAAATATTACATACAGGGTGAGTTGACTCTTCCTGTTGACTCACACCCATAGCACAAGAAGATAAACTTTGCATGTGCTTCACACCCATTGACTTCTATATCTAGCAAAATATTGTAATACATCTTCAAAATCGCTGCTAGGAATTATGTATGAAGATGATAATTCATCTTTTTCACCAAAATATTACATACTTTCTGCGGAGCCAATTGCCAGGAGTTGACTTTCCTGAAGGCTAACGAGTGGCATATGCCATTTGATCCCATTTGGGCCTCCGGAGGAAGATTGAAGGGGAAGAACATCTCAGCCAAGGCTCCCTCATTTGATGGCTGATGACTATATTGGGAAATCCCCAAGAGCCAAAGCATTGTGCTAGGGAAATTTCTCATGCTTTATTTGGAAAGATATCGAATTGAGGGGTCGAATAATCATCCAATAGGATGGTTATTGGCCTCCCAAGCATTATTCAATTCTCCCCACAGAGCCATCTCCACTTCTTCCCAGGAGGTGGCCCTCCTCAGATCCTTGCGTAGACTAAAGATGGTTCCAAGAACATTGTCTTCGTGGAGGATACAATAACACCTACAAGAGTTCAACATATTAGTTTCCTGTTTTGGAGAAGATTTGCAAAAAGTCAAAACTGAGACAAGAGTTGAAATATTAGGTGCTAAAGATGAGCATATTACTGTAACTGGTATGTAGGTTAAATGAAATAATCACCGATTTAAAAATATTATAATAAAATAATAAAGCAGACATTGGCTACCCTAAAACAGATTTAATGTTGGAAATGTTTAGCAAAGAGCTTAATAAGTTGGGTTTTAAAAGAAAAGAAAAGAAAAGAAAAAAGCTGCATTTTTTGCTGCTGATTTATGCTTGGATACAACCAGAAGAAGTTCATGGTAAGAGGGTAGAGCCTGTCATAAAATGGTAATGACCAATCCAATGTGTTTTTCAAGGAATATCACTGAATATGAAGCGATGATTTGTTTAAAAATGGCATTGATCTGTGTAATCAGATGGCAACAAGCAATGATGATATGTGTGGCTGAAGTCTTAACTTATATTGACTAATTTGCATGAAGAATACCATAAATATCATGTGCTCTGTATGAATTTATGACAGAAAAATAACCATCAGACATGATACGATAGGCATGTTGATTTAACATCCACAAATTAACGTGAAGAATACTGTGAACATCATGCACTATTTATGGAAAGACAAGCTTATTACTGAATTTATGACAGAAAAATAACCATCAGACATGACACTATATGACAGGAGAATAGCATGTAATATTTATGGACATGTTGATTTAACATCCACAAGTTAACATGAAGAATACTGTAAACATCATGCACTATTTATGGAAAGATAAGCTTACTACTGAATTTATGACAGAAAAATAAGTATAAGTGGAGTAACTCCTGGCATACATGGCACGATATGATGCTCTTTCAAATTTCGTCTGGCTCATTGTTCCATCAGAAGGTTTTCTTCCTATGGGAAATCGGTAGCTTTCCAGGAAACGCTTGAAAAGACAAGAATCTGTTCTAAAAACATCTATATGTATTGGGATTAGATCGCAGATCGGATCACCTGACAAAAATGTGAAGGAAAGGAAGTCAGTCAGAAGGAAGATACAGCATTACTTCATTACTGGAGCTACCCACATAAGGAAAAAAAAATGCTTTGAGAAAATCACTCAAGAGATTGAAATCCATTGCCATGAAAAAATGGCTGACGTACTGAAGAAATAGGTAGCTAATGCTGACTGCATGGTATTACTGAAGAAATTGTCTCGCATAAAACCTTAGTATAAAGCCTTTAAACGCATGTATTTTGCATGCTTCATTTCATGTGTTTGTAAAATAAAATATCACCAAATACATTAGAAAGCATAATTATATGATATCCTATCAAACTTGATGACTTTTCTCTTGAACATGCATAATTTTGGTCCATAAAATCTGAAAAAGATAAAATTGGTGATGTTGGATTTCTGTAGGATAAAATGTAATCCTGCAGTGCATGATTCTGTTGACGTATGGCATAGGACAAATTAAACCGAGCTCTAAGGACTGAATTTCCATGGTTGGGAATACAAACCCATTCCTCCAATCTAATTTCGGAGGTAACTCAATCTTGGTTGATTCCTTCAAAGGAGATAAGAAAACAGAACGTGGAATCAGATGTAAATTATCCGAATGTGGGTGCAGATCACACGAATTATGCCAACCAGGTCCTTATTTAAAAGACCATAAACTCGAATCTGCTTAATCTAGTACTGTCTAGGTGTAGTATGCGAAGATTTGAAGGCAGATATTACAAATCAGATTTGGTAAATCAGAAATACAACCTAAAGACATGGTTAATAGAAGAGCCAAGAAGGGGACCGTCTGGTTCTTTCCTTCTTTGATAAAGCATCTGCAGACGTCCTCTATGAGATAGGTATGACAAGCCGACCTATCCCAACTCCATGCCTTTTGCTCAGTAAATGTCGCTATACGGGAGTTCATTGTGTTCTAAGTCAAAAATAGTCCAGGGTTGATGGAATTAAGCCTACAAACCATGGGAGAAAGGAAAGCAGGGGATAACAGACTCCGCAAAGGGATGAACTATGCATTCTTTCTTTGACAAGGTATTCGCGGCTGACATCCAAGAGAGCATTAGCCTGATCTCTTCACAGTCTATGCTTAAATTCATCATATTGTACCCTGTTTCCTACATGGACTGTGGGATATGTAGGCACGGTATCATTTTTTTTCTTTACAAGAATTGGCCTCTTGGCTGATTCAATCCCATGATGTGTTATTTTCTGCGATTTTATTCAGAAGTTCAACATCATTAAAGGGGAGTATCAGGTAAGACGGTATTATCAAAGAGATCTTAATGAGAAAATTTGCATGTGAAAATTAGAATTGTACGCATGGGTGCCATGTGGGGATTTGGGACCAAGAAACTCAATATGAAAGCCTTCCAATTACTTGAGGCCGATCTTGAATAAATCTCAAAATTGTGTGAAGAAGTGGAGGAAAATATAATTCTGAGAAAATGAGCACACTAAACGCCCATGGAAGCGAAAAGCATGAAGAGAAAGAGGCCAGGCCACTGACAGGTCCAAATATCAGATGTAAGTATGTGAAATTCTGAGAAGAAAATTCCTTGGAAGGATTGAGAAGTCGATTAGCTAAGGAGAAGAGCAAAACTGGAGGCCTTCTGGTTTCTTGAAAAATTATGGACCTTGTGGTAGAGTTCACCTCGGTTGGTCTTCTCAAGTCTGATAGCTAGCTCTACAAAATCATTATAAAAGAGGCTCCTTAAGTTCTGAAGAAAACTAGAAGTGGAGGACAATGGCCATATCTATGGATGTTGACTGAGGGATAAACCTGCCACGAGACCCCACAGAAACAAAGAAAGCACCAAAATTTGCATAAATACACCTACGTCTGCATGACCTCCTATAGTGATAAAGTATAACTACAGCGCTAATGCTGTTTAGTATTCCATAGCTTAAAAATGTCCCTAAGACATTATTTCAATACATTAGACAAGAGACTGAAGAATGAAGAAGTGGGATTCCAGAAAGCAGATAAACACGACTATTCTCATGCTTCCCTGATACATGACCACATACATTATCGCAAGAGTCATTACAGCAATTGCTTTTTAGACATCCAAAAAAATTCAAAGCAAGAAAATGGTAGTAAATTGAATTTATTTAGCAGAAAATCGAGAAATACTTGGTACCCCCATCTATTACAAAAGGAAAAGATTGCATAAAAATGATCTTTTTTTAAGCCAAAACTCGTCAATTTAGAGAGAAAGTGATTCAGAGGACATCGTAATAATAGAAACAACGTTCCTTGAACAACAGTTTTCAGGTCATCTAGATAAGATGGAGCATTTTGGAGTGAAATATTTATTACAAGAAGAAAACTCACCTATAAATAGGCTACTAAAATCAATAATGTGTGCAGGGTACCATCTTTCCTTGTTTCCTTCGATATTAACGTTTATCCCAGAATCGACAGACGTTGAATCCCCATCAGAGACTGCCTGATTAGTGCAATGGGTTAAAGGGCTGTGTTCCATATGGATATTATCATCCATGACATCCGAGTGTATCCATGAAGGTGAAGAACAGACTCTATACACGCCATCCTCTTCCTGATGAATAAAAGTGTATACATGTTATGGTTTAGTCATGAAATAAACAGGAAAACTTAACTCATGAGCAGAAATGACCTTGAATACACTGATCAACAGTGAAGTATCGTGTGGGATGTACTCCTCAACTTTATCAATCAGAACATTTGGAATAGGGTCACCCCTGGAAATAGGAAAGGAATTTGTGGTAGAAAGCTGATCCTTTTAATAAAACATGTTAAAAAGCAAACATACGAAGAGGAATCATATGGATGTGCAAAAAATTACCAAGCAAGGAAAATTAAACATTTGATATACACATTCTTGCTACTGATAAGAAGGCTGTCTAACACAGTATAAAGGAAGTCAAATAAAGACTTGAATGAAGATGGAGTGTAACAAGAATGACCTTGGCAGATTCTTTTCTAAAATAGAATGGATCTTCAGTTTTTTAGACAGAATAAAACAGTAACCAGAATAGAAGTGCATAAAATACTCAGAAAATTTCCACGTATCCTATATGAATTTTAAAATTTAGCGTTTATAACAGAAGAAAAATAAAAAAGTTTAAATGATATCCAAGATTTCCCATTATGTCTAATATTTTACTTCTTTCATTAAAAAAAAGAATTTTATATCGTCTATATGATGATGATGATGATGATGATGATAAAAACCTTCCTCTTCAACCCATCACTCATTTAGCACACTTCATACCTATGGGACACGATAAGCACTTGATTGCTGGCGATTCTCCTGGTATAGCGCTGATCACAAATCATAAAGTGACATGCACAGGCCAACATTCTAGATGGCATTTCTAGTTAAGAGACACAATAGGCTTAGAGTAGCTATTGAGCCTAATAAGATCTATTCAGGACACCCATGAACGAAAGGGTACGGATTACTAGGATCTACTGATTATCCTATCAAAGCCTTGAATATAACAGGCATCAGATGGTACAGGCACACCACATAATAATGGATCTTACACGAAAAAAAATAATTTGCATGGCATAAACTATGTAATTTCTGCATGCAACATAATCTAAGGTGTTTCACTTTCTTCATTGATGAAACAGCATGGCTGTCACCGTTTTCTTCGATTAATGACTCAGCAAGTCTTCAAATGCTCAATCGAGTTTCATTAGAGTCTTAATCCATGCTTTGATTTTCCCCATTATCAATTGTCAAGCTTCAATGGGAAAGTATTTCAAACAGGTGCTAAATATCAGTGATATGCAACTCATGATAATCCCACCACATTAAATATGTTATCCCACTAAATTAGGGTGTAAATAAGTTACAACTACAACCAAACAAGAATTATATCAAATTATTCATGTTCCAAGCTATGCAATAGCACTTCCATGGTCCATAACAGTTACCATTGAACTAAGCGACTATGGAGATCTTTCTTTCTTTGTTCCACTGCTGCAATGAAAGGCTTCCATTCTGGTGAAAATATATTACGTTGTACAACATCATCATTGACAAAATGTCTCTCGAATATCTCGGAGTCCTTGTTTAAGCCATTCAAAGCTCTTCTCGGGGCATCATCCTCATTATCCTTTGAATGACCAGCAATTGTCGGCAATGGCAGGAGGTGAAGATTATGCAGTTGATCTCCCAAAAATGAGGCTAAATCAAGATTGTCATCCAGTGAAAGTTTGTCTCTTCTGAAAGAAAAAAGTAACCAGTTTGTAATTGGTATCATGTTTGTAGGCAAGTGCATATTATAAATGTGTCACATAAATGGTTAACAGAGGATTTTTCAAAGGGGTACTCTTTTATTCCTAGGTAACTGAAGAAAATCAGATTAAATAACTTACACATTAGCAAAGATGTCTCCTCTGCATCTCTTAGTAATCAAGAAAGGCCACATCTTTGGCAATGAAACCGCTGATTCTTTACTTGACTCAAATTCCATCTTACCCCAAATACCAAAAGGAAAATCATCATTACGGCAGTTGTCATTGACCAAGTTTAAGCTTCTAACCTGATCTGGCACTCCTCTGCCAGCCCAGGTACAAATTCTATAAGAACCATTCGGCTCATGAGCAAGAATACCACTAGAAATAACATCAGGAACATGTTTTACCAACGGTGATTCCACTCTATGAAGTATGCTGTAGAACTCAAGCTGAAAAAATAACATTTAGATACTCATCATACGAACTGAAAAAGGCTTAGCAAATTAAGAATTTAAGCGTCCAAATTAATACCTCTGTGCCCAGACTGTACAATGATGATGCTAAACCTCCTTCAACATACAGCTTAATTACATAGTCAGAAACCAGGTACACCTGCCAAAGTAGATGTTTTACGGGACAAACATTGTTAGACCTAAAACAATACTAATTTACAGATCTTGAAACAAGCTCAAAGGACAACTGTTACACATAGATATAACAATTATTACAATTTTTTGAATTTTATATTGATGTATAAAAATGTGCAGGAGAGAATAGGACTGAATTTTTTTATCTATCCATGATAGGATATAGAAGTGCAACCCAAGGTCTGTATCCTCAAATCTTCAAAAGCAGCCACTACCGTATGGTTGAACGCTCTCAAACAGAAGATTACAAATTTCTAGCAATGAAAGAAATGGCATGAAAGGCAGCATCATTTTACATCATGAGTATTCATGGAAATCATTGAATGGGTATTGCAGTCAAAACCTTTTAACCACCCATCAAGAAAAATACAGCATTCTCAAAAGTAGAAGATAGCCATAATTCAATAGGAAAAATTAAAACTTAAAATTATGTCCTCCAAAAAACTACACACTACCAAATGAAGTACTAGTTAAACACGTGCGTGCATACAGGTAAAAAAAATCAATCATTGATCCTGATATCTCCAGTTCTTCAAAACAAGAAAGATCCTGGATTTCAGTTTTCAGTGACTGAATCTCTCATTAGCAAATCTTACAGTCAACATGAAAATGCTTAAGGTTGAATTCAATACCTACTAGTCTACAATTCTTATTCTGGCAAGAAAAACTAACTTTTCCTCTTTGCAGAGGGAATGAACTACAGTTTTTTAGTTCTCTCAACTGTCATTTGAGCTGAGGACTCGCCAAAAACAAAAAAGAAAAACCACAGTGATGCAATCGCAATTAGGTACTCATGAGGTCCTAATATAGCCGAATTTCTACGAAAATAAAAAAACTGAGCTTCCTGCTGAATTCATAAAATAATAAATAAATAAATAAGCACATGATAAAGAAGCCACTTACTGGATTGCTACCTGTGCCAACAGGAAGCTTCTCATCGTCCAAAGGAGAAGGCAAATTATTTGAAGCACAGATTTCCATGATGCAAGCAAGCCACCTGTCTGCCTTAAGGGCTAGGCTAGCTCCCTAAATTAAATTTTAAAGGAGAACAATAAACGTCATCAAAAATAATTTTTGAATAGATGCTAATGTAAATCAGAATTACTGCAATGAAGAAAATCACCTTCCAAACAAGGGGTCTGATCTGCGGTTTGACAACCCAGAGCCTATGTAACCATTCTCTGAATTCTCTCTGTCCTATGCAATTGCCCTCACCCCAAGTACAATTGTAGTGGTCAACTTCTTCACTCAAAAACTTCGATAAAAAGTCAATATCATATGAAAAATTCATCTCACTGAAACCATTGAAATTTTCTAACTCATCATCCTCTTCAGCTCTGCTCTTGTCTTCAGCAGGATTAACATGTTCTGGCATCGTTTTTTTCAGAGATCCATTCACATAATCCGAATCGTTTGTATCTGCCACATCTTGTTTGACACTTTTAACTACTCGATCTTGAACAGCAAGCCATCCAGCACGAGTTACTCCTTTATGAAGATGACCAGGGCAAAAGTCAAGACATACAAACTGAAAGTTAGATGCGTTAACAAAGTTTTGAGTGACAGCAATGGTAGTCTCCAAATTTAGCACACAGTGCCACCACCCACTAGGGACAAAAATTGTCTCTCCAGGTAGCTGTGTACATTCTATCGGCTTATCTTTTTCTGCCAGAAAAGGATAAATATCAAGCCACCACTGCATAGTAACAGAAAATACAATCAGAAATGAAAATTTGCATACCATGTAAATATAGAACTCTTTTGACCCACAATGCAAAACATAGAACAAGTTTGCACTATTAAAATATTCGAAAATATAGCATGCGTTACTGGACCTGCAAAGATGATGGAGTCTCAATATCAACATCACCATCTTCTTCATTTACGTGCACTGTGACACCTACCGGCACTCTTCCTGGAGGATACAACGCCCACCTTTGAACAGATTTAATAAATGAAAAAAAACACACGATCAATTAGGCAGAATTTTGATTGGATTATAATTCCAAAAAAAGCAGCAAAAAAAAGCATTTTTAAATGGAAAACAAGTCTAATAAAGCCATAAACGAAATAGCTTTGTGACGAAAAATAATTCTGCACATAGATACATTGAAAATATATAAGATCTTAAAATCAAAGAAAGTTGACATAATCACAGTCAAATGGGCAGAAGCTATGGTGTCATGCAAATTCCTACAGAGTTTGACGTAAAAATATTGGAAGAAGGTTCAATGAGAAAAAGGTAGGCGGAATCGCTTTGACACATGGAAAAATCTAAGGCTTTCATTTCTCCCAGGACTCTACTATCTTTCAGCTGAAGAAAACAAAACTGTGAGTAATTAATCTATGTTTAATATCCACTGAAACTACCCTTGCCCCAAAGGTTTCTCAACGTTGCTTGACTGGTTAAAAATTTCTTTTATTTCATTTGATATTTTCAGAAGCAAACTTGTGATTGAATAATTGCTGACTTAGTAAAAAAAACTGTTCGAATCCTGGGCAAATTACTTTAGATGTTATCATAATCAAAATGAAATTCCCAAGGTTCAGCTAAGGAAATAGACTACATTTGGGGTTTGACCAAACCACTGTAATGGTTATCTCTTGCAATCATTTTCATCTATGCACATGAAATTCCCCAACAACTATTTACACAACCGTGAAAAATAAACTAGTTATGTCTTCAAATATAGATACATAAGTATTTATTAAATAAGAAATTTTTTCCTTTGTAGGCACTAAATTTCGTAATTAAAGCCAAAGGAAGTCATTCACTGAGAAAAATGTGCAATACATATAGAGTCAAACAGTTGGCTGTTTGCGAATTACAACTCACGTCTAGGAATGTCTACATGCCTACACAGGTAGGACCCCATGAGTTTTCCAAGGTGAAGAAGAGTTGGTAGGGAGGTCTTTTACACCTATGGCATCATATGATAACATAAGCAGCAATAAGTACAATTTATGCTGAAAATTTCTTTAAAAGTTTTTGGCAAACTTGCAAATCTCTAGGCTAGAGGAACGTTGATTCTTTCACACTCCATTTTGTCGTCGAGTGTATAAACAAAACACTTCAAGGCAATGTCTCAATATTTTATAAAAGCACTTATGACATCTCTCAAGGTACTGTCACCACTATCTGATCAAAGTGCTTATATATCACGCCCCAATAGTAGAGGGTCATTTTTTTCAAATCTACTGTATAATCATTTTCCAGAACACATTGATACTACATGATCTTCCTTTCTTGACTTCTTCATGTTAATCTAGGTACACCAAGTTTAGGCATTAATGACAATGATAAGATTTCCAGAGCCATAGATGGGAGAAGATCTTATATACATATATAAATTTTATTAGCTGAGAATGGAAGCTAATGATACTGAAAATATTCAAGACTCACTTGGCAAAATAGTAAGAGGACAAGATTTTCGAAGACTTTGGGTAATCTGCCTTGACTAAAAATGCCACTCATAGATCTCTTCAATGTATTGGACCATATCTTTTTTCCCTTTGAAGACCTCCACTTCATATGATTACTCTCGATTTTTTGTCCAATCCTCTGATCTAGAAACCTCTAAAAACATATGAATCGCGAAGAAGCCGATTTCATTGATAAATTAGAGAATTGAACACCAAGATTAAATGAAAATCAAATTCGATAATTCCCTTTTTGATTGCTCTGAATCTGGTATGGGTCACTTTATCTTTTTTACAGATCAGAAAGTTATTAAAAAGGACCTTTAAAGCACGAATCAGGTGAGTTATGCTGCCTGAGTCTACAACCCATGAGGTATTTGTTTAAATGTCTAGTGACACTCGAAGCTACCCGGCTAGTACATGGCTAATAGTCTTGTACAGGAACCTACCCTTCACCACCATTAATAGTTCTGGCTCTTGCTTAAATTTTCATACTCCACACTTCACGACCACAAAATCTCTATCCATCATTTTTCTTCAGCTTTCTGCAGTGACCTGGTGTAACCATTGAACGCCCTTCATATTAAGAATTTGGCTCCCCAATATTTCAAGTTCTCGTTGAAAATAAAAAAATTGCATTCCAGGTAATTTTTGTTCTAGTCATCTCGATTACTTCATTCATTCATGGCACAGTCAGGATCCAGCCATTCGCTTGACAGGAAGACAAAGTGGTCACACTCAAGCTATTTTCAGCTCAATTATGACACAAGCAGGTCATTGAGGTTTCTTCCCACTCACTTATCCTCCACAAGCACACGCATTTCTCTTGTTACTGTCATTTCCTGATGATATGTTGAACTTTGCCATCCAAAACATTGAAGATCTAAACCATAACCATGATATAATTTTACATGTAAGCACAAGAGGTGAGGAACACCCCGTTTTTTGGAAAAAAATCTTATCTTACTTGAAACAATAAACTTTTAACCGTCATATCATTTGAAATTAAGCAATTTCAACAAGCAGCTCTAAAATCACATATAGTACCTCCGTAATCCAACTAAAATTATCAACTTGACATTCTTCAATAGAGCATCTTTCCTCCAAAGACAAAGTCACCCTATACAACTCAAACCAAGTTTCATTGCCCTCACCTTGCGATCATATTCAGCGTTCACCCTCCCCCAAGGTTAACAACAATTTAGAGTTAAGGGACCATATCACGAGAGTCAGACAGACAGGCCAATCTGCCAGAAAATCAAATCCAAGATCGAGGTATTCGCAAAGGACTTCAGTTTCACGATAAAACATAATATATACCATGGTTTCTCAAGTAAGAGATTCACAAATGTCACTTCACGACTATGATCGAAATCTTACACGAAATTTGAGAAAAAATGTTCCTGAATATGGAAAAAGAAATCCCAGCAATACCATTTGGTATGTGTTTAAGGACTAGGGAATAAAGATTGCATGACATAATTAAGACCATGGTCATGCCCCATAACTATCTCACACGATTGAACCCAAAGCTAAAGCCAAGACTTTTAATGCAGGTTCAATATTAACTTCCCACAGACTTGACCAGAGTAATATCTCTAAACAAGTTCTACAAAGATGCATAATGAAGCCATTGGATCGAAATCTATGTGGAGATGGCATCATAAGTGCCCTATAATGCATAAAAAAGATGAATGTCCAGTCCAACTGGTGATAAATCTTGTTCAGGAGTGGGAAGGCAGGAGAAGACTAGTAAAGCATACCATTCAATCAAATACAGTACACATTCACATGTGAAGTCAAGAAAGCATGGACAGGAAACCAAATAATAATCTTACCTTTTACGTCCAACTAGAAGTGTGTTCCAGGCACTGGTAAGAGCTGGATCTACATGCCAAGATGCACCAGACCTTTCAGGTCCAATAATTAACCATCTAAAAGGCGGTCGTTGTTCTTCATCTAAGACATCAAAAAAGTCTTCTTTAAAGAGAGTAGGAACACTGTAGTCCTCCAACAAACTTGGTGCAGATTCTCCAAACTATAAAAAAAGCAGTCATATTAGTAAAAAGGTTCAAGCATCCTATGTAAGGCAAGTGAACGGACACTAAGGAGCACACCTTATCATCAAAAATGTAAAGGGGATCTTCATCATGCTGACATGACATGTAGGAAACATAATCCTTAAATTTCATAGTTATTTTCTTTGAACTTCGCTGAGAAATCCTGAATGCTGTTTCTCCGTACTTCTCTACGAATTGATCAACTGTCCACGTTTTCCTTGCTGGCCAAGTGTTGGCGAGATCAGTCAGTAAAACCTGAGATAAGGAAAAAACTTTACATTATATTTGAATGAAACGGAGAGGATAAGTTCCATGTAACAGAGGGTATGAATAAGATTCAAATAAAATGAAATAGATGCAAGTGCTTCTTAGATTGTATAATAAAAATGTAACATAAATGAAGGCACCTTTAATTTTACAAAAGAAATGTCACAGAAAAATACCAAAGCGCTCCCTCAGAACGCATGTGAAGTTTAATATGAATATAGAATATCCCATCATTAATATAACTCTATAAATGAGCATAATAAGAAAATTGTTTTGGTCTTCTGTTTAGAGACAGAAAAATATTTTTTGTCCACCAATAAAAGAGGTTATAGATCATACTGGTTTTTTGCCACTGTAATCAGCACAAAACTCGTCAAAGGATATGTTCTTTCTCTCAAGATAGCCATCGTCTTTATAAAATGCATCTAATGTTGTAAAGCACCGGTACCATCTCCGGTAAAGAAATAAAGAGTTGAATCCTGTACCACCAAAGGATAAAGAGAAAAACAATGATACGGCATTATAACCTTGGTGAGATCTCTCAAATCCAAAAAACCTACTGCAAAGAATCTTGAAGAAAGGGCATACCGTCAAACTTAAAAGTTTTTTCACAAGACTCTGAAACTTCAGTGACTAAATTTTGTCTGGAAAAATGGCAATCCTGACTTTGTTAGGACACAACTGAGGAAAGGCTAAAGAAATATGTAAAAAAGATGAAAAATGTGATGAAATTTAAGGAAACGTAAAGAAAATATATAAAAAAAAGGCCATTGACACACACCGATATAACATGGTTTTCTTCCAAGAGCTTTTGTACTCCAGTGGGCCAGGGATTCTGAGGCACAGACTCATCCAAAGGGGCTCCTCATTGCATAATGTGTACATAACACTACATAAGTAAATGGATTCAGAATGATGAAAAAAATGAGATAGATTACAGTTAGTTAAATAAATTTCGAGAAAGCAAGAACAGTAACTAAATAGTAAAGCGTCAAAACTGGAAGACCGTGATTTCAAAGAATGGAAAGTTGTTACATCACCCTAAAACCAGAGCCAAAAGAGGATTACCCTAGTCATCTGGTGTGGCAAAAAAAAAGCACGTAGATCTATAACAGCAAATAAGACAGAACCAAAGAATAATTCTAGGTCAACCAATGTAAGAACGGATATAAATGAGTCTTTTGGGTTATTGTCAAGGAGAGGACTGAATCTTGAAACTCATTCAAATGGTCATTAAAATTCTGTAGCAGCCTTTTTTCAAATGCCAATCTGCAAAAAAGATCACCCTGTGCTCCCAAGAAAATTAGATCACAACCCTCCAATAATCATAAGAGAAAACATGCAAATCACACCACTAATCTGAGTCCACTAAACAATTACCAAACATAACGTAACATAAAAAATGTGTGATCCGTCCCATCCACTCGATAGGACACCTCAGGGCCATTATGGGGTCCACTTGGTCAAATTGCTCCTACATCATCAAATTAGCCTGCTGCTTGCATGAACCATCATGTTGGGAACAGTAACTGATAAATCTAAACACTAGTATGCAAAGTATGAAAAGCACTAAACAAAGGATATTGATGGAAATATACTGAAGGAAAATATTGTTGTGACGGAACCTATGAAGTGAGTGGTATACCTTAAAATTTATATAAGGTACAAAATTACTTCTAAGAAACAAAGGGATTATAATGAGATGTTGCTTGATAATGCTTCACGAGTAGGAAGTTTTGAATTTCAATTTATATGTTTGTGAATTCTTTATGGGTATCATTCAATAGAACTACATTGAGATATGTTTAACATGATACACAATCAGATACTTCCAGGGATTAACTTTTATCAGAACTTGACTTTATTCCACACCTTGTCACTTAATTAAGTCAATGGCCCACTGCTTTGATCTAAACAAGCCAAAGAGAGAGTCAACATCCACCAGAGCAGGTGGTGTTTTTTCGAACATCCTATTCAGGAACATGTAATTAATCGAACTAAAACACAACGAAAACTACAACCACTGTTTATGTTTTCAAGTAGCCTGATAATATACCGTACCATAAACATAGCCAATAAATGTTTAGGTTCAGAGTTGCTTATTGAGCTGATTGAACCCATAAATGTGAACAACCCAGCGAAACATTTCTTTCTACTTCGAAAGAAGATGAATCATACGGATGAATCCTATGCTAGTACTCTAATATATCTTTATAAAATGATCTGTAAATAAGCCGTTACTTTGGTGGGTTTAGGCATCTTTTTCTTCACCATTAAAAGCTGAATTCTCAGTGGAACAGCCAAAAGGGGGCAATTCCTCCTTATTTTGATATGTCGTTTTACTCAGGTAGCAAAGGTAGACACCGCTCAAGTGGCAAAGGCTCTGAGGTCACTTAATGCTTCTCAACAATGCCCCACAACAAGTTAGTTACCTAAAATAACCTTCACGGGCTGAAAATAATGAAGCAGCAAATCGACGATGTATACACTTATTGGGAGAAGTACACCTTGGCAACCACAGTGCTAAAGAGGCAACCAAGGTGGTCTAAGGCGACCAATGCAAGCACCTTACTGGGGACTCGTACACCTAGAGCTCATCACAAAAGTAATATTATTCCATCTTCTCAAACTAAAGTACTAGAATTGCAGAGATTCGTTGAATGGGCTTAAACTATAGATCCTTCTCCTTTCATTCCTGCAACGGTAGAGATTAGTTTTCCCTCACTGCGACATCGTCTATATCATTCACCTTCGTCATTTTCCAGGAATATTTTTCTAGCCCGGATAAGATTTAGGTCTCCTCCTCCTCTTAGTGATTCTCCGTTGTTTTCATGATCGTCCCACTGTACTCAATGCATGATCAAACCCACAATTGTACACATAATTTTCCATCAATTTATAATGAAAATTTGGCGAGTCCTTACGTTTTTCTTCAAGGAATTTCTCTTCAAACGCTAGTCTTTGAGATCCGGAAAATCTCCAAAGTTCACATCTAATTCCATTTTTGTAACCTCACGTAAGGAACAAATTCTGAGTGAAGTCTCAAAATGATATAAGACGCGGCAGCATTTTCCATGAATTATCACTAAGGAAAAAATACCAGAAAAATCATCACGCAGATAAAAGAGCTACTGCGAGCACAAAAACGAGGGTGGTTGCAGGTTGTCGAACGTCTTAGCGACAACAATGGAGGGGAGAGAAAGAGTCAGGGGGGCGAACCTGCTGACACAGGCAAGGCGACCGAGATCGCGAGGAGCTAGGCGATCGAGGATTGCGCAGATGAGTTCGTCGGGCAGGACCCGGAGCTCCCCCAGGCCATCCGGTCTTCGATCCCTCTGCTCCTGCTCTCCCTCCCTCCGCTGCTGCTGATGACGATTCTCCTCCATGGACGACCCTGCTCCCCCGCTCCCTCCCTTCTTCCTCTTCATCCAGAGGCCCCCGTCCCGTCCATCGCCGAAGTCCGTCGTGCGCTGGCTGAGCGACGGAATAAACGCGCGGGCGGCCGCCGCCTCCGCTGCCCGCGTTTGATTCTCTGCGAAGCGATTGGAAAGACCAACTGTCACGTGACGGGCCACACGTTTTACGAACGCGGTTCTTACGACTGGAGTTTCAGTGGGCTGGCTCGATTTAGTCCTCTCGGCGGGTCCAGCCCGAACAACCAAACTAGAGCCACTCTCTCTCTCTCTCTCTCTCTCTCCCCCTTCATTAATCCGCGTCAGTGGGCCCGCCCGATTACGATAAAGCCCGGATCGGTTCGGCCCGATCGAGAAAAATAGTTTCAGATTGTGCTTAGAAAAAGCTCAAGCCTTTGACTTCGAGGTCAGACCCAGCCGTCCGCTGACCTGGTCCATTGGGAGTCATACTCATCTTTGGTCATCCAGCACAGTAACATCATATTTAATCTCATCTTGAATGTGAGCTGGATTTCTTTACTTATTATAATCTTCATAATTACTTATTTTGTCACCAAAAGTTATAATATAGTCAACTCTCCCAAACTAAAAATAAAATGGGTCGAATCATTAGCTCCAAAACTATGTAAAAAATGAGACAATGAAATTACTAACATATATATATATATGTGTGTGTATAAAACATTTTGTAAATAATTATTGATGCTTTACCCTTGAATAAATTTCTTGGTTTAATACAAAAAAACATTTAACATTTTTTTGTCGAAGAATTTATGAAAAAGATGCCCCCATAATTTTCATATGATTTGATCTAACACATTTTTATAAATATAAAACTTGTCAGAAAATATATATGGAGATCCTCATATATATATATATATATATATATATGAACATTTTGGTGAATCGATTTTGAAGCAATTAAATGATGTTCTTACCCATTTGACTTCCACTGCATTGACCTGCGAAAATAATAAACTCTCGGACCATCATAAAAACACAAATCCACATTAATAAACATGTGCAATTCGATGTTCCTCCCTATTTGACTTCCACTGCGTTGACCTGTTGAGACCCAGATCCACAGACCACAGCAATGGGGATATAACCCATCAGAAAGCTGGAAATGTAGTCTCGCACAATATGATAATCAGGAAGAACTACAGCAGGTCTTACTCTTGGGGATTTCCTGAGCAGGGCCAGGGACGATGATCTTCTTACCCGAAAGGGTCGGGCCGTTGCCATCTGGTTGACTTTCCGACACAAGGGTCTTCTTATTGACGATCTGGAAGACCTCAGTCAAAACGGTAATAAAGGCTGAGTCAACGTTTGTAGCCTGCATGGCCGAGGTCTCCAGGAAGAACAGCCCCTCCTTTTGGGCAAACTCTTTGGCGTCCTCAGTGGACACCGATCTCTGGTCCTCAAGATCGCTCTTGTTGCCAATCAGCATTATGACCAGGTTCTTGTCGGCATGGCTCCGCAGTTCCTCGAGCCACCGAGGGATGTGGTCAAAGCTCTGCCTCTTGGTTATGTCATAGACCAGCATCGCCCCGAGAGCACCCCGGTAGTAGGCACTCGTGACGGCCCGATATCTGAAACCACCATGATGATTCAGGAAGACCACTCTAGACCGGCCAGAAGCAATGATAGGATTGAAAACATTCCAGAATTCATAAGGGGGGCCCTCATCAGCATCATATGAGAAAAAAAAAAAAAGAAGGGGCCATCTAATCCAAAAGTGGTAATACTTTTTGAAAGCATTTACCAAAAAAGTGAAGAAATTCTATCAAGAATTTTTTTTTGCAGACTCATTTTCGATTAATTAGTTTTTTTTTATTGAGCACACAACCAAGTCAATGAATCACACCCTGTGAAAGAAATGGTTGACCCAATAAATCCAAGGATTTCAAACAGCAGCTAAAAATGACTTCTCATCATCATAGTTTTCCTCTTAGAGTAATTTCCTATTATCTATTACTATCCTTAAAAGAAAAGCGTGCGAAAACCAGAGATAATGAGAGAGAATGAATGGAGCTGGTCACTAAAAATATCAAACAGACGTTCCTCAGATGACAGGCAGAACCATTAGGATAGTGCAATAAGAAATTAAAGCCCCAGGAACAAGATCCAAAGAGTAAAGGAATCCCTCTACAGAAGGGAATTGAGAGGATACAAGTATTTGAAGACTTGAAGGAATCATCATAACATTGTCATTGCAAGTTGTATAAAGTAATGAATTAATGATTAATAGTCAAAAGGAGCTGTCTCTTATATCATTGAAGAGAGTTTGGTAGCCAAAAACCTCAAACAGAGCTTTGAAAATCCTGCAGCAGAAGAACATCCAGAATGCAATGTATAAATAATATTTGATCAGATGAAAACCAAGCTCTCAGACATGAATCTGAAATTTCAAGAATACACCAGGAGTACCACGAAAAGAAAGTATGTACTAGACGTGCTCAAATTGAATTGTCAAAATCCTTACATTCAAATGATAAATCCATTTCATCCCAGGGAAAATAAAGAACGGCAGTATTTCACTTTAAACCCCAATTCACATAGATGAGTTACTTTCAATATAGAGTTACTCTTATTGTTTGGTAAAAGGTAAGGCAGTACAATTAACTGTGACAAAATTGGCTGATCAGTGAAGAAGTGATATAGATGAAATCATTGAATCAATAAAACATAGAACCGGAAAAAAATACAACCATATAATGAACGCATCAATATGCCTGCAAAGATGGAGACAATGTAATGCGACTACCCAGAGTAAAATTTAAGCGAATAAAACAATGCTACAAGAGGTACAGAGAAAGAGCTGTGGTACATCCGAGTGCCCCATTCTGCCGTCAAAATTCAACTTTTAACAAATAAGACAGAAAACAGTTTAAAGCATGTATTTAAAGCATAATCGACATAGTATTAAGTATTTTTTTAATAAACATTAGCATCAGATGATGTTTAACAATAATCCAAGAAGGGGAGAGTTTTAAGACACGCCTATGGCTCTTTTCTACTCATCTGCGATCAATGAATACGACTTCTCCACTGGATGGTCATCTCAGCATTTGGCAATTTCATTTCACAATATCGACAAGGAAATGTTAATAAAAAGAGCCAACAAAGGTTGAGTTTTTCAAAGGGAATTAACCCTAACATTTTTCAAATAGAAGACATAGGTCCCTTAAGAATAATGGAATGACAAAATTCGAATTTGGATTAAACGTCAATATTTTTTAGAGAAACCTGATTATTTGCATTGCTACATCGAGCTGATGGCTATATCTACTGATAGAAGTTGCCAATGTCTGAACTTCATCAAGACCAGAATAGGAGTTCATCAACAAAATGAATCCACAAACTTGTCACCATGCACGGAGCTTCGAAAACTCCTGAAAACCCCAAAGACAAGACTTTACCTATTAAATAATTTATATACCACATTGGATGCGTTTTGTTTTCAAAAAAAGAATAATGAGTTGATACAATGCCGACAAAACCGCTACGTTGATAGTAACCAACTAGTGGCTAATAAAAACCGTCTTCAATAAGTATTAATATGGAGCGGGTAGTCCAGAGAACCAGATAACCAGATCAGAAATCTATAATTCATATTCCGAAGGCGTGAGGAGGAAGGTTTGAGGGAAGGGGACAGCGGTACCTCTCCTGGCCGGCAGTATCCCAGATCTGCGCCTTGACGCTCTTATGCTGAATAACGAGTGTACGGGTCTGGAACTCCACGCCGATGGTAGCCTTGGAATCGAGGCTGAACTCATTGCGCGCGAAACGCGCAAGGATCTGCGATTTCCCGACCGCCGAGTCTCCGATCAGAACCACCTTGAAAACGTAGTCCACCTTGTCTCCAGCGGCTGCCGCCATTCCCCTCCGCTCCGACCGCCACCCGAACCAGGCACCCCCCACTCAACTACGACCTCCACCCCCCCCCCACTATCCGTTGCACCTAATAACCCGAGGCAAACCCCGACGGAAGAAGAAGCAAAGGGGAAGGACGATCCCTCTTCCCTCCCTCTCTCCCTCGTCGGTGAAAACAGCAGGGGCAGAGCAAGAGATGCGGCAGGCCCAACGCGCTGGTAGTGCAGCAGAGATGAACTGTGACGAAAGGGACACTCTCAAACCTCTTCTGAGAAACTTTAGTGTGTTTTACGTCAAACTACCCTATACTATCATAATTTATTTTATAATTCCATATTTCATGTATTTACTAATATACTCTAAACTCAGGAATTATCCTGCCACCCTGGCTTATCTGAGAAGAAATGGAATAAGTTTTGGGCTTTATTGGAGAAGGACCGGGCTTCATTAGGGCCTGCTAACGAGCCCGTTTGTAAGATTTCAAGCACGGGTTCCTCACGGGGGGGATCCTACAGAAAATCTTAGCTGATAAAAATAATATATATTACGGAAACTGATGCAAATATATATGTTATTATTAAAATGTGAATTTCTTATTTTTTACTCAAATTTATCCTATTTATTTGAAAAAGGTAATTTATAAAACGATTTGTTTTTATGAAGAATTAGTTCCGATGAGCTAAGTGGCCGGTCTAGAACGTTCGACGATCGTCTCTCTCGAACCTTCCAGGCTTCTCTCGTCATCTCTTCCCGCCCTTTATTTACGTCGGCTACCTCATCGTCCAGGGCTACAGTTCAGTGATCGTTCTGAGTCTCTATCTGTGTTCAATGGCGGGCGTCATGGCGATCAGAAGGAGCTCAAGGTTGCTGGATAGGATGCTAGCGCTCGAACGACCCGCCGCCCCGCGGCTATTCAACACTTCGACGGCGGTGCGCGAGGTTTCCGACGACGAGGTGATCGACGCATCCGCTCGCCGTGGCGGTGCGGAACTCCGTCGCGGAAACAGGGGCGCTTTCCCTGGATTCTTCTCAGGTAGGTGATGATGAATCCGCTGTCATTTGATCCATGTAGGTTCGGCGTTCTCTCTGCTCCTCTTCGCATGAATCACGCCCCTCAGACTTTGATCTGATTTGCTGCTCTTCGCCAGCAGATGTGCTGGATCCGTTCTATCCGAACAGGAGCCTTAGCCAGGTGCTTAACTTGATGGACCAGCTGATGGAGAGCCCTGTGGCGGCAGCCTCCCGCGGGATGGGGAGGGGTGGGGGTCTACGCCGCCAATGGGACGCGAAGGAGGATGACGACGCCCTGTACTTGCGGATGGACATGCCGGGCCTCGGGAAAGAACACGTTAAGGTGTCTCTTGAGCAGAACACCTTAGTGATCAAGGGAGAGGGGGAGGCGGAGACAGGGGAAGATGAGGCCATTCCTCAGTATAGCAGCCGGATCGACATCCCATCGGACATATACAGGCTTGACCAGGTCAAGGCTGAAATGAAGAATGGGGTTCTCAAGGTGCTGGTCCCGAAGGCTAAAGAGGGGGAACGCAAGGACGTGGTACAGATCCAGATCGAGTAGGTCACTAGCATCCTGGTTGTGCTATGTATATGTCAACAATCTCGGCCGCCTCTTCAAGATGTCCTCTGAGGGCTTTTGAATAACAGTGATGCAAAGAACCTGTTTAGACTCTAATGTCCTAGTCTTCTGAGGTCACTAGCTAGTGAGTGATCTGCAATAGGGATAGTTGTGTCTCGTTCTTTTTTCTCGTAGTCTAATGAAGGAGCAGCCTCCATTTCCTCTCAATCTGGTATTCAAGTTCTGGATTTCGTTCAGAAATCATAAGTTTTATCTGTCGGTATGATCGTAAGCAGATTTTGTTGGTTAGAGCTAGCACCACGAATGTACGGACGGCCATTGGCCGGATTCAGTCAGTCTCTCACAAATTCAACAGAGAGATAGCCTCTGAGGAAAAATGCCATTTTCTACTCTCCCAGGTTCCACAATCTGCGTGAGTACACCCGAGGAAGTCTGTGATTAGGTGTTCATTTGTGTCAAGTAGGAGATTGTTTTTGTTGAAGTATGACCGATGCCAACCGAACTGTCACTCAGGACACCAAATAAGAACTTGTGATTGTCTTTTACTTGAACTCGATGGCATTAAATCTAGATAAAAAAACATCAATATAACACTAACTTAGATGGGCCTCTTTGTCTGATAAAACATTATTTTCTATAAAAATGTCTGGTGCATCTTTACGGCAAATGTTCTATTTTTTGGCTGCTCGCTCTGTTGCATTCAACAACTTTAGATATGTTGCCCTTTTCCTCCGGATATTTCAATATTTATTTCGATCGTTTGTCAACACTATGAATCATTCACTTTCTTCCACATTTCTTTCCCTACCCCTCCAAAATCTTCGGTTTATTTCAGTGAACTGTTGTTTTGCCAATTTAGATCATGTTTTTCGAACTTTTTGTCCCAAATTCAGTAGTCATATCAGGAACCGTTATAATTAGCCCTCTTAACATATACCACAATTTTTCAGTTGGCCGGTAGATCATCATTTTCTACTCCATTGAAGAGGTGAGATTTTATCTACCTCTGGACAACAAGCCAACTGTGCAAGTTGCCCCACTTGATAGTGGTGGCAAGAGGCACGGTGGTAGCATCCAATGGTGGATGCCTTACGGAAATCTCAAATATCTCTCCCCACTTGTGGAGAGATGGATCACAAACCTTTATGCACTAGCGATGAAGGTTAAGGCCTTTGTTGGTTGATCTTATTGACTAGGTCAACCCACCGGGGTAAAACATGTACGGTTTCATCTGACATTGACAATTGGAATTGGGCTTTCAGATGAGAGAAAAAAGAACGTTATGATAATGTGGGTTTTCTTAGCCATAATAATGTGCATATTTTTCATACTGATTATGCAAGTTTGAGAGAGTTAGTTAACCGATTGGTGATCAGATTCTAAATCGAGTTATTTTTCATACTATTATGCAAGTTTCGGAATATGAGAAGAAAACCGTTTTCTAAATGGACGATTTCTTTTCTTAGATACATAACTAATCATCACTCTATAACAAAATGTATAGAAATAAAGCATTATTTTATTAGAGAGCATTAAAATCAGAGTCAATTAGGCTTACATCTTTGTTATATCACTTTTTGAAAAAAAAATAAAATTGTAGACATTTCCAAGAGTCAGCATTAATTCATGTTGAGATTTGTCAATCTTTTTGATGATGTGCTGAATTATCAATTATGACTTTTATTGATTTAATTTACTGAAATATACTTTGTTCCTTCATGTTGTTTCCTTATCTGCATATCAAAAGCTCCTTAAATTCTCACCTCAAATTTATTGAGCTCCTAAACATCTCAATTCCCACTTATCATGGAGGATCATTTCACCGTCTTTGATCATATTTCTTGTATTCTTTATAGTGAATTTATCTACCTCATCTTTCTCTTAATAATGTCACCATCCTTACATGATCTAGAAATTTCGCTTCCTTACCATATATTACCAGCCAAAAAATTGAGAGGGTTAGAACCAAATCTATTCAAATGTTTTAAGAAAACTAGATGGATTTATCTGATGAATTAGTTAGAGATCTCAAACTTGGAGGAATCAAAACTAATTGCATATACTAAGGGAAAAACAATTGCTATGACAAAAAATTTACTTAACCGTTGCATTCAAAATTGTTACTCATCAGTGATTTGACTTGATAATGGATTGCCAATGGAGTGCAAAAAGTTGATTGTTTCAAGCTTCAAGCTCATCGCACAATGATTTCATCCTTCACCAGCATCTTCTAAACTCCTAGGTGTTATAGTAGAGAGATATAGTCACAACAAGAGATTAGTTATTCACCAACCCATGTCTCTTTGACTTAGAAAATCCTATGCATATCTCACCCTTTTCCCTCTACCACATGCTAATGTTATTACCTATGTATTTTGTCAAGAGTTAATGAATGTTTTATCTTAACAAACTTATCCAAAGTTGACCCATCTATTTTCTTTATTTATTTTCAATGTTTTTCTCACCACTAAGTTTTCTATCTCATTATGGAATATATAGCAACTAGATTTGACATACTTATTCATGTGGACACTATCTATGCTTCAAGTGATCTTGCTTTTCAACTATGATAGTCTTTGTTATTAGTATATGTTATGGAGGAGGAAATCATGTGAGCACATGAAACTTGCTTCAAGGGCTGCTTTTTTCATATCAAGTTATTCATCAAAGAGAAAACTCTCTTTTCATTGGAAGTTCTATGTATAAATTTGGGCCTTTTCACTCCAACTTTATCGATGTATAACTTGTTAGGCACAACCCATCACATCTCAAAGGTAAGGTCTCTTTAGGTCCAGCCTGATCAGGCCTTAAAGGCCATGTTTAATGACATATGAAAGAGCCATTGTATCAGAAAGCCTACCTTGGTAAGAAAGAGTCGTCGAGGCTCAAGACATAACTCGGCCCAAATATGAAGAGTCATAAGTGAGAGACTGTTTGGCCCATTAAGCCGAAATATGGAATGGGTTTTTCACTCAAAATTAGGGTTGTGAATCAGCAGAGCATAAAATTAGGGGCAAATGATGTTAGATGAACTTTTCTCCTCCACCTCACCATGCTACATGCAGAGAGAACCAACTATAAATCAATGGTTTAGAGCTCCTTCATTCAAGAGAAAGCTTGAGGAGCTCTTCTTCTCATCAACTTCTGACATTTCACACTTTCAATAGAGATAAGCTAATCACCATCTCTTGAAGATGTTGGAAATATTCATTCAAATCATTAAGTTGGATTTTTTGTTGCTTTTAGGATGTTGAGGCACATATCGATTGCCGACAATGGGGATGATAGAAGGTTGCTAGAACTTTGAATTCTAGTGAGTTGATATTATCTCATGGAGTTTATATTGTATGGGGAGTTTCTGATGCCAAGTAATTGAATATATTCATAAGATGAATTTGTCCTTTCTCTCTCTTGATGGTTTTACTTTCCTCATTTCCCTCAAGGATTCTATTCTCTTCCTCTCTCTCTCTCTCTCTCTCTCTCACACACACACACACACAATAATAGCCATGAGGTATGGATCTTGAATTTAGTTCTCTTAAATTTGACCTAAGAAATAAATAACATATTTTTGACCCATACAAAGCTTTTATAGTGGTTGTACCACTTCTCAAAACCATCACACCAAGATGTGCCCTAGTCTATTCAACATATAATAAAGATAGTGGACCAACAAAAAAAGACAAGCCCTAATGGGTCCATCACCCTAGCACTGCCTTTTAGCTTTACAATGGGAAAATATCGAGAAAAATTGAAAAAAAAGATACAATATAAGTGGAGGAGAAGTTGGTCAGTTGTAAATATGATTGAACATAGGATAACATAAGAGAGCCAACCTAAAGATGAAATTGAATAAAATGATTGTCAATTTCATTATCCTTGATGTGCTCATGAAAATTTCAATTATGGGCAATTTCATTGTCACTTTTGTCATCACAATAGAGATTTTGGTAATAAGATCTCACCAAGAAACAAATGTAGCTAAATAATTTTCACTGATATAGAAGCTCAAACTCTATACTCTACTTCTATGGTAGATCAAGTTCTTATTTCTTGATCTTTCATGAACTGATGGAACTATCAATAAAAATACACAAACTAGTGATGGAATTACGATTAATAATATCACCGGCCAAATTAGCATTAGAAAAGTATGAAAAGTCCTCAAGCCAAAGTACCATGAACATACCTAAGAATCCATAAAACAAATGTCCAATGGTCAGAGCTAGGGGCTTAATTAATGATATATATTACAAATTGAATGTCCTTACGAATGATTGTCAAATATACACGTGATCCAATAATTCATCTATAGTAAGATGGATCATCTAAAGGAGTGTCATCATCAAGAAAGAGTTAAGAATTCAGCTCACATAGAGTATCATCTTCAATTACTCACTGCATACATTAGAAAGACTTGATCAAAAAAATTGAGTGTATATTTTGATAGGAAAAGAATATATCTTATAAGGAAAGGAACAACTTTAATACTCAAGAAATAATGAAGATGACTAAATTTTTTTCATATCAGATAATATATGAAGTTGGGTCCTGATGTGACAATGTCATTCACATATAAAAGTAGAAGGATCTATCCTCCAGTAGAAGAAGAAGTGAACAAAATTAAGTCATAAGAAGATACAACAAATCTAAGTTAAAGAAGAGTAATAGTAAACTTCTTACACCAAGAACGAGGGGGCTACTTAAGGTCATGATGAGAAAGTCTAATAGTTGTAGACATATACTTCTTCAGAAAGATTCTTATTAATAAAATTATTTTTTACATCAAATTGATATAATGATCAACCATAAGAAACAACAATATATATATAAGTACAAACTAAAATATTTTTGTGATAGGAGCAAACATTTCTTTAAGTCAAGGCCATATCTCCATTAAAGAGTCAATATGCCTTAGTTATAATCTTCTATGCATATTTTCAGTCAATAACACATTTATCTATAAGAAGAAAAACAACATCTCAAGTGCTAGTTTGATGGAGTTCATCAAGCTCTTCTAGCATTGCTTGTTGTCAATTTAGATCAAAGGATAGTTCTTCTAGCATTAGCTTGTTGTAAATAAGATAATAAATATTAGAAAGAAATGGAAGATAATTAAGAGAGTAAGCAGTGATCAGTGAGGCATACCTAGTGAGTAATTGAAGATTTCAAGCTTGAAGAAAGCAATGTTCAATCAAAGAAGATGAAGAGCAATCAATGGATGAGGAGAGGTGAGACAAGGTAGTAGACATAGGAGGTGGCTTGATATGAAAGATCTAAAGAGTCTAAGAAGAGGTCAATATGTTGTACTGTTGAGATATGAGTTTTAGAGTGAGAACAACTGTTGTAAACCAGATAGTATCAAATGTGTTCTAAAAAGACAACATAATGGCATGTTACTGAGTAGGGAAGTTCTAATACCATGCAAAGAAGGAAAGAAGAGAGAAGTAACAAGAGAAAAGAGAGGAGAGAGAGTAAAGGAGTGCAAGGAAAGAAGATAAAACACCATGATTTGATGGTTTACAAGGGCAAAGGGTTTCCTTTTATAGAAGTCTTTGGGCCCCAAGGATGAAATGGGCACCTTGAAATGGGCTGTCCATCTCCTTGAAAAATGGTTCACAATGAAAACTTGAAATGAGAGCCCTTAAATGAGCCATCTGTTTCCACAAAAATTGGTCCACAAAGGGACCATTTTTTATAAATGATGTTGGGTCTCTTTACAAATCATGGCTGACTTGATAATTTCCATTGGTGATGGCTTAGTTTGGCAGCACATTCATGGATGCTAAGTAGAATATATGTCATAAAATCTTTCATAGATGAATCCCAACAATCAATTTCCAACAACTACATGTAAGATACAAGGAATCGTTTTATTTGACAAGTTAAGAGTGAGTAAATCTAGTGAAAGATCATTCATTCATCAAGGAGAGTAGTTTCCTCCCTCACCTACACTGATTACTGGTGGGGCTCTGTTAGATTCATCTGACCAGTTGGCAATGAGGACTCTCTTACCGTCGCCATCGGTAAAGAGGTACTTGGTTTCTAGCCTACCGCCAATGAATCCGGCATCAAGATTAAATGGTCTCAATAATATTTATAATAATTAGTATAAATATTATAAATTTTATAATATTCAATCGATTAGTTATGAATTGTGAAGAACATTAAACTAGCTAGGTAATTTATATTAATATTATAAATTATCAATAATTGTAAATGCACCAAAACATTGTAGATTGACGGGATTTGGTATGATACTTATGGGATCGATGAGATTGATATTCAAATATTTATTCTTAGAACGTATGGATTTGACCCCATAAGTGGGACCACCACACAATAGCATGTTGCCGTCAGAAGCAGAACCCCGTATTTCTTCCAGAGAATCTCCTAATTGTTCCAGAGCAACTAGAAAGAGATTCTCACAATCAAAATCAAAGATAACCAGAACTCACCGATAGATCATCATTTTCTGTTCCATTGAAGAGGCAAGGTTTCATAGATCCTTTGACAATGAACCAGCTGTACAAGTTAACCCGACTGATGGTAGCAGCGAGTGGTGCAGTGGTAGCATCCAATGGTGAAGTCGTAGTAGAGTATGCTAGACAGAAATCTCAAATGTTCATACTTTAAATCGGTCCCATTATTGTGGGGAGATGGATCAGAAACTTCTGCACTTGCGATAGAGGCGAAAGCCTTTGGTGGTTGGTCTTATTGGCTAGGCCAGAGCATGTGGGTAAAAGTCATACTCTTTCATTTGGCATTGAAAGTTGGAATTGGCATTGAAAGTTGGAATTGGCATTGAAAGTCATACCCTATAATGTGGGCGTTATTAGCCATAATAATATACTTATTTTTTCAAATTTATTATGCAAGTTTCTGAGTTAGTCAGTTAACGGAATAGTAATCAATTTGAAAATCGAGTTCACCCTTTCTCTCTTGGAAGTAAAACCCACCTTTTGAAATATGGCAAAAAAAACCCAAGCAAGAAAACAACAACTAATGACATCTAAACCAAGTACTCTCTCTCTCTCTCTCTCTCTCTCTCTCTCTCTCTCTCTCTCTCTCTCTCTCTTTCTCTTTCCCTCAACAAATTTCCCATGTATCAATAGTGCAGGAAGCACCTATTCATGGCCGTGCTTGAAGTAGCCAGGTTCTGCCGTGCTACGTATGTTGCTTCTTATAATGCAAGCGATTCTGCACAGGTAATATTCAACTGCATCTTACTCACAACACCCGGTGCCATGGGAGGTGCTTATGCCATGCACAACATGACCCATCCGCGTGCAGTGAGGTCTAGCAGCAACATGCACATCCTCTGCACATAAAGAGCTGCAGATTTCAACACAAGACGGTGCTAATACCGTGTGGCGTGCAGGGTTCTACCATACAGTGCCCGAGTGGTATACCAACTGCGCCTTGTTTCTGAGGTTCTCGTAGCTGTGGAGTGGTAGACCCTGCGTGTAGAGGGGTTTCATAGCGGGACTCTAAGTGGGCAAGCGGAGGTAAAACCCTTGTGTCTGAGGGCAGGAGGCTAAAGCCCTTGAGAGCCTGAAGCGGAACGCCTGAAGGGGAAGAGACAGTAGGTGGCAAGTTCTACGAGAGAGAAAAAAATTCTAGCCATTGTTGTGTCGAAAACAGCATCCCCCGGTTTTTTTTATCGTGGAAAACTCTCTCTCCCTCTGTCACGGCTACACCAGGGATATGTAGCCGTTGGTGATCATCCAGCGGAGGCTCCAGTGCTGTTTCTCGCACTTGTAGGTCCAGTAGGCCCACCCGAAGGAGGCATTACCCAAGACCTTCAGCTGCGCTTCTGCAAACCTCCGGTAATCTTCAGACGTCGCATTGTTCACATTCCACTCGGCGACCCATTCCCCTGCGGCGGCCAATGGCGTCAGAGGTAAGAAAACTATCCCAATATCCACAGCGGCTCGGCTGTGTGGGGGTCTTACCGACGAAGGAGAGGGGGCGGCCGTTGGACTTGGTCACGACGGCGAGCTGGTTGGCCCTCTGGTTGTGCACGTAGTCGATATTCTGCTGCGCCGTCCATCCATCAAACATGTCGGAGAAAAGGTTGTAATAGTGAACGTCCAGGACGGTGCCGTCGAGGCCGCTGGTGAACGGAATGAACTCCCCCGCGTCAGCGGACAACCGGGCGGAGAAGATCACGTAGGCGGTACTTGTGTGCCTGCGCACGGCGTCGTAGCCGGCTTGATAGTAGCTCTTCAGGGTATCAAAGCCAACTCCTTCTGCCCTTGGTTCGTTGATGAGCTCCACCGCGATCAGGCTGGGTCTGCTTGCATACCTGTCGGCGGACTTTCCGCGATTAGGATAATTTCAGTAATAAGAGTTTCAATTTTGTGATTCAATGTAGCGACTTTTAGACCTCTGGGCGAGGAACTCAATGACGGACACCGTCTTTTCTATGCTGCCAGGTTCGACTCCCCACTCGATGATGCCGTCTCTACCGCCGCTGTGCTCATCACCGTTCTGGGATCCGGGGGCTGCGTGGAGATCGATGATCACCTTCAGGCCGTACTTACTGGACACAGGGAAACCACATCGTCATCGTCAATGAACGAGAGAAAGGTTCATGGGTGCGTTTAATTTCGCTTACTCTGCCCAGGAGAACGCGTTGTCCAGAGCCTCCAGGGACCCGCCCACGTATGGCGCCGGAGTAGGGTCGCTGGCGATCCACCACCCACCGGAACCCTAACGGCGTTGAGCCCATTGTCCTTGATAAACTTGAAGTCCTCCTCGACGATAAAGCTCTGCCAGTGCTCCTGCGACAAAAAAATCAGAACAGCCATCGCTTATGGGAAAGCTCCTCAGTACCAGGGGAGAAGGGGGAGGGGAGTCTTCTTCCTCACCCTCATGACCGTGGGGGCTCTGGCGAGCCCCTAGCCGTTGGTCAACTGGTACTCCCCTCCCATGGTCCCAAAAGCCGTCATCAAGAACACCGACGGGTCGTCATTCCCCCAGTTGCCGTCGCCGACGAAGTCCGCGGTCACCGAGCTCTCCGTCTTGGCCTGCAAGAAGAGACCATTGGGTGCCCTGATGCGGACTCGATTGGGATCCCCCGTTCTTCTCACGATCTCAAAGGTCTCCGCGGGGCCCGGCCTCGTCGTCACAGCCACCGCGTAGCCGCCGTTGTTCACAGCGACAAATTGTTTAAAGAAGACCCGGAACTGGAAGTGGGTCGCATCGACCCTCCATAACTGTGATTTCATGTGGAGTCATCAGGTTAGCCACTCTTCGCCTCCATCGTCATTCACCCTAACAAATATCTCAAATCAGGTGTGTGATATGGATCTCGGATACTGATGAAAATTAAATCACTAACTTTCAAGGTCTCCCAACCAGAGGGGCTAGCCCGATTAGCTACAACTACCGTCCCGCCACCGTTTTCAGCGCAGAGGTACTTCCCAAGAGCGACGGACCTCAGCTGGACTTGGGTTCCATCCTGCCGCCCATTCAATCCGACCTTCAGATAGGACGGTAACAGACCAACCGATGGAATGGAAGAATATGAAGACTCACCAGTAGATCATTGTTAACGATCCGATCGAAGAGAGACGGATTTATCCATCCCTCGGTAACGGGCCAGCCACCCAAATTTACCGCCTATATGGTGTTGGTCGGAGCCATTGTGGCGGTGGAGATGGGGTTGAGTGGGGAGATGAGGAAGAAAAGGAAGACGAGGGCTCTGAGGATGCCGAAAGGAACCGTCTAACGTTCTCCTTTAATAGGCACCACATGACTCCCCGCCGCCCCATAAGGTGCGAGGATTACTCGATCAACGAGAAGGTCACACGATCCAGAATCAATAGTTAATGTGATAAGATGGCTCTTATGCTTAGAATCTCAAAGCCAGCTGGCTCAATCAAGTAGCTGTGGGACGGGTACAGAACGTTCTAAAAGTCGTTCTTATCGAGAAGGAATCTCTCTCTCTCTCTCTCTCTCTCTCTCTCTCTCTCTCTCTCTCTCTCTCTCTCTCTCTCTCTCTCTCTCTATCTCGATTTCGGCATTTCCTTCCGGAAATCGATCCTAAGAATGGTCGAATGGCTTGCTAGGGGTATCATAGGAGTTTGAAAGTAGGTGTTTTCGCTCTCGCACATCGATTGGGCAGCTCTTTCTATACACATTTTGGGGCTGGTAAGGATTATTTTATTGTTCCTAGACTTGTATTATTCAAGCAGAAAACGATCTCTGTTCATCAAAATGGGGATCCTTCGTTCATAATCCTTCTGAAGAAATGAATTGGGCTCACTGCATGAAATGAGGTTAAGAAATCTTCTCATTGTCGATCGAAAACCGCATTACTAAGATTCTTATAGATGATCACAGACACTACTCGTCGACATTGGGTACGTGGGCTGGCGTGCTTGTTAGTAGATTAGTTGTTATAATTAGTTTGTCTACACATGCGCGCAGGAATATTTATACGCTCACGTGCACCCCCCGGAGGCGTGTTCAAAGTAAGCGAATTTAGGGGGTGGTCATTGCCTGAAATGATTGTATGTCCCAATACCCACTTGATCGCCATCGCCTCCGGTGCTGCCAAATATCAGTTGGAGTTTTTACAGGAATATCAGAGAACATTGCTTCTCCCCCCGAACCATTGCATTGAATATTCATATTATCGAAAAATATATTCCTAATGTATTGATCGATTATAGTCCATGTATAAGAGTAAATGAGAATCAACGCTCAAGATGTACAGTTGTCACGAGGATGGAGGGTTGATCTACCTCGATTCTCACCTCTTCACACAGCGTGGAAGACTTCTACTCATCCGGAGGATAATGTACTCTTTCGTAGAATACACGAGAAGGAAGGAGGAAGACCCCCGCAGAGATGTTCCAACCTGCATGGCTTTCTTTGTTAGGAATCTATTCCCGGTTCAAGACGTTCGCTAACAAGTGACTGGGTAAATACGAGACTTGCTAAGTTTAGCCAGCTTATTCTTTACATCGGAGCTTATCTCCGAGTTCCCTTCTCTCATTCACTATACCAAGATATAAGTGACGATCCTCCATCCACAAGGGTCGTCAAGACGTCTCTGCGAAGCCATTCTTAGATGAACTACACGAATATTAGTTTAGTTGATATCATGGACCGATAACAGACATGTTCTTCTCGGGTACTATAAATGAAAATGTTAAATAACCCAATGGTGTGGAGAAAAATGACACCAAAATTCGAGCAAGATATTTGTGAGACTGAAACAGGTTGAATCCGAAACAGCAATTTTATAATTTGAACTCAATAGATGACGATGAAAGGATGTTTTTTCTTATTAAAATTTCCTATAAAGGACTAGTCAATATGCAGTGAAATATTATAGATGAGCAGGGGGGAGCTAGACAAGGCCTAAAAGGGAAGTTCAAGGTAGAGACACCGATTACCTCTCATTTGTGATATCAAATCCAGCCTTCATAAACATGGTATCTACAAGTCACAAAAAAAGAGATCATAGACCAGTCTTACATACCTTTTTTTCTACTCATGACATGATCTAATAAGGATTTTTGGTTCGCAACCTCTACTGAACTCTTGGTTATGATGATGATATGATGAAAGTTTAATAGGACATGAATTATGTTTTCTAGAGGTCTTCATTAATTGCGAACCAAAAATTTTAACCACAAAAACTTAATGTTTAATTCATTTGCAACGTTTACCAAATGCCAATATTTTATACGTTTAAATATTTTAATCAATAGTATGCATGTCGATAATCTATTATGTATATTATTTCAGACAATATGCATGTACTTTTGTATTTCATTTCTCACCAACAAATTTCAAGACACTTTCACATTGGCTTCTTGATTAACGTGCATAATATAGCTTTGACTTATTACTTATATATGGATTGAAGCAGAGGTCTTGATCAACACAAGTATTAACATTGCCGATGAACTTAGATAGCTTTAAACTTTATTTTAAGCTCAAAAATTGGTATACTTAATTCATTGGGGATGCCTTTTGAAGAAGAAGCCAATTCAACAAAGAGTCACCAAAAAAATATAAGAATTCAGATAGATATCATTTCTACACTATTAGTTTATATTTCTAGAGTAGTCTATGTAGAACATAACCAGATAGTTAGCATTTCATTTCCTAGCCATTTCTAATTGTTGCAGGTAAATTGAATAAGGTGAAAACATAAGTTATAAGAACATGGCACTGTTCTACACTTCAGATTGTTGAAAGTGAGCTTCAATAGAGAAAATCCATCTATCCAAAAAAAATTGTTGAGTGGAAGACCAATAGACCATGAGATACTAGGAGCTAATCATGTTAAAGCCGGGGTCATAATGTAGCCAATTATTCAAGAGTTACTCTTAGAGCAGCATGCTAGCATTGATAACTTTTCAATGCTAGATCTAAGAAATTTAGAACTTAATCCTCCTAAATATAAGTGAAAAAGCAAATACAAAGGAAGATATTGGGATAAACAACCAAGAAAAAAAAGTTGAACCATGTTAGGAAATTTTGTACTATGAAAATAAATGTATACACAAGCGATGGAGAGAATTCCATACATGAACAAAGTACATAGAAATTTCTCTCTCCCTCCCTCTCTCTCTCTCTCTCTCTCTCTCTCTTCCCCCCCCCCCCTCTCTTTTTGGCAGGCTGAAGTGGGAAGGACCAATTCACCAACTTTACCTCTATTATATACCTTTGAGTCCAAATGTTTAGTGTAATGCAAAAAGTTCATTTTTCCAGTGTGTACACAAATGGGAGAGCTCTCAACCTATAGAGCTCCCTTAGCCCTCTTCATCTTCTCCCCTTAGCATATTTTATGTTGTCCCACAAATAATATTTCTCACAAAATCACACGATTTTTCATCACTAGAAGAATAAGAAATTTTTATGAGGAGAAGCCTGATGATCTCTACCAAAAATAAGAGAAGAACAACATTATGAAAAGAAATGTTAGATTGAACAATAGAGGGTATGTCATTTAGTGACATAGATAAATCACTAGTTGTGCACACTAAGATAGGATATAAAAATGAAGTTGAATTAGTACAACAACTAAGGAAGCTGTCATATGAATTATGATACTAGAATTAAAGAACTAAAGAAAAGTTGTACAAAGAGATTTAGAAGTAGACAAGTTTACATAACCTAAATTAGTAAAGGTAGTGGCCTTAGATTGATATATGTATACAAGATGTCAACATTTTATATCCTCTTAGGTAAAGAGTTATGGGTTGCTTAGTAGATATAGTAAATTTAATTGGGACAATAAATCCTTGAAAGTCACAACCATCGTCCTTATGTAGAGGTAATTGTATCTTATCTTCATCCACACATTTTTTCTTGTAATTGAAGATAGTCTTTCTTTTAATGACCTCTAATATGAGAGTAACGTGACTTAGTTGTTGTATAATAAATCACGCAAATTTAAAATTTATAAAACTAGAAAATACGAATTTTCAGATATTTAGAAGTATTTCTGAACAAATATATCAATTAATTTAATAAAACTTCCAAAAATAGTGATAATTTTCCAGGTCGATCACAAGGATGAAATATAATATCAAGTAATTATTCAGAATTTTTCTCAAATAGTATAATTTTCTATGAATTCTACATTAGGAAATAAAAATGAAATCTATTTAAAATTCACAAAAAAGGAAAATAAGGGTGTTGACGTCACGATGACGTCAGTGCCTAGCGAACGCAAATCGAGCAGAAATAGTGTTCTACTTGACAATTCTTACGTAAGTGATTACAGATGATTTAATTAATCAAATTAAGATTTGTAAAAGCCGGAAGAATCGTAATTGAATGAAGTATAACTTGGTAAATTTAAATCACACAAATTATCACTAAATGAAGCATAAAGTAAGTTGAAAATAGGAAAACAAAGTTTCAACGTCGTAGCGGTCATGCGTCGACGATGCACCAAAATCCTAAGCATTCAGGAGGATCATCGTGTAGTGTCCACAGCTTCGAAAGCTCTCCTTGTACAAGGATGACGTGAGCAATCTCTAGATTTTCTTGCGAAGTTTAGAGATCAATAAAATGGGTTGTCGAATCGTCTCCGGCGGCTGTCACCCAGCGGAGCGGAAAAACGACGACTTTGTGGGTCTCCGGCGGTTGTCACCTGATGGAAAAGAGCTAGATGGAGGTGGGGTGCATGTCATGGAGGTTCATCCTCAGGTCCGCACAGTAAGAGGAGGCTCTTCATCGCATTTGGTACGATCTCAGAAGGTGGCAACTCGTCTCCTAGTAGATTGTCCTCTTCCCGACGACAGCTTGTTCGTCGATCAATCGGAGATGCTTTACTCAATGGATTCACGATCCTTTTATCACAAATCGTTCAGCAATTTTAGAAACAATGCTCCGCGAATTGTGTTGATGAGATTTTCGCCAATGATCCAATAATTTTGGTGGCTTAATCCTTCACCGGCGATTTGCAGGAAAGTCGCGATAATCAGATAAAAAATATGAGTTTTTGCTCTAAGAGGATTCGAACCCGCACCAATTGCCTGCCTACATGAGAGAGATTGACATAAGTACTTTAATGCCTTTATCAAATGACGTCATCATGGTATATCACTATTATAAATAAGGGATATTATAGGTATTAAAATCATCGAAGCCTTTTTGGGGAAAGTGTGACGCGAGTTTAGTCTCACATCGCTTGTGCGCCGAAGTTTTGGATGAATATATAGTAATATTACATTTGCAAGCAAGTCACTTTCTCCCGTGTATATGACCACTCCTTACCCCACAGTCGGCTAGCCATCGGTGACATGAAAGGGGAGTGGTGCACACGTGTCCCCATCGGTCCTAGTTGCTCGAGCCCCTGCTCACAGCTCCTCCCCAACTGCACTTTCGACCTGCTTGCGGGCCCGGCTGGCGGGCGGGTCCCCTCCATTTTGTTATACTTTTATTTTTATTTCTTTTTCTTTATTTATCTCAAAAGTAAGACTATAAAAATTATATAAATTCGTATAAAATCACATAATTACCCAAAAATTCACATTAATCAATTGAAAACCACTTTTCACACTTTAACACAAATATAAGTCTATTTATCATAAGTTAAGGCTAAAACTATAATATTTACTAGTTATTAACTCATGATAATGAAGACTTATCAGTAACTAATAATATTTATCATATTAAATATGAGGCATTAGTTTCATAAGAGCTAGAGTATGATTATTATTTTTAATAGTTTATATTTGTGTAGTTTTGAGTACAATAGTAGAATGAATGCAAATGAATTACTTCAATAAATAACTCACTAACTACAATATAAATAGTAGCATTGGAGATTGATGTAGCAAAGATCTATGTACAATCTAAAAGTTATTTAAAAGTGTCATTCATAAATTTACTAAATGTTTTCTCACAATATTGTATAAAATCAAAGTTGATTGTAGTTTACAATATATTAAGATGAGAATAAAAAATTGAACAAATTGGGTGCATTGACAAGTAATCTTGATTTCACCTTCAAGTTGATATTCTTTCACAAAATTAAAGTATGTATAAAAGGAGTATAAATACTTAGTTTTTATAGTGGAGATTTTTTTTAATTGTAAACCAATAGATTGATCCACAAAGTCATTAAACATAAGAATCTTAGAGTTCTTTATGTGTCAACCTTCCATTTGACATTTGTACTTGAGCAGTCCAAATGAGTATGAGTTATCTCTGGGTTGTGGTTCAACTAGCATAATTATTGTGTCATGTATATATTTTTACATCTTTTTTTCTACAGATAAAATGAGTAATCTCATAACTCTAATATGAGTGATTGATTTCATTTAATAGAATTACTAAGGGTTTCATAATTCATCAAATATCTCCATTTATATCCAAAAAGGAAAAATATGAAGATCCATGCCCGTAGATTCTACTAATCACTAATTGAAGAAAGTAACCTCACAATCAAATATAAATGTGAAACCTATTAGGCAAATATAAATTAGAAAGGTAATCTCTTAATAAGTAAATCTTGAAATAAATCCTTGAAATAATTAAAAAATGAACTAGAAATCTAGATCTAATCATGCAGTTAACAAAATGAGAGGAAGATGTAAAATCACCAAGACCAATGAGAATGATAAATGTTACTTTGATCTTCCACTTTTGATCTCAATAGAATGATGTCTATCTTGAGGCGCTGCTAAGATAAACAAGTACAAAAATATCAAGAGATGGGTGGCTGAGAAAATATGACCAAAAGGAATGGAAACACAATCAAAACAAGGACCCGGGGTAGTGTCAACATGGTTGTTTTCAGGCCAAGTGGAGAGGGATATCATTTTGGATTATATGATAACATCCAAGAGGAAGCTTGATTCATGGTAGATGATTAAGTGAGGAAGAGAAGAGAATAAAGTAGATGAGGAGGTAACCATTAGGATAGAGAAACATTGAGAGATAGAAACATGTAATCATTACACCTAGATATTCCCCAATCTGTTCAATATTTAAAAGGGATAGTGGGCCAAAAAAAAGATAAGTACTAGTGGGCCCATCTCTCTAATAACTACATCCATTCATATCATTTTTATTTTCTGAATTTTTAAGATTAAATTGAAGATTAAAAACTACCAAAAAAGTATGAAGTAATGACTTCATCTCCCCCCCCCCTAATTACACCCAGATATTCCCCAGTCTATTCAATACATAGTAGGGATAATGGTCCAACAAAAAAGACAGGTCTTTGTGGGCCCATCACTCTAATAATAACATCCAATCATATCATTTTATTTTCTGAGTTTTTAAGATTAAATTGAAGAGTAAAAGCTAAACATTACTTAAGTAATGAATTCATCTCCCCTGCTCCCCCATTACACCTAGATATTCCCTAGTCTATTCAACATATAATATAGATAATCAACCAAGAAAAGAGGACAAGTACTAGTGGGCCTATCACTCTTATAATAATATCCAATCATATATTTTTTATTTTCTAAAATTTTAATATTAAATTGAAGAGTAAATTTAATATTATCAGTTTTATTTTCTAAAATTTCTAAATTCATTACTCTTCAATGTACTCTTAATTTTTAAGATCACATTAAATTTTAATTTGCTGAAGTAATGAATTCATCTACCCCACCCCCAACACACACGTCCTAGTTGACTAAATAAGCCAAGTCAATACTTGGTCTGACCCACATCCAGGCCTATCTTGGCCTCCAAGGACAAGCCTAAAAAATGGGGCTAGTTTAAGAGGAAAACGCCAAGAAATGTGGTGGGCCCCACCAATGCATCAAATTGTTAGAATTGGGGACCCACTGAAGAAGGCCAAAAAATGGGGGGGGGCGGATTTTGGGTTTGATGGCCCAAGTGGGGTGGAAAAAATAGAGAAAAAATCATAAAGTGTATTTATGGTTAACATTATTTAATCAATAAAAAATAAAAGTCATGGAAATAAATAAAGGCTTTTAATTAAGTATTCCCTCAATTAATTTAGATAAAGTATATTTATAATTAAAATGTATTCAATGAGGATAAAAAATTATTTAATCAAAAGTGAACGGCGACTTTTATGACATATTTCTCACATATTTTTAATCAATAAAAAAAGAAAAGCCAAAGAAATAAATAAGGGCTTTTCTGAAGTATTCACTCAACTAATTTATATAAAGTATATTATAATTAAAATGTATTCAAAGTGGATAAAAAAATTATTTAATCACATGTGGACGGCAACTTTTGTGACATATTTCTCAACCAATAAGTACCGAGGGTGAGAGAGGAAGACAAACTCGTTGTCGCAGAGATATTTCCGAGAGATATCTTGTCCGGTGGTTGGGTTGACCCCAAGTGGCGGTCAAACGGATGCCGCCGACCACCACCTCGCTTCTGGTTACCGCCACGGGCCCCCGCCTGGGAGTCGGGGAGTCCAAAAGCAAAGTCGCTGACTTTTTCTATATTAGGAAGTGGTGGTTGTTGAATTGGTCAACGTTGTGCCGTTAGGCCAAGGATGAAATGGGATTTTAGTAGGTGATAATAAGTTCGGCAAACCAAGAGAATTAATAAGAAAAACTGATCCCCAGGGCCTCTCTCTCTCTCTCTCTCTCTCTCTCTCTCTCGCTGCCCGAAATTCAATCTCCAAATCGATTAGGGTCCTAAGTTCGGAACCCAATCCGCAGCTGAGGACACAGAAGAAGGCAAATCTTCCATTGTTCAACAGGATTCAAACAAAACAATTAGAAGAGGGAGAGAGAGAGAGCGGTCAAAGATTTATTGCTGCCTACCAACTGGGTTCTTCGATCCTCTGACGCAAGATCCGGTCTCCAAAGGGCCCCCGCGGATTTCTAGGGTTCTTGAATCGGCGGAGCTAGAAGCCGAGGTGGGAGAGCTCGGGCCGTTGGGTGGGCCGCTGGATCCTCGTCTTGCGGAGGCGCTCGGCGATGATGAAGGCGAGCTCGAGGGACTGCGAGGCGTTGAGGCGCGGGTCGCAGTGGGTGTGGTAGCGGGAGCTGAGGTCGTCGAAGGTCACCGTGCGGGAGCCGCCGATGCACTCGGTCACATTCTGGCCGGTCATCTCAAGGTGGACACCGCCGGGGTGGCTGCCCTCCTGCTCGTGGACGTCGAAGAAGGCCCTCACTTCCGCCTGCAAGCGCAGCGGCCGGAGGATCAGAAGGGAAATCCAGGGCGGCGATGGTGGCGGGGCCGCCGGGGGGAGAGAAGAGAGGACAGGGGAACTGGCTTACCCGGATGGCATCGAACGGGCGGGTCTTGAGGCCGCAGGGAGCCTTGATGGTGTTGCCGTGCATGGGGTCGCTGACCCAGGTGACGACGAGGCCGGCGCGGCGGACGGCGCGGATGAGGTGGGGGAGCTTGACCCGCATGTTCTCGGCGCCCATGCGGGTGATGACGGTGATGCGGCCGGGCTTGTTGTGGGGGTTGAGGATTTCCACGAGCTTCACTAGCTCGGATGGGTTCATCTTGTCGCTGACCTTGATGCCAAGGGGGTTGCCGACGCCGCGGAGGAACTCGACGTGGGCGCCGCCGAGCTGGCGGGTGCGTTCGCCGACCCAGAGCATGTGGGCGGAGCAGTCGTAGAAGGTGCCGGTGGTGGAGTCCTCCCTGGTGAGGGCCTGCTCGTAGGGGAGGAGGAGGCACTCGTGGGAGGTCCAGAACTCGGTGGTCGTCATGATGGGGTGGTCCATCGTCAGCCCCGCCGCCGCCATGAACCCCAGAGCTTCGTCCACGCGGTGGGCCAGCTCCCGGTACCTGCAGAGACGGGAGTCAGCGCCGGAGGAGGGGCGGCGCGCGCCGTCGCAGGTTCCAGTGGGAGAAGGTTGCTGCTGCTCACCGGTCTCCCTGCTCGCTGTGCTCGGTGAAGTCGAGGTTCCACTGGGTGACGCGCTGCATGGCGGCGTAGCCGCCGGTGGCGAAGGCACGGAGGAGGTTGAGGGTGGCGGCGGACTGGCAGTAGGCGCGGATCATCCTGTGCGGGTCCGGCGTGCGGGACTTCTCGTCGAAGACATCACCGTTGATGTTGTCTCCACGGTAGCTCGGCAGCTTCACGCCGTTCTTCTCCTCGAAGGGATCCGACCGGGGCTTGGCGAACTGGCCAGCCATCCTCCCCACCTGCCGCGCGAGGAAGAAGAAGACAACGAAGCTTAAGTGTAAGTTCTCTTATGCTCACCGCGAAGCAGGGAAATGATTTACCCAACAACCAACCATCTAGATCGGACGGCTGAAAAAATAATATTTAAATAATATCCAGGAGAGAGAAAACGTGTCTTCTCATGCCGATACGCATTCGACAGCCGATTTCGACCAAGATGACCGGCGTCGGTTCACCACGCGGAGTGAAAGACGACGACGCCGTCCGATCGGGATCGGACGGCCAACAACGGTAGATCTAGAGGTAAAAAGCACGCATAAGAAAGGGCGCGCGCGGCCGATCACGGCGGCGACGCCGCCTTGGTCGGCAGAGATTTGCGGAGATCGGGGACCAGGGAGAGGGGAACAGACCTTGATGACCGGCATCTGGCCGCCGAAGGTGAGGACGGCTCCCATCTGGAGGAGGATGCGGAAGGTGTCACGGATGTTGTTGGCGTGGAACTCCTTGAAGCTCTCGGCGCAGTCACCACCCTGGAGAAGGAAGGCCCGCCCCATCGCCGCCTCCCCCAGCCGCTCCTCAAGGCTCCTCGCCTCGCCGGCAAACACGATCGGTGGGAAAGCCTCCAGCGTCCGCAGCACGCTCTCCAGCTCCGCCTTGTCTGGGTACTCCGGCAGCTGCAGTGCCTCCTTCCCCTTCCAGCTCTCCACCGTCCACTTCGCCGCCGCCGCCGCCGCTGCCGGCACCGCCGTGGCCGCGGCCGGGGGGGGAGTCTTCGCCGGCTCCGCCGCCCGCACCGCAGAGATAGGCCGCCGGCGGAGGCGAAGGACACCGCCGGCTTTCTGCTGCCTCCGGCCGGCGCCGGTCAGCCCCTGGCGCGGCTGCTGGAGGACGGACTTCGCGTTCACGGTGGCCATCTCGTCCTCCTCCCTCTTCCCCCCGACCGCAAGCTAGAGAGAGAAAGCTTTCAGCTAGCGAGAGAGAGAGAATGAGAGAGAGCGGCACCCTGAGAAGAGGGAGACCGCCGAAGTGGCATTTTATAGTCTCGCGGGGTAGGTGAGGGAGCCGGGCGGTTGGGAGCCTCCACGCTCGCTCCTTCCGGGGCATATTCCGAGAATCTTACACCAAGTAGAGGGTAGAAACGTCATATATTTCACCCCACCGGCCCAATAAGCCACGCAGGCGCCACCAAACCCCGCCCGAGAGGGTTAGGTGTGAGTTGTGGGCTTTCTCGTCCCTCCATTCGTTCTTATTGGGCTAATAATGGGCCCACATTAAACAAATCCTAATAAATCTATACCCAGGTGGGCCCACCTGCCATTTTTCCTGGGCTTCGGCCTCAAACTAACCACCCGATATCTTTTGGTCACGTGAGGAAGACAGAGAGAGAGAGAGAGAAGACTTAGCTGGAAGCCTCCTCACCCACCCCTCCTCTTTGACCGAAGTAGAGAGAGTCTCTCTCTCTCTCTCTCGCTAATTAACACATTATGGAGGTTGGGTTAGCGACTGTTTTCTCTTTGAAAGCCAAAGCGGGGGTTAATTAGGGACGGGAACCTCCGTCAATCAACCAACTCACGTGACGACTGTCCGAGACGGCCGGCGCCACCTAACCCGACCGAGCCTCCCAAACGCGTACACGTAGACACGGGACTCGTGCGAGTTCCTGCGCCGCCCCTGTCTAATTCCTACACGTGGCCAAAGCCAGCTCACGATCTCACCGACCGCCTACCCTCATGTCAAACATGCTGTCGTTAATGCGCACAAAAACCCTCAGTGAACATGGTACAACTGGGCGGGGCCCACCGACCTTCTGGTGGGCCCAGTAGGGCCCACATTAATTCCTCTGAGATGCCCCATTCCATGTGGGGCCCGTTGATTTGAATAGGCCAATTTATGGCCTCCACTCATTGCATAGTAGGGTTTCTTTCATTTAAACTAATAAATAAATCGTGCATTAATTATTTAATAGTTTAATAAATAGGAAATGGCAGTTATTTTCTGTTTGAAATTAATATTTATTTATTCGAATTTTTCATAAATAAAGAGAGAGGGAGAGCTCTTCCCTGGGAAGTAAATGAGATCCGTTTCTCTGCATTAATTATTTAAATTTAAATTAAAAAATCTCATAGTTTTAAATAAGTTTCAGCCAATCTCTACTTGCTGCTCTTACTGCCCACACCATCCTTCACTCACTCACCTACCCCTTGAGCAGGGGTTGGTTGGAGTATCCCATTCTCCTCTCTCTCTTTCTCTCTTTTTTTCTCGCTCTTGTTCTTGCTCTCTCTCTCTCTCTCTCTCTCTCTCACCAAGAAATATTGTTTTGTTAACTAAAAAAGATGCACACCTATCACATGTCTTTTACCTGCACCTATGACAATGACATGAAAATTTGGGGGAATTGACCAGAAAATGTAATAGCCTTTGGTGACTTAAAACTTAATTATCACATTTTTTTCAATTTCCAAGAGTAAATTGATTCATTTTTAATTTAGTTCAAGTTCATTATCATTAAGCATCCATTTAAGTTAATTAAATAAAAAATGATAAATTAATCCACCTTCATATATTCCTATGATTATTGGGAAATATTATCTAATGATATCATACTTTGAGTCATCAAATAACCTTTTGTAAAAAAACCCAATTTGATTTATGTCCATGATTATTTGAAAATATTATCTAACAAAATTAAGTTTTTCAGCAAATATCTTACCCTCAACATGCAATTTTTGGGCCATTTTAATGGGCCCATCCTTATTAAAATCTAATGTGGCCCAACCCAGCCCAATTCAAACTTGGGGAAAGGTGCCTGGTGGCAGCAGCCCAGTGGACTAGGCCAAATCTAGGCCTCAAAGAAGTAGTGGCCCAAGTTTTTTCATAGTAAATCTTTAATGATATGAGGACTTTCTTTAAAACTCACCTTTCCTCTCTCTCTCTCTAGACCTCTCTTGGGTATATCTACAACAAAATAAATATACTTTCAATTCCTCATATGGGTATAGAGAACTTTGGGCCCAACCCAACTTATGGTCAAATCTACAATGATGTAAAAACTTTCCTTAAAACAAAATAAATATATTTTCATTCCTCTTATCTCTATATTGATATAAATACTTTCCATAAAACTCCCTCACTCTTTCTCTAGAACTCTTTGGGGTATATCAACAAATGAAATAAAGATATTTTCAATTCCTCCTACATGTTGTAGAAATTTTTCTTATAACTCCTTCACTCTCTCTAGACCTCTTTTGAGTATATCTACAACAAAATAAAAAAAATTCAATGTCTCATATAGGTTCTAGATAGTTTTGAGCCCAATCCCTCCTATGAGCAAATTACAATAATATAGGGACCTTTTTAAAAAAATCTCAATTTCTCTTTCTAGACTCTTTTGAGTATATAAATAGCCAAGTAAAAAATTTTAAAATATTCATATGGAATTTTTTTTAATGATTTAAACAATTTCTTAAATATTTTGACTCTCTCTATAATTAAATAAAGATAATTTACTTCAAGTCTTCTTGTGAGGCTTAGAGAACTTCTGGCCCAAGCCTCTTGTCGACAAATCTACAACGATATAACAAATTTAAAGACTCTCTAGACCTCTGTTGAGTATATCTACAATAAAATAAAAATATTTTAAATTCATCTTAATGACCTAATCTATAAAACTCTCTTCACATATTCTCTTTATAAACCTCTCTTGAGTATATCTACAATAAATAAATATATTTTAATTTTTTATGGGCTTCAGAGAATTTTGAACCCAAGCCCATCAAAGAAATTTCTAAAATGATATAAAGAATTTCTTTAAAACTACCTCACTCTCTCTCTAGAAGTTTTCTGGGTATATTTATAACAAAAATAATTTCAATTGGAATTACGAGCTTTATAGAATTCCAAGCCCACCCCTCTTATAGCCAAAAGCTACAATAATATAAGCATTTTTTAAAGACTCCTCACAAACTCTCTCTCTAGACCTCTTTTGAGTATATCTACAATGAACTAAGATTATTTTTAATTCCTCAAGCCCAAGCAGTCTTATGATGAAATCTACAATGATATAAAAACTTTCCTTAAAACTCGCACTCTCTCTCTCTCTCTAGAAGTTTTATGGATATATTTAAAATAAATAAAAATATTTTCAATTGCTCTTATGAGCTTTAGAGAATTTTCGGCCTAAAACCTATTATGACTAAAATCTATAATAATATAAGCACATTTTTAGAACTCACATACTCCTCTCTCTAGATCTCTTTTGAGTATATCTACAATGAAAATAAAGGTTATTTTCAATTCCTCTGACGGCCTTGTGGTCAAATCTACAATGATATCCTTCCCTCCCACCCCCCCTCTCTCTCCCTCTCTCTCTCTTTCTGTCTCTCTTTCTCTCTTTCTCTCTTTCTTTCTTTCTCTCTCTCTTTCTCTCTTTCTTTCTCTCTCTCTCTCTTTCTCTCTTTCTTTCTCTCTCTCTCTCTTTCTCTCTCTCTCTCTCTCTCTCTCTCTTTCTCTCTTTCTTTCTTTCTCTCTCTCTCTCTCTCTCTCTTTCTCTCTCTCTCTCTCTCTCTTTCTTTCTCTCTCTCTCTGTAGACCACTTGTGGGCATATGTACAACGAAATAAAGATTCTATAAAAAAATATTATTCGGTAGGCGGGGGTTGCAGAGGGGAGCTACCGTCCTCGCCGCCAACTGTACCGCCGCCGCCACCGCACCGCCGCTCTCTAATGGGGTTCGCCGTGGGGGCCCACTCTCACGTGGATCCCCGTCCCCAACCGCCGCCGCCGCTGCCGCCGCCGCCGGGCCCCCTCCTACGCGTCCCATCCCCTCCCGTCGGCGGCGGCGCCCGCCCCCCCCCACCCCCCCCACCACCTCCTCCTTCACCTTTAATTCCCTTCTTCCTCTTCCGAAACCCTAACCTAACATTAACCCTAGCTAGAGAATGATCTCGCAGGGGGCTTCTCGGGCGGTGGCGCCGCCGGCGAGGAAGCACAACGGCCCTGGGAAGCCGTGGCTCGAACGGGAGACGGCGCTCCTGATCGACGCCTACGAGGAGAGATGGAGCTCTCTGAAGCGGGGGCAGCTGAAGGCTCACCAGTGGGAGGAGGTCGCCGGCTCCGTCGCCGCCAAACTCGGCCTCTCCCGCCCCTCCAAGTCCGGCACGCAGTGCCGCCACAAGATCGAGAAGCTCCGCCAACGGTACCGCGCAGAGCTCCAGCGAGGGGGCTCCTCCTCGCGGTGGACCTTCTTCGATCGAATCGACCGGATGGAGCGAGGGCCCCTTCCGATCTCCGTCCGCCCCCCCCCGCCGCCGTCCCCTCCTCCCCGCTCCGGCGACGGCGAATCTGTAGAGGTGGAAGAAGATCAGGGGCGCCGGAGAATTTCCAGATCGGGGCTGCGCGAGGATGAGTGGGCGGCGAGGGAGGTGGCGGCGGCGGTGAGGCGGTTCAGGGAAGGGCTGGCGAGGTTGCAGAAGAGGAGCCTGGAGATGGTGATCGAGATGGAGAGGGACTGGACGAAGATGGAGACCAGGAGGACGGAGATGGTGATCGAGTCCCAGAGACGTCTGGTGGAGGTCATCGCCATGGCTTTCTCCGCCAAGAAGAAGCCCCGAAGATCCCACCGCACCTGAAGAAGAAGAACACCTCGCCAGGTCCTCTCTGCGATTCTTTCTCCTCTACATTTTTAGGGTTTTCGTCGGATCCTCTCCACCCTCCCTCTCCTCTGTTCTTCTGGTTCCTCAGATTAGGGAAGATGGTGTTTGTGCGTGTTCTAGAGGACGAATAAAAAGCCCCACACTTTCTCTCTCCTGTTCTTGCCAGATTCCCTCACTGAAAATAACAGACAAGAATCTCGAGTTTAAATGGATCAAAATCATCAGTGTGTTGGGTTTTCTTTGCTGATTTTAGCAGCGATTTTCCTGTTCTTGCATGAATCTCACTCAAGAAGTCCATTTTTGGAATGGGTCGGCTAATTGATTCAGCGACTGTCTACGCGTTGACCCTGATCAGATAGTCTGATTCTGGCCTGATTTAATGTGTGATTATGTCTTAAATCGGACAACCCCAGCTTCAAATGGGTTGACCTCTTCCTGTCTGTGAGACTTCTTTCTTCATATTGGTCGTTGACTTCTTTCCAAAGTCTAGCCTGGGCCTTCTATCTTTCTCTCACTCTGTTTGAAGGTTCAGACCGGGCAGTCGGAGGCTTCATAGAAGTCGGCACCAGCGGCCCAATTTGGCGGCGGGGCCGCCTGTCTGACAGTTGACCGGCGAATGGTTGAGGGGAGGGAGGGACTAAGAAATGGGTCATTGACTTCTATCCAGAGCCTATGATAATATGTTTCCAATGTCTAGCCTGGGCATGCTCTCTCTCTCTCTCTTTCTCTCTCTTAGAGGGTTCAGACGGGCCAGTCAGAGGCTTCATAGAAATCGGCACCGGCGGCCGCCAGATCCCGTCGGCGGCCCAATTTGTCGGCGCCGCCGGCCTATCCGACAGTTGACAGGCGGATGGTTGAAGGGAGGGAGGGACTAAGAAATAATACTATGACAGTTTTGGGATTTAATGAATATGTCTAAATATTTCACGGGCTCATTAATAATTCAGCAAAAAGTCAATGCTAAAATAATCCTATTTGAACGGATTATATTTAATGTTAGGTCCCTACAAACTGGAGCCATTAATTTCTACCCTCCCCCCTTCTTTTTGATTTTCTCTTTGCCCCTAAATCCAACGTCGCTTATTTATGACTACAAATTTGTTAAGTGCCCTTAAAAAATAATTTATTATTATTATTTACTTAACAAATACAATTTACAATAAAACGATTTCCCACATATAAAATAAATATTTTAAATACAATATTTAAATAATATTAATTATGGGATTTCTAAAAAAATTGCCCCATGTCTAGGATTCGCATGAGATTTAAAAGGTCGGGCCCGGCCCGGCCCGGCCCGAACTTACTACTATCTCCTGCTCCTGCATGGGATAACTCGAGCGCGAAGAACCAATCGAAGCACGTTGATTGAAGGCCACACAAGAACACAACGAAGAAGAGGAAGAGGAAGAAGGGGAGAGAGAGAGCAAGCAAGAGAGAGAGAGGAGATGGGTTCTTCTTCTCTCCTCCCAAACCCGATCCTCTCCCCCGTGTCTGCTCCAACTTATCGCTGCCATGCGCAGCGTCGACTCAGTGGGCTGCCCCGAAGAACGCAGAATGGTGAGAGGCTCTATTCGGGTTCAGTGAAGCAGTGCAGGAGGACCCACCCCGCGCTGGCTAAGGCGGCGACGCCGCCGGTGGTGGCGGCGGCGGCGGGGGCGGCGACGGCCACTTCCTCCCCACTCCACGCCCTCATCTTCGACTGCGACGGCGTCATATTAGAATCGGAGCATCTCCATCGGCAGGCCTACAACGATACCTTCGCCTTCTTCGATGTCCGTTGCCCGTCATCTCCTGAGGAGACGGTGAATTGGGGGCTCGAGTTCTATGATGAGCTCCAGAACCGCATCGGCGGGGGGAAGCCCAAGATGAGATGGTACGGGGGAGAGAGAATTCCCGTTTTACCTCTTTTTTCCCCTCTGTCCTCCGTTTGCCATTTAGCCGGAGATTCCTCGGACCGCGCAGGTATTTCGGCGAGAAGGGATGGCCTTCTTCCACGATCTTCCAGACTCCACCCGCGAGTGACTCTGACAGGGCGACCCTGATCGATGCGCTTCAGGTGGGCGAGCATGCCGAACTCACCTCCTGCTCCGATTTTTCCACCAATTTCATCCGAAATGCGGCTTGATTCGTCGATTGTGGCAGCAGAAAACATCAAATTCAAGTAGTGTGGATAACCCAAGAGAACCACAGAATGCAAGCCGAGGATTGATCTCTCTAGATTTCCACGCGTTGACATTTTATTCAGATGTTCACATTAATTTCACCAAAAACTCCTACTGATAAGTGTTTTCTCTGAGTGTGATGGACATGTATTCATAAAAGGTCATAGAAATTGTTCATGGTTATGTGACATGGAGATTGATTGCGGAATTAAAAAGTGTTTATCCTATGAAACCTTTTCCTTCTCAGTGATTGAGAGGATAAAGTCAACGTTCAGAGGACATCATTATATCACGAAGAAGATCATAGATCTGGCTTACAACCGGGAGATATCACAGATATATGTATCCCTGCCCTTTATCACCTTCCTCTGTGGACAACAGTAATGGAAATGAATCAAAAACATTTTCGATCGAGAGTGCTTGAAGAAGTCGACACTATATTCGAAACAATTGAAATTATTTATCAAAACGTATCCTCATTTATCCTCCTACGGCGATTTATGATCTATTTTCCCCCCCAGTTGCAGTCATTCTTTCAGTAATATGCCCTCATGCTGCTCCATGCAGGACTGGAAGACTGAGAGGTACAAGGAGATCATCAGATCAGGGACTGTGAGTGATTTCTGAGACCAGTTTCTCTAATTGATCAAGTTCTTTGTTCGATTATATATATATATATATATATATATATATATATATATTTCTATGAATGGCATTATATTGATAGCTTATTGGTTTCTCCATGAACAGGTATCCCCTCGGCCGGGGGTTCTCCGCTTAATGGACGAGGCTATAGCTGCCGTAATGTGGAAAATCTATTGGGTTCATCATTTGTTTCCTCCAGTTCATGGCTTTTGTTCTTGGGGATGAGATCTTTTTGTTGTTATATTTTATGGGTGCAGGGAATCAAGGTCGCTGTTTGCTCTGCCGCCACCAAGAGCTCAGTCATTCTCTGCCTTGAGAACTTGATTGGGAACGTAAGGAACTTGTTTTTTTGGATCTTCTTGTGAAAAAATAAGAGTTCATATTCTTCTCTTCGGCCTAAGTCATTTTTTTTTCGATTTTTTTTTTTCAGGAACGGTTCCAGGGTCTGGATTGTTTTCTAGCAGGTACTTTTACTTGCCTACTTCATTGTTTATTAATTTTTCAGAGATTGGCCAAAAACATGATGAAAATTATTTAAAATTTGGGATAGAATAGGGAAAATAGAGAATAATGCGGAAATAATCAGAAAAGAAAAATTCCGAGAATGCAGATTGGTTTCAAATTAAATGATCTGTATTTAATGGGTTTTAATGGGTGTGGGGGGTTCTTTTCTAGCTGGTACTTTAACTAGCTCACTTCATTAGTTATTATTGATTTAAATATTGACCGAAACATGCTGAAATTTATTTTAAAATGTGGGATTAAATGGAAAAATAAGAAGATCATGTGGCTCTGGATTGGTTTCAAATTAATTGATCTGTATCGTATGGCTCTGGATGGTTTCTCTGATGAAAATTATATGAAATGTGGGATAAAACAGAAAAATAAGAGAATAATGTCTCGGTTATTAGAAAATAAGAATTCCGAGGATACCGAATCGGTTTCTTATCTGCTCATACCATGATATACGTTGTTCTAATCTCAACCCTCATTATTTATGCTTTCTCATAGATTATTCCGAAAGTCCTAAGACGAGAAACTAAAATGTTCTCTGATTTCTATCAATGTCTTTCTGTCAGATCATTGTGATCCATAATCACCCATAATAACGAAATTTTAATTCTTTACCATTTTATACCAACAATGTACCAGCTTTTGGTGATTAAATGGTTCAGAGCCAGCTGAGGCTGTAATTCTTCTTATTTTCTCATTATTTTGGTTGGTTGACTCTAATTCCATCTAGGTGAACTCTACGCGACTCTTCTCACTTTTTGCCAAGAAATTTTGACTTGTGTTGACCCAATTACTTAATATGGGTATCAAATCAGCATGCTACCATTCTTGGGTCATGTGCCCTTGATCTTACTCACTATGATAAAATAATCTTTTTTTTTTCATGTTAATATCCTAATTGTTCTTCCAAGAATGCCACAATGCATTCGAGGAATGATGCCCAGTAATTCTTTCCTCTTTTGCAGGTGATGATGTGAAAGAGAAGAAGCCCGACCCATCAATCTACCGTACAGCCGCAAAGGTAATATCACCATCACGACTCATGCTGTTATTGCCGAATTATTCATTATTATTATTATATTTTAAATATTTTTTTGATCAATATTTCACATGAATATTTAGCAAATGCCCTGAAACTTTCTCCTTCTCTCAGAAACTCAACGTGCAGGAGAAGAACTGCCTAGTAGTTGAGGATAGCGTCATTGGGCTTCTGGTAACCCCCCCACCATATACCCAGATCAGCATACCACCTGGTGGGTGCACAGCTGGCTGGGGTGTGCCCGGGCTTCATTCGGGCCTGGCCCGTCGGCAAACCCCACCTTAAGTAAATTTAATTGATGCATTCTTTCTAACAGGCTGCCAAAGGGGCAGGAATGTCATGCATAGTGACCTACACATCCTCCACAGCCAGCCAGGTGACTCCATTTTTTTTTTCCTTATTAATTTATTATTTCCTATGTAGCTTCTAAGAATCGTGAGACCCATTTTTTATTGCAGGATTTTAGTGATGCAATCGGAATTTACCCCGATTTAAGTGACGTGAGGTTGTTGCCCCTCAAGCCCAGAAGAATTTAAGCGTTTTTTTATAATTATTATTGAATGAGAAATTGGAACGATGCCCTTTTTTTTTTTTTCTTTTTTTGACCAGGTTGGAAGAACTGGAGTCACTGTTGGGGAGCATCAGCGTACCAAAGTAGAAACAAGCTTGTGGGTATGCTGCTTGTAGCTGCTCTTTTATGGTGGGTGCTTATAATTTATTATTATTATTGTTTTGCCATTCTTGTGATAATTTTGATGCCACTTATGGGAATTCGATGGTTTCTCAGGTTATTGAGATTCATAAAAATCTCTGTGGAAAATATTTGGATTTTTTTTTTTATTTCCTTTGGAAAACCAGGTCCAACTAGGTTCAGAAGTCCCAGAAAATAGGGTTTAGACTGAGTCTGGCTTCTAGTTCTTCCAAAATATCAGCAGATTTTGGATGAAAACTCCCAATTTTCCTGAATGTGGAAAAGAATTACAAGATGGTGAGGGGGGGGGGGGGTAAGAAATTGATGGAAGAATAGACAACAAGGTCATAAATGGTTCCACTTGATCAAATGCCCTCTCCCATCCAAGATGTTGCCAGCTCTTCAGCAGGAATTCCAGCCTCTAAGTGATTCAAGAAGAGAGAGAATGTGTTAACCGCCATTTATTTCCTTCTAGTCGCCGGTTGTGCGACGATTGTTGTAGTCAGAGTTCTCAAGGCGATAGCCGACAGAGGGTGCCGCTAGTTCACCGCCATCGGTTGGGGGCTTCCTCAAGCATCTGAGCTCTCTGTGTTTGCTCCTTCTGTGGGTGGCTGTTGGGGGACTTGTGCCTCTGAAACAACAAGAGAGCTAGTAGAATATGAAAGAGTCCATACAACATAGAGTCTCTCAAATCCTAAACCTTAAACCCTAAATTTTATAGCAGGTATCCATGTGGGAAAATCTAAAATTCAAGAAATTAAGAAATTCATAGGGTGGGTTTTTTCCATAGATTATTTATTAAAGATGTTGTCTAATAAGAGGAAAAAATCTCCAAATTTGATGATGTGGATCTTTAGTATTTAGGTTGATATTCTAGCTTTACTAATACATATTTATTTGGAAAAACTAAAATTCAATAAATTAGAAAATTCATAGGTGAGTTTTTTCATGCATTAATTATTAAAGATGGTGTCTAATAAGAGGAAAAAATCCCAAATTTGATGATGTGGGTTGAGGGTGAAATTCAAGCTTTAATTATATATATTTGTGTTGGAAAAAATAAAATTCTGGAAATTAGGAAATTCATAGGTGGGTTTTTTTCATGCATTATTCATTAAAGATGGTGTCTAATAAGTGGAAAGAGATCTCAAATTTGACGATGTGGGTCTTTATTATTGAGGCTGAAACTCAAGCTTCAATAATACATATTTATGTAGGAAAAAATAAAATTCAAGAAATTAGAAAATTCATAGGTGGGTTTCTTTTTCATGCATTAATTATTAAATATGGTGTCTAATAAGAGGAAAACAACTCCAAATTTGATGATGTGGGTCCTTGTTATCAAGGCTAAAAACTCGAGCTTTAATAATATATATTTATACAGGAATATTTTTTTTCACGAAATTAGGGAATTGAGAGCTGGGTTTCTTTCATGGATTATTCACTAAAGATGGTGTCTAATAAGTGGAAAAAACCCTAAATTTGACGATGTGGGTCTTTATTATTGAGGCTGAAATTCTAGCTTTAATAATATCTATTTATGTAGGAAAAAATAAAATTCAAGAAATTAGGAAATTCATAGGTGGGTTTTTTTTCATGCATTACTCATTAAAAGCTGTTGTGTAATCAGATGAAAAAAATTGATATATCGTTGGTACATGCCTAAATTGCTAAAATGGGGAACTTTAATTATTGACACTTAGGTTGAATAAAAATGAATAAAATAATAATGTGAAAAACTGGAAAATTGAAAGAAACTAGTCCTTGATTTATCAAAAATGGCGAATAAGGAGGAATCTAGGCGAAATATATTCACTTGCTAAAATGAGAAATTCATAGAATTAATGGGATTAATGGGCCAATCACGGGCCAGCGTATCCAGGGGAGTAAGGATAGGAGGAGAGGGGGCTCACCAGCCATGTTGGAGGGCTGCTGCCTTGTCCTTGGAGGCGACTGAAGTTGGAAGGCAAGTGGCCGGGTTGCGGCGGCGGCAGTGACGGACGATGCCTCAGCTGGCGGTGGCGCCGCCTGGTACTGGACGTACGGTGGGCCCTGCATCTGGTGGGCGGGCCGGCCCGGCGAGGAGAACCCGGCCCGTGGGGAAGTCTGCATCGAGTACCCGGCAGTAGGTGCGTACTGATAAGGCGGCCCAACAACTCCGGCCCATGAAGACGGCCCATACATCTGCGCGTAGTACTGCGGCCCAATTTGAGGGTTGTACATAGCCTGGCACGCGTGACTCGCACGTGTTACATTTAAGAACAGTGGGCCCACCCAATAAGCTGATTAGAGTGGCTGTTACCTGTTGGTAGGGATAATCGCCGCCGTAGGTTACGTATCTGCAAGGAAGGGAGCACGGGGAGAATAAATCAGACGACTAGGATTTTCCCCAGGTCAGCATCACCATCGGACGGTCAGGAAACTCCAATAATGGGATCAGCGGCGGGCCACAATGGACGGCTTAGATTGTCGGGGCTGTGTCAGGGCGCTGTCGGAAGGGGGAACGGCGTGGTGGGGGGGGGTGGCGGGGGTGGGCCACATGGGCAAGGCAAGTCCGCTGGACTGCATCCCGATTTTAACAATCGTGGGACCATGGAAGGGACAGAACCCACCTTTGCCAGCCAATAAATGGGTTCGGTCCTCAGGCCTTTTGCATTTAAACCCTAAAAAAAAAATTCCGTAGAAAACCTTACAACTAAATATAAAAAAAAATCAGAGTGACAGCCAGGACAAATACAATCGAGGGACTTGATCCATACAAATATCCTAGGAGGGGTTTTTCTTTAAAAATCCCGTTAACTACATTGTAACGTAGAAGGTAGGGGACGGTGCATATGGAGTTACTATCCTCTGACTGTATCAAACGTCTCCATCAGATCGATGGAGTCGAAAGATAGAGAGAGAGAGAGAGAAGATATCAAGAGAGAGGGTGTTAGAGAGAGAGGGCTCACCCATAGGGAGGATAGACGAGCGGAGGGACAGGAGGGGTCATCTGCGCTGGCATTCTACTGTATTGGAGAGCAGATGCAGCGCCCTGCGAAGGGCCTCCTCCCCGGTAGAGATGGCTTCCTCCCTGTGCGCTACCTAGAGGGAGAGAGAATTAGCTCTCCTCCGCAGCCATGACGCAGAGGGATAGAGAGAGAGAGAGAGACAGAGAGAGAGAGATGGCCAACCTCGAGGAGGGGAGGGACGGGGGCGGCCGAGGGAAGCGATGTTGCAGTTGGCCCGCCGGCCGTCGATCACCGGATTCGGCTCCTCGCAGGCGAGCTTCGCCGAATCCGCCTCCCGGAACGTCACCTGCCCGATGCAACCCATGAAAGGGAACAAAAACGCAGAGATTGTGATGAGAGAGAACGAAGGAGGAGAGGGAGAGAGAGAGAGAAAGAGAGAGAGAGAGAGAGAGAGAAAGAGAGAGAGAGAGAGAGAGAGAGAGAGGGAGAGAGAGAGAGAGAGAGAGAGAGAGAGAGAGAGAGAGAGAGAGAGAGAGAGAGAGAGAGAGTGAGAGGAAGAAGAAGACTCACGAAGCCGTAGCCTTTGGATCGGCCGGTGCTCTTGTCTGTGATGATGACGGCCTCGAGGATCTCACCGAAGCGGTCGAAGTGGCGGCGCAGCTCCTCGTCGGAGGTCTCCCAGGCGAGCCCGCCGACGAAGACCTTGGTCAGCGTCGTATCGCCGAATCTCGAGCGGTACTGAGGGCTGGCCATGGTCTCTCTCTCTAGAAAGGAGGAGAGGGGGGAGGAGGAAGGGAGGGGATGGGGGGAGTCACCTAGCTCATTAGAGAGGGAGAGGGAAGGGAGAGATGACGACGTCCGGGTTGCGCGCCCTCTCTCGCTCTTCTTTCCCTCTTCTCGACCCACCGCATGATGGGTTATCTCTCTTCTTCCTCCAGCTCCTGTTCTCTCCCTCCTCGGCCTTGCTTGCCTCCCCTTCCATCAGGGGGGAGGAGACCGAGGGAGACCGAGGGAGAAATAGAGGCGGAGGCCGTAAGAGGAATCTAGAGAGCTGGACGGGAGGAGGATGACAGAAATATAGAGGAGCGAGAGAGAGAGAGAGAGAGAGAGAGAGAGAGAGAGAGGAATCTATTGAGGGTGAGACGGAGATCCGACAGGTGCAGGAGGGTCTTTGCTGTCCGAGGGGCTCGCCATATCGAATGACAGCTGCAAAAAGCCCGCCCTTGATGCTTTCTCTCTCCTCCTCTCTCTCCTCTTTCTCTCTCTTCGCACCGACTTAATCCTTTTTACCTGGTTAATGAAGGCTTTCGTTGGGGCTCGCCGCCATCGGCGCTGACCGCCGGTGGTCGGTCGCCGGCCGGCGAAGGCTCCAGCTTCTATCTTCTGTGGCGTATCATTGTTTAAAGCGTTCCACTTGGGCTGTAATTTTTCTATCAGGACCTTAAAAACCTCCTTAAACACAAAAAGCCCCGCTGATTTCAACAATGCGCAGTCATCCCCACCTAATACAGCATATCCCGGGCATCCAGCTGGCAGTCCGCTGGAGTCGGTCAACTTGCCGTTTTTCAGCGACGTGGGCCCCCCCACAAGACTTACGAAATAAAACCCCCTCATGTATCGTATAATGTTGTACATGTCCCTTGAGTTTTGCGAAAGTGGACCCCGTCTCTACCCTTTCCCACAGTTTGGGCTTTTCCGTAAATATCTCCGGCATTGGCGCTGGATCCGGGGGCCCACCTGACACGTCCTCCTCTCCGTCATACGCTGCCAGCGATGGGGACGAGGCTGACAGCTAGCCCCGAGGGGTTGCCTCGTTAAGTTTTTATAAACACCCTAGTTTAAATGTAATTACATAATTGTCCCTATCCGCCTCGTCGGCGTGCTAAGTTTGGAATAAAAAAAACTCGTAACAGATAGCAGTTGACCGCATTCAAGTAGGCGTAGGCAACATAGGCTTATATATGCAATTTATGTTGATGTAATGTCGTAATCTAATATTTTAGAGTAATTAAACCGTAAGTACATTACTAGAAGTACCCCCTTGTACTTCTGTCCTCTCTCTCTCTCTCTCTCTCTCCATTATGCCATCTTGGAGAGAGAGAAAGAGAGAGTGGACTTTAAGAGAGAGAGAGAGGGGAAAAGAAAACAGAACCCGTGAACTGGCCGGCAGATCTCCACGTGGTCTCCAGTGATTAGCTGGATTTGCTGGACCCTCTCTCTTGTGACTGCACGGTGTGAGGCACGTGTTTGGTGTTCGGCGTGACGCACGTAAACACGTGTAAAAGGACGACTTCTTTGGTTGACTGAAATGGTGACCTGGCATGTGGGCCCCATGGGTCAACGAAGCGATGATTAGACTTCCAGATTTGAAAGTATTTCTGGCTCCCGCAAAACAAACGGGCAAAGTTCCGCCCCGTCCAAAAGTCCGCAGGCTGAAGTGGAGGGAAGGGAGAGACCTCTCCAGAAGGAGTGATGGCGTGGCGGCTGCTCCAAGGCGGCGAGAGGAAGCTCCGCTCCGCCGTGGCCGCCGTGGCCGTCGCCGGCGGAGGCGGCGTCGGCGGGGCGGCCTTCACGACGGCGCTCCCCCACCTGAACGCGAGGAAGAGGAAGAAGCGGAAGAAGAAGGAGAGCCCCCGCACGGCGCTGGTACAGAAGGAGGCGTTCCTGCGGATCCCACATTTCGAGGAGATTGTCCAGAGGGACGCCCTCTTCCGATTCATCAGCCGCAGCAAGGATTTCCTCTCCCGGCAGCCGGAGCACGTCCTCCTTCTCGACGACGCCGGGAAGCTCCACCGCGAACTAGGGTTCCCCCGCGGCCGCAAGGTCTCCCGCTTCGCCGCCCGGCACCCTCTCCTGCTGCAGGTTTACCGGCACAGCGACGGCAAGTCCTGGATCGGATTTACCGATCTCATGGAGGAGCTCCTGGAGGAAGAGGCGGTGGTCATGGATTCCACGGAGCCGTCTAGGGTTCTGGCCGTCCGCAAGCTGCTGATGATGTCCAAGGAGCGGCGGATCCCCCTCAGCAAGCTCCATCACTGCCGCCATCTGTTCGGCCTCCCGGAGGACTTCCGGGATCGCGTCCCCAAATATTCGGATTACTTCCGAGTGGTGATCGATCCGGCTGACGGCCAGCGGATCCTGGAGCTGGTGGATTGGGATCCTAAGCTCGCCGTCAGCGCACTTGAGAAGGACTTCGTCTCCGACGAGGATAGGGTTCGGCGCACCTTCCAGTTCCCCCTCCGGCACGGCAAGGCGCTTGGTCTCTCGGAGGAGGACGAGAGAAGGATGGTCATGGCGAACACGCTCCCCCTCGTCTCGCCCTATTCCGACGGCTGGCGGCACGATCTGTGGACGCTAGAAGCTGAGAAGTACCGCGTCGGGGTGATCCACGAGTTCCTAACCCTAACCCTAGAGAAGCGGGCATCCATACACCATATCGTGGAGTTCAAGGAGGAGCTCAGCCTCACGAAGCATACCTACCAGATGCTTCTGAAGCAGCCTCGGGCGTTCTACCTCGCCGGCACGGAGATGAACTGGGCGGTGTTCCTGAGGGATTGGTACAGCGAGGATGGGACGCTGATGGAAAAGGATCCGCTGGTGCTGTTCAACGAGAAGCTGCATCAGTATGCTCTGATGACGAAGATGGAAACAAACGGTAAATCCTCCGAAGATATTGTCTGCAGCTGAGTTCTTCGGAGGAAAACTAGCTCCCCTTCTGCTCGTTCCTTCCCTAAACGCAGCAGCTGACCAGGTGAGAACTCCAAAAACTGACTCTGAATCTCTGCAGTAAATCTCTTCTCGAAAATTATTCCAATGATCCATATTCTTTTCCATCATACAATCTATTGGTTGCATGCATTGGATCTTGTTACTTGCGTATGAAAATTCTCTCCCTGATGAACTCCCTGAAAACAAAAGAAATCAAATTCCTGAAGCGGTCAGTTCCCCATTGGAGTCTCATTAGTTTCAGTTCATCCGCAATCAGCCTACTATGAATCTGAAGGGGGAACCTTGAAGTGACGAAGAAAAATTGGCCAGGAGTTGACTAATTGCAGGATAGTTTGAAAAGTCTCGCCAATTTACCTACCCAGTTTTAGAAAGAGGTGGCCCTTCTGGTTTGAGGCAGAGGACCAACCGCGGTAATGGCCATTGCCATCTTTGGCTGCTGAGTCTAAGCTCGCCAGTGAGGATAATATATATATATATATATATGGAGGGTATATAATGCAGTAAAAATACGAAATATATCAAAAATCCGATTTTTTTTATCTGGACTATTGTTGCTTCAGGGAATTGATATTATTTCGGCCCCATGATTAATTATTTATTTGATTGTGTCCAAGTTCCTTCAAAACACTCAATTGGGATATACATTATTTATTTTTTACAGAAAATGTAACAGAATGGTCTGATACGGGAGCCAAATAATTTTTATTTTTACGAATGAAATTCAAGGGCGATCTGCCTTTTCTTCTCCAGGTATTATTTTATCTCTATTTTCCCTGAATAAAAATATAAATTCCTGCCTGATCACCCCTGGGCGTCATCCATCGTGCAGAAATCAGATGCATCCATAGAGGATAATTATATGCTTTTCTTAGTAAAATATCGGGTTGGGGACCGTTTTAATTTCTGATCATGCTAATCACCCAGAATCCATCCTCTCTGACATCCTATCTGTTGCTCCTAATCCTGATCCTTCCGGGCATAAAGCTTCCCTCTTTGGGAAGTAATCCTCAAAGTACCAACATTGTAGAGAGAGAGAGAGAGAGAGAGAGAGAGAGATTGATTGATGTCAACTTGGGAATCCCATTCGGTGGGAGTTTCTTTCTATCGCCTCAGAATGAATAAAGTTGAACCCACTGGGAGGGACATTCTAAGGAGCCCCCAACAGGAAGAGGCGGAGGCTGCTGCAACGAAAAGCATGGGAGGCCGATCGGAGCGCCGCTGCAGCCGCTGCCGATCGCTGCCGGGAACCGCCGGCGTCAGGTGCGCGCTCTGCTGGGCCGCGGCGCGCCAGCCGGTGTGCGCGCGCTGGGCGAAGAAATGGATGAAGGCGCTCCCCCCGCCGGCCCACCCGCGGTGCGCCACCTCCGCCGCTGCGGCGGCGCCGCCCGGCTACCCGGCGGCGCACGGCGGCAAGAGGGCGCTGCTGGTGGGCGTGGCGTACCGCTCGACGCGGTACGAGCTCAGGGGCACCATCACGGACGTCAACAGCATGAAGTTCCTACTCCAGACCAAGTTTGGCTTCCCCGCCCAGTCCATCCTCGTCCTCTCTGGTACACCTACCCACAATTTTTTATTTTCATAATCTTATTTTACATCCCAGAAAATTATTATTTTATTATTATTATTCCTATTAAATAACTCAATCCCCAATTTTCAGAATAAAATAGTAGTCTTTATCTTTTTCTCTCTGAATAATTGGACCACAGTTCGTTAACTTGTAGTCTGGGTACGTTTTAACTCACGGGCACCTTTTACTTGCCACTCTGTCTGTCTGTCTCTCTCTCTGTATATATATATCTATACATATGTGTATCTTATTTTGCATCCCAGAAAATTTAGTATTTTATTAATATTTTCCGTATTAAATAACTCAATCCCCAATTTTCAGAAAGAAATAATAGTCTTTATATTTTTCTCTCTGAATAATTGGACCACAGTTCGTTAACTTGTACTCTGGGTACATTTTACCTCACGGGCACCTTTTGCTTGCTACTCTCTCTCTCTCTATTTATATATATATATATGTATATTATTTTACATCCCAGAAATTTGAATATTCTATCAATATTTTTCCTATTAAATAACTACATCCTGGATTTTCATAGGAAATAATAGTATCAATTTTTTTCTCGCCGGATAATCGGGCTACAATTCGTTAACTTGTACTCTGGGTACATTTTACCTTACGGGCACCTTTTACTCGCCACCCTCTCTCTCTCTTTCTCTCTCTCTCTCTCTCTCTCGCTCTATATATATATATATAATATATATGTGAGGAAGGTCTGAATGCTGGGGTTGTCTTTCTGATCTGGTTGCTACTTCAGAGGATGAGGGTGACCGATCGAGGATCCCGACGAGGGAGAACATGGTGGCCGCGATGCGGTGGCTGGTTCACGGCTGCCGCCCGGGGGACTCACTGGTGTTCCACTTCTCGGGGCATGGATCTCAGAAGTTCGACACCAGCATGGACGAGGTTGATGGCTACGACGAGACACTCTGCCCTCTGGACTACGAGATCAGCGGCATGATCTCCGACGACGAGGTCAACGAGATGATCGTTCGGCCCCTCCCGAGGGGCGTCAAACTCCATGCTGTCGTAGACGCGTGCCACAGTGGTTCTTCGCTTGACCTGCCCTATGTCTGCAAGGCGAACAGGTGATTTGCATCCCGAAACTTCCAAATTCGGCCACCGATTTGTGATTATGACGGATATTTTGATTACGGGTAAAACGAGAATTTGAGACGCCTCCTGGTGGATTTTATCTTCTGTAGCAGATGTTTGGGGAATCTTTGCATGGGCTGAAAAGGTTTAGCTGACGATGCTCCTTGCAAATTGAGGGAAATGTAGGGTCCTTTTGCGAACCTGCTGAATAATGGAATCTTGTGACGATCAATCAAGCACGTTTTAACCAAAGTAAGGATGGCGAATTCCCGAAGAACTCTAAGACTAATATGATACTTGTGATTGTCCAAAAAACTAGACAGATTGATGACATGGAAACTCAGCCCACGGGATCACTTATTCCCATGATATTTGGAGTTATCTGCTAGAACCATAACCGATCAGATTGTCATAGTATTGGTCCTGGGATCTTACATCCTCGGGGTAATTCTGGCTTAACTGCCCCATCGGGACACTGATGAAGAATTAGACATTTCAGCTGTTTTTTAGACTAATGGTGTTCACTTCATATTGTTTCGGTGAGTCACAGAAGACTAGGAGTCATGTGCTAGTACCTTCCGCAATTGTATTTCTATTGGTTTCGGACCAGAATGCAGATTAAAAGTCTGATATGTTAAGTTGCACTTTAAGTCAAAATGTGTGCAAAATTTCTGGCATGCATATGCGTATACACGTAATATTTCCTCACCCAAAATGGTAACTTAATTCATTAAGTTTCTCGTGGTGGTATGATATTTTTCTGTTTTCCTTTCCCTAGCGTTCTTCTGCCGGGTTTCTTCTTTTGATTTGTTATAAACTTTTTTAATATCTTATGAATAGCCGTGTTTCATTCAGCGTGGGTGATGTATATTTTTCTCCTCTGGGCAATGGTTTTCTCGCATTCAAGCCCCTAATTGTTTTCTGCAGAAATGGGGATTACCACTGGGAGGTGCGCACACATGTCAAGAAGGCAACAAGCGGTGGTCTAGCCATTTGTTTTAGCGGTTGTGATGACCATCAGACATCTTCGGATACATCTGTATGTGCATAATTGTGCTTTGAGTTGAATAGGAAGCGTACATGATGGATAATTTCATTCTCATTAATCAAGGTCGTACCTATCACTTGACAGTTTTAATGCAAGTTTCTGCAGTGTTCATCACACCTGGATACTGTTCTCAGTGCTAGTACGTTCTATGAGATCATGTTGATGCAATAAAAGCCATTATAAATTGTATTAAGCATAATTGTGTTTCAACATAAATATCATACTTCAGATTAGAACTTCTTTGAAGATGACTAAGTTTTAATCAACGCATTATTGTATGATATCTTAACCCATAGGATTTGACGTTTGATAACATCCAGAAACAGAGATTCATGCATAATTGTATGATTTTGTATAAGGAAGAAGGAAAAGGAAGGGAAACCATGCAATGCTTTTCGCAAAAGTGGCACTAAATGAACAGGTGACACGACCATTATTCAGAGAAATCCTTGCTCAAAAACACCTGGAGAATTGAGTTATTATTCGCTAATTGTTATGCTGTGAAATTTCTAGGAGGCTTATGAACGTGGAATGCAACAGAATAAATGATGCTATATTGATCCAGACTCAAATTCTCATGCATCGCAGGTCTTCACCCAGGATATCGTGACGGGTGCCATGACTTACTGTTTCATTCAAGCGGTGGAGAATGGACCTGGAGTAACATATGGCCACATCCTGCTGGGGATGCGTGCAGCCATTCGTGAATCTAATAGAGATTTCTGCATCGGTGGTTCGATCGCTGCTCTTCTGAGAAGAGTGTTCCACACTGGATTGACACAGGTGATGATTCCAACTTGATCCGTGAAAATGCTCTGATTGGACTTGTTGTCAGAAATTATCTTTCTACCTTTGCAAGTGAATCTCGGAGGGTTTGTGCTACAGGATAATTGCTCCTGGGTTGAGACGAGTGAAAATATTTGACTAGGTTCTATAATCTGCAATTTGAGAAAATCATGAAATGATTGAGAATCAATCATCCTAAAAAAAAGATGCATTAACTCGGTTATTTTTAAGTTATTGAGGATATACTGCTTCTTCATCAACTTTATTACTGATGCACATCGATGGGTGCGCCAATTACTTGAAAAAACATCAGATTTGGTGAAATAATCAAATGCTTGATAGTCAATGATCCTTAAAAAAGGGACCCATATTCTCAGTAATTAAACTAATTACTGAAGCTATTTCGCTTGCTCATGGTAGAAAAATTATAGTAGTGATGCACATCAATGGATGCTACAATTACCCATCGGATCATACTATTGTGCATGCATTATTTCCTATAAAGCGTATCATATCTCTGCAATGTGTCTGCCATTGATGTTTCAGGTGCCCCAGTTGTCTTCTTCGGAGCAGTTTAACATCTTCCAGACGCCGTTCATCCTATGAGGTGAACCACACAATATTTCTCTTTCTGTTGTGTGAGGCCTTATGCCATTCCATAGAACTGTGACAATAATCTATCTCCTTATTGTATCTGCTACATTAGAGAGAGAGAGAGGGAGAGAGAGAGAGAGAGAGAGAGAGAGAGAGAGAGAGAGAGAGAGAGAGAGCCACAATAGTAGCAAGAACTTCTGTACAGATCTAATCATATACAATAAAGGTATTAGAGAAATATTAATTCCTGCAATAATTAAAGCACCCATGATTCAAAATACAGTGTGTTTATTATGTGGAAGAAGCATCGGCGGGAAGTAGGCGGATGCCTTCGGGTGTCGTCGATCCCTTCTGCAGGGTTTCTTCATGCAGGAGGAGGAGCTTCCGTGAGGCGGCGTACCAGCTGGCGTAGCAGGGCTGGAGATCCGGCCAGTCCGAGTGTGGGGAGGAGGCGAAGTGGTGGAGCCAGAGGGAGAGCATCTCCTCCTGTTGCCCCCAGCTGAGGCCGGCGATGATCCCCTCCAGCGCCGCCACCACCCCCGCCCTCTCCCCGCCGCCCACCGCCGCTGGGCTTGCCCGGCACAGCAGCGGCAGCCACATCGCCGCCATATCCATCCTCCCCACCTCCCCGCCATCGTCCTGCCGCAGGAGAAACGCTGCCAGATGAAGAAGAAGAAGAAGAGTTAGCCACCTGCTTGTGCGGAATGATCATGGCTGGTACGATTTCTAACCTGATATTCTGACCAAGGCAGCTTGAAGCCGCGGGGAGGAGGAGAGGGAGGCCCTTGCCAGGCCCGTCGCCGCGCCCCACGCCGCCACCGCCTCGCCAGTGGCGCCGCAGGCAGCCATCTTCTCTGCCAGCCACAGCGCCTCCGCCGCCAGTTTCTCCGCCGCGTCCTCTGCTCCGTCGTCGCCGTCGCCGGCGGCGGCCGCGGTTGCGGCGGAGGCCTTCTCCTCCGGCCGGTCGACCCACCGCCTCAGCCGGGAGCGAACGCCGGTGAGGATTCCCTCCATTGACCCGTCTGGTCTCCTCCCGGGTCCTTGGAGGCGGGCCGCCGCCGCCTCGAGGCGGCGGGTGGTGCGGGAGAAGGCGTGGGCGAGGGCGGCGCCGCCGATGGCGGCGGCGGCGGCGGAGCCGCAGAGGAGGTTCTCCTCCAGGAGGCGGTCGGCGAGGCCCCGGAGGAGCTCGTACTTGCGGGAGTTCGCCGGGATGCGGGTGACGACGGTGAGGAGGTGGGAGAGGGCGCGGCCGGCGTAGGTGCTCCCCTCGTCTCCGGAGAGCCCAAGCGGTGGCGCAGCCGGCGGCGGGGGGGGGCGCTCCGCCTGGAGGATGGAGGGAGGGGGGGAGAAATTATGGCAGACGATGACCCGGTAGAGGGAGTGGAAGCGGAGGAGGAGGAAGAAGAGGGCGTGGAAGACGAGGAGGAGGCAGCCGCGGAGGAGGGCGAGGAGGTGAAACGAGCGGCTCTTCTCGGTGGCGGCGCCGCCGGGGGAGGTGGCGGGCAGGTGGCGAGAGGAGAGGAGGTACAGGTAGAGCCCGGAGAGGGAGGCCATGGACGGCAGATAATCCATGGCGGCGCCGCTGCTGGCCGGGGACAATAAAATTCCACCGCTACCTCTTCTAACTTTATCTCCTCAGGAATCCTTAAATTTCACTCTACATCTTTCTACTGCATCTAATAATGATAAGAAGAAAAGACGTCAAACAAAAGGTATGTGTGAACGTGCGTGCCAAACCGGTCAGCTTGAGGGCGCCGACAAGATTTAGCTGTCGGAATAAGTGAAATTATAAGTTCGTAAAATGCCCCCCCTCTCTCTCTCTCTCTCTCTCTCTCTCCCTCCCTCCCCCCCCTCTCTCTCTATCTTTGCTGATGGGCATAGTTTATGAAAATGATCCATAGATTCCCAAGAACCTTGCAAAAAGCCATGAGCCTCAACCTCCACAAGCATGGACCTGGAGAGTTCTAGGAAAGGATCTAGAAGGAGACCAAGGCCCACATGAACAAACCCTTGATCAATCCTTTGAATCATGCATATGGAATGTTCTAGAATGGCTCTACATGAACATTGAAGTCTAGAGGAGAAGGTTGATTTCACTAAAGGTCTATGGGTTTGTAATTTGTTGGTAACTAAGGCCTAGAATAGATCTCTATGACAATTGAAGTATCAATTTTTGATTTCACCAAATCTATCTTAATGGTGTATTTGATGATTAATCTAAATGATTTTCTTGCTCAAGGATGGAAAATTTAAAGGAAATCTTTTGTGTAGATTATAAAGTTAAAATCTAATAGTCTTAGATGATAATCTTAGAATATTGATTAAATTTATGTGAGATTAATATGGAAAAAATTCCTATTTGAATTTTATGGAATAATGTTTAGTGTTGTAATTTTAAATTGGTTTTCTCTGACAACCTTGGACAAATTATTGGATATTCAATGAAACATTTATTGTGAAATTTAGTTGGTTCGATCAAATCTTTGAGATGTGTCTTTCCTAATGCAATCTTATTGATCATATGTTTTTTTGGAACATATATGGAAGGATATGAATATTTGTTTTCATTATGTGAAATTGAAAAGTTTTTTGAAAATTATTTTTGTTAAAATTAATGAACTTTTGACCAGCCCTCCAATCATATCAAAAATTTCATTAAATTCATTCAAAATAAAATCTAGGTGATGATGCACATTCAAAAATTAAGTTATTCATTAAATTTCAAACTTAGCCAAAGCTATTGCAAGCTTTATTAAATTATCTTGAACCATATTTTTGGAATAAAATTAAGGTTTAGTTTTGTCACCATAAAATAGGGAGGAGGGGGGAGGGGTTGTTATTGAAGTTTGGGTTTCACGATGATTAAATATGAAATCATCATCTATGATAGATTTTTTAACAATATATTTTATATAGAAACTTATTATCCTAATTGATAGTGTTGAAAGTGGAACAAGGGAACCTCCCACAGCTTGACCCAAAGAAGAAAGACATGCTCCACCAAGATTAGATAGTTCTCAATGGCTATCCACTTATTTTCGGCAATGAAAGGAAGGAGCTAATCACAAGGACTTTACATCACATCGAAGATCTATATTCCCTAATGGTCATAGTTATTCACATTTCTTGGTAGAAGGATGGGCAAGGTTGGATTGCTAATCTCATGTGCGGAGCTTGCCTGACTCAAAAACTTGAATAAGCAGGTATCAACACCATAGCAACTAGGCATACTTCTTAGAGCAAAGAAGACCTTATATGGTAGCTTTCAAACACCATTGAAGTAGGGTACAATTAGATTGCTAATCTCACATGGGAATCTTGCATACTCAAAAGCTTTGAATTGGTAAGTATCAACTTATTGGCATATTTAAAAGTTGAGGGGTCATTTTCTTTCATACAAGCTAGTTAAGTTTCTTAAATATAGTGGTGATGCGCCTAGCATTTCTATAATCAGAGTCATTTAAAGAATTATTTAATTTTAATGTGACATGTCTATTTTCTCCAAATTCCCTTTCTTCATTGCATTGTGCCAAGAAGGAGCCAACTTGTTTACATTCTTGTTGGTTCTAGGAAGCATGAAGTAAACTTTATAAGATCAAAATTAAGGAAGACCAAAAAAGTCATAATATACATGTATAATTAGTTTGGTTAGTTTCACATTAAATTTCTTCTTCGATAATGTCATAACAAAAGAGAATGGAGGAAGTCAAACAAACACCAAAGACATTGACTAACATTGATGGATCAATAAATATTTTGGAACAAAAAGTCAATTTTGTACTTGCTTAGGGTAATACTAGACCCAACTCGTGTGGTGCTTGAACATACAATATAAATGCTTTGACTAAAGCAAAACTTAACGCAAAGCATTATTTAGGTCCTCAATGTGTCAAGATTACTCCCCATGCATTTAAGTGGGCCCCATGCCTCCCTAACTTGCACCCTTTGCTGACTTTCAACGAAGAGGGCCGGTCTCTCCCTCACTCAACTCTCTAACTCTCTAAAACTGCATCCATTCACATCATAAATCCAATCAAGAGTAGAATAAAACAGAACAATAGTAGTTTAGATCACTTAGCCACATACTCTTTGGAGACCCAAGGCCTTAACATTGCCATCATCCCTAGTGCTGACAAAAGTACTGAAAGAGATGCCAGAGACATCAGCTACAAGTTACAGCTCTAGTCATATTAGTTTCACACTTGTAAGTTTTTGGCGTATGCCAAAAGTAAAATAATATTTATTTATTTATTTTAAAAAAAGATGAACCCAACTTTGCTTGGGCCCTTAGAAAAGTCCACAAAGTGGCCTCTAACCTGATCACATCGGTTTCCTAACCCTAAATTATTAGTGAACGGTTCCCCATGTTAAGATAAAGGTGGCCCTGGTGGAGGGAGAAAGACCACAACGGATGTGGAGGGCTTCGTTCTCCTTCCTTGGCTGTTCTTCTTCCGCAGGTAGTCCTGGAGAGACGCTGATGGTGACCTTACTTTTGCGGGCTGGCGATCAATGGCTGCTAGAGAGTTGGTCGAGCTCAGATCAACTAATTGGCCGGAATTCTCCATTAAAATTGGTTATTCAGCCCAGAGCACCCTCTTTGGGCATAATTTATCAGTAAAATCGTATCGAGTTCCGACTACTGTTTAGTCAACGCGTCAGATCACACGTTAAAAAAACGTGGAAGACGTGTCTTTAAAGATGGGCGACTCTAAAAATGGCCTATCTCAGCACCCCGTTTTTCGCGGCAACAAGGTGTCGCATGGAATGTCAACGCTCTGCCGCGTCGGTTTAGATGAAGGCGACCCCCCCACCGCGTGATGCTCGTGCGGGACCGGAAGTATAAGAAAGGCGGCGGTCCCCCCGGGGAAGATGGGAGAAAGTTATTTGATTATCGAGTGATTATTCGGAGAGCTTCCCGGAGAGTTGCACCGGTCCCGGCAACATGCCCGGAGTCTCAGAGGCCTCAAGATCGGGAGTCGCCGGCGGCGCAGAACAGGGGGAACTCCGGCGGATGGTACCCTCTCCGCCGTCGCGTCTCCTCCCCGCCACCGGAGGCGTCGCCATCGATCCCATGCTGTGGAAGGACGAGGAGATGATGAAGAGGGAGCTAGTGGCCTGGGCAAAGGCCGTCGCCTTGAACTCCTTCCGTTCTTCGAAGCAGCATCCTCATGAGTAGCCCCTCCGTTGGGGAGATCTCTCTCTCTCTCTCTCTCTCTCTCTCGCTAGGTTAGTTGTTCGGGGGATATCAGGGCTGCCCTATCCTTTTGTCCAACACGAATTGGTGTTGTTGACTTTTTTCCGCGGGGAGGGAACTCGTCTGCCTCTCGAGCGTAAGGTCATCCTCTTCCGTTCAACAGCTCTAGAGAGAGGAAATGGCAGTCGACCATCTGATAGCTCCATGTAAACTCTCTTTTCTGAGTATATCTTGGAACAAATTCAGATGAATAAAGGTTCTAAGAAACCGGGTCAAACCCGAGTTTTCGATTACAACAAAAATGCGTGATAATTCCTACTCTGAGAAAAAATACAAGGTAAGATAAGCGTCCACGTCTTGGATTCTTCAGTTTCGAAAGATTTCCTGCGCTAGTGCACGCGATTTTCTTCAAGAAAAACAAGTTCTGCAGGATGAAAATCCCCCGTGATCCAATCCAAAACCCTTAACGTTGACTGTGGAAGAAGAGAAATGGGTTTGTAGTTATTGTACCTCAAAGATGAGCCTAAAGTTTTGTTAAATGACGTCAATAAAATAGTTATTGGGGGTGGGTACATGAAAACTACAATAAAATAAGATTAAGATATCGTAGTACTACCCCCCATCTATAACATACCAATCAGCCATGGTTGATAACCAGACCCTACCTCCCTCTTCTCCAGACCCTAAACAACCAGTCCTCATGGAAGAAGGTCAACTCCATCCTCAACCCCAATTCCTCCTCACCTGGTCGACATGGGGGTAGGAGAGAGAAAGCAAGAGAGAGAGAGAGAGAGAGAGAGAGTCCCCCCCACCAATTAGTCATTGAGATGACGTTTGCCTTACCTATTGGCAAGAAATTAACATATTTTATGAAATATTGAGAACCAAGTTCATAAAGTAGTCTGCTTTCCTAAAGACAATCTGTGGGTCCATCATTAAACTTCCCGTTATTCCTCTATCGTCCTCACTCACGGGTGGAACTTAAATAAAAAATAAAACAATAGAACGATTATGCATATCATTATTGTCCCCTAAAAATTATAAGAACATAGCGCACTAATAACGGGTCATAATATCGCGTGATCTGCTAAAAAAACATTCGGTAATCACCAAAACAATGGTTCTAAAAATATATCTATACTTTAGATTGAACGAGATAAATTATATAAAAAAATAGCACGCGAAAAGCACGTGTGCTATCCTCGTGAGCAATGAGCTTAAAATACCAATATCTTCTCCGAATCTTGGTCAAACAATCATCATCTCATTGCACCGACAACCTGTTCCTAATGCTGCCAACGCGGTCCCGTGTCGATGTACATGGAAGCGGTGAAACCAACCCTTCTAAGCGTGCGCCTCTCGTCCGCCCAGAACTATAAGAAAGGCGGCGGCGATGCTGGCGCAGACAGACTGCACCGTCTGTTTTCCGACGATCTGCTCGGCGACGCCAACATGCCAGGAACCGATGAGGACGCCGGAGTCCTTCGGAGCGCCGCCGTGGCGCCGGGTACGCGTCGCCCACCTTCCGATGGCGCCCGGATCGTAGACCCCTCGCTCTATAGAGACGAGGAGAGGATGAAGACGGAGCTCATCTTGTGGGCTAAGGCCGTCGCCTTTGACGCCGTCTGTTCTTCAAGGCTTCCTCGCCATGCGTAATCCCTTCACGTTACCTACTAATCTTCTCTCTATCTCTCTCTAAATGTATACATATATACAAAATCTGGAGCATAAAGGATCTGCCGGCTCATTTGACAATTCTTCGTGCCGACGGAGACAGCCCCCTTGCAAGCATGGAAGCATGCGATCATCCTCTTCTGCTAAAGTTGTAGAGAAATCGAATGAACGATTTCTCCTTTATTTTCACCGTCTTAGCGACGACTTCGTGGGTTAGTCCGGAAGCCCGGATCAGTCCTCGCCTCTTCCAGTGTTTGCCCAAAAAAGTAAATTGGGACAATAAGCTTATACCGGTCAACAGTAATTAGACAGCCTCTATTATTGGGTTTTCTTGATTGCAGGAAGAGGGGATGTTATTTTGGCGGGGTTTTCTAACAAGCTAGGCTCAAAATCAAGCTCTCAGATCCAGTTGGGCCGACGGATATTTATTGATGTATGAAGGCAGAAACCCATTCTGCTTATTGATTTTATTAAATCATAAATAAAGATAATATTTACAAGCTTCCTACCACCTGAAGAATTGGTATTCAGGGGAACATCACCAATGAAATTTCATTTATCGTATCATGCATAGAGATAATGCTCATATTAGAAATGAACTATTATCCAAAAAAAGCACAGTGAAATTTCATTGCATAGTGCTCTTTTGCATGTTAGAACATATGAAGAAGAAGAATATTCATATCCACAAAATGCTCTTATACTTTTATTGATGTGGGTTTCTCAACTTAAGGTCCTCAATTGGACATTGTGTTGATAAATGGACTCTAGTTAAATATCTGATCCATCAATATGAAATTTGATATAGAGTACATTAATTAGAAATGTAAGCAGTCTAAAAAGCATAACCCAAAAGTGCCTAATGGATAAAACAAAGAAATGCCCAACCAAGTAATTTGGGTGGTCCATAAGTCCAAAACGTGTTTTCTTTTCATAGGGCTAGTATTACTTTCGATTATCTAAGAAATCCTTCAACTATTAGGGGATTACACCTTGGATCCCATTGTTTATAGGATCCAAATCTACTTTTAGCAGTTTCAAGGAGGCCTGTAGCATATGCAAAGATGATTTATTTTTAACCAAGAAACTTTAGTTCTTCCCTCTTATTATTTGTGGGTTCAAGCAATTCCCTATAAATTCAAGGTGCCTGGTTTTTTTGATTCCACTGTTGTGAGTTGTAATCTCAATCTTATCTACCCTTGTGAATCAAGGATTTTGGATATTAATCTTTTGAAATCTAAGGTACTGATTTGTTTTAACTTTTACTTCCATACAATTCTAGCTATGCAATCAAGGAATGACATTTATGAAGGGTTTGATAATGGCCTTTCCATGGTTGAAACTATATTGAGGGAAACTTGGCTCATTTAATTTTTTTTAGTCCTTTCTATGAAGTTTTATTTGAAGGAAAGATATTAGTGATTATCATGCATCAAAACTACATTACTTAGTAGTAGAAAAGGTTAAAAAGGAGTTGGCTAAAGTGAAATCACTACTCTTCAGCTTCATTAGTTATAAATGTTGGAGGTAATAGGACTCTATTATGAATTCAGAAAAGTTATTGACAAAATTTAATGCATAGCCAAAGTATCTACATCCTAATGAGATTTATGAGCTTGTGACCCCATAAATTGACAAATCTGAACTAATGTTATAAGGCTATGTATGTGTGCCTAATTTAAGCTTCTTTAATGAAAAAAATGTCTTGTGAAGTCCTTAATTACATCCTAATTGTAGGAAATTAATTTTTCCTTACCAAAATTATTAGCTGAAATGATTAATAGGTCATGATGCATTGGTATTGGCCATAGGGGCAAAAAAAAAGACTGACATTAATGATAGATTCCTACTAGTTTAAATTGATAAGGTTGTAAATGAACTTAGGAGGTTAAGTATTTCTCTAAAATAAATATCATGTATGGACAACAAATAAAAGTGAGTAAGGGTGACATACCTGATCACTAAAAGCAGTTACAATCAAATAGAGTGGCTTTGTGTTAAGAAATAGGTGGTCATGAAACAAAGGAAACAATCACTAGCCTCCATGAATCAATTATTAAAAATAATTTTCTCTCTAAATCTAAGAAGAAGATAAATGGATGAAAATAAAACGAAAATTATGAACAGAATATGTTGGCTTTGAAAGCCTTAGTTTAGATGATGACGAAATCAGTAGGACAATAAAATGATAATTTTACACTACCATATGTATGTGATTTTAGAATTGATTGCCTAATCTGGAGTGTCTCTTTCTATTTCCAGGAATGGAGTTCACTCACTAAGTTATATAATTTTACACATATTTAGAAGGATAGAAAATGTTTTACTCATTCAGCTTGCAAAGTTTACTTTTGTGATTACAAAGTCTACTCATCCTAGAGGAATAAGCATTGAAATTCAAGAAAATATACTCAAAAGGTAAAATCATAAATTTATACTACATATATTCAAACATCTTCATGACTATTGAAGATTTTCAAATGCCCAAATAAATTTTTTATTAAAAAAATTAGAGATCCTTTTCCTATAGGGTTTTATGTTTCTCTTCACATAGGAAGGGAATAGACTTTGGAGAGAGATGGCAATTATGGGGCATAGTTTTACATGAAAAAATATAAAAAATGATAAAAAGGTTATAGCACCCCGTAAACTAGTCACATAAGTGCATCTTAGGTTCTGGATGATCTTTTTACCTAGTTTCTTAATATATAATAATAAAAACTTATACATGTATAAAGAACATTATCACCAATATCTAGGGAGATAAAAAATTATTTGAGGATCAAAATCAACGAATTTGTCTTAATTATTCAACCAACTCCACACTTTAAAATACTTGCATTATCCTAAGCCAATAAATTAATATTACTGAAAGCTATATATGTTAGGTTTAAGGCTACACTTATATAAAAAAGGGGGGATTGAACATATATAATTCTAATCTCATTGTTTAGTTAGTTTAGTTATCAAATCTTGATCTTCTCCTTAAGGACCCAAGTCTTATATTAGTCTTAGATTACTAAATGTAAGACTAAGAGATTTAACAATGATTTTTCACACTACCTACATCCACTTTCTAAGATCAATATTTGTTCTTGGGTTTCACTAGGATTGATCATTTGATCACATCTACTGATTACCAGGTTCAACTCTTTTAGAGTTTATCTTAAAAATTCTCTCATATTCTCATGGCTCTAGGCAACCAATAATTAATTAATGCATTCAACTTTCTTAGGTGATTAAATAAAATTTTAATCACAAATAGGTCTCACAATATAAATGAAAGATTTTACCATAGGTTAATTTCTAGAAGATGATGTTTAATTAAAAATATGTACGAAGTTCTGATAAACAAGATGAAGTTTGATGCTTGTTGTCCTTTTCACATGGTTTTTTGGTAAATGATTGAAGTTGTTGTAACTTTAAACATACCAAGAAAGACTAAATGACTTTAGTTTTTTAGCACAACAAGTAATGACTTTTTTATTTATTTTTAGATTTCATATATAAAAACTCATAAAGGGCTTGAGGCCGTAGTGGGAGTAAGAATATTTAATTTTTTATTTATTAGTTGTAAAGAAGATATGATATTTATAGGTAAATCATGTACAAAAAAATTCCTAGATTTTCATGATCTTTCAACATCCATTTTTTCTAGAATAAATATAAATTCAAATGATTGATGAACCAATATGATATATCTGTTAAATGACTTGAATATATTTATGTGAAATCAATATGGGATCCCACTAAGACTTAACATGTATATCTAACTCATATTAGTTCAAAACATTTTGATAAAGATTTGATAGTGTAATTGATAGTATGTCTTATTAATCATAAATTCAAAATTAATTTTAAAAATATAAATTCATTTCCCTCCATCCTAAAACCAATAGAACAAATGTTTGGTTTTCTTGTCTTTTAATATTAAGAATGTTCAACAAGTTTGTATTACATGATGAGAAAAGATGAAAAATATCTTCTTGACACAAAACTTGTTGAACTAATAAATGGCAATAAAAGGATTTAAGTATAAGTAGAGCATTGGTAATCAAGCAATAGATGCCCTCTATGGCATGAAATACTAAAGTTAAATGTATGTATCAAATTAATACTTTTCTAGTGAGACAAGCATGTTAAATGAAAATTTGAAGGCTAATTCAAATTCAAGAACTTTATTTGTATTTTAAGATTTTGGTTTCATCAACTCAAAATGGGAAAGGCAATAGGTCAAACTTTTAGATTCAGTTGTGGTCTTCTAAGGTTCCACATGACCATTTAGAAGATATTTTACTAGTAGAATAAAAAAAAAGAGTCCTTACTTGGATGAATAAATGATATATATATATATATATATATATATATATATATCTCACTTAGATAATATCGCCACCATAGTTAGTTCACAAACCTTACCTACTGATATATTGATAGACATGGATAGATTTTATTTTTTTCAGTTATCAGGATAAATGACCACAAAATATTGAAGTGTGGTCATTCCACCACCCTCCTTTGAGCTCTTGCAGCTTGCTTAGCTGCACATGTAATTTGTCAAGAACATGGTCAACCAAAGTATTTCTCTCTTGGTCAATGACATAGGTTTAGTATTTCTAAGTTTCTAGGAGAATTTTTCATTGTTTGAGGCCATCATCATCAAAATGAGTTCCTCTTACCTCACAAATATAGGACACATTAAAATATAGGTTCTTGATGGATGTACTAAATTAGGGTTGTTAAAATTCTGTAGGAGGAGTATCCTAGAACATCTTCATGTGCATCCAAGGTCAAACGTTGGGCAAGCATCGATGTGCATCTGACTTTAATGACATGACAAGGCCTCATGTCCTCAAAGGAGAGCTGACTTTCACGTTTCAACCAAGAGGAAGCCCAAGCATTTTCTCCTCCCTCAACTTCCCATAGAATTTACACAGATAAAGCTCATGCTATGATATAACCAAAGTCTACAGCGTTGGTCAGTGGAGATGATGAACACCAAGTCTACAGCGTTGTCGCCTAGACAGTCCTGAGGCTTCTGTGTTGACACAATGACTGATAATCCACCAAAATCCAGAATCATCTGGAGCAACACTTCAGATTGCACTCTTGCCAATATCTGCAATCAAGTGCCAGTCTTTTGGATAGGATAATGCAGCACTTTGAAATTGGCAGATATGTCACCTTTCTCAAGCTTGAAACAATCTATTTTCTTCTCCCACCCTTGAAGACACTGTTTCTGCTAGAAAATTTTGAACAGTATCAAGCTCGCCATTCCTTTGAAAAGTGACCACACTTGGTACAAACTCTTGGACAAAGGCCTGAATTTGAACTGAGACTTAGTCAACTGACTAGTGATTATGAGATAATTTTAGGAAAAAATATCACAACCTTTTTTCAAAAATGACCAAAACAAACATCAAGATAAAATGTTTAAAGGGCTAAAAATCAAATATCAACCAACAGTTTTGTTTACCCTCTATAAATGGCAGAGGAGCATGGTCTATTTCCATGGCCAGCCACTAAGAACACTTGCTGTTGGTTGACCACACAGCCGAGGTCCTCAACTATGATCAGGTAATAGCCCATTTCACCTTTGGTGGATCGATTTTTCTTCTGGTTTTCCATCATTCGTTCTTCTTTCCCATTTTGTACCAAGTGCTCTCGGCTTTCTAATGAATGAAAAGCATGATATAATTCAACATTTTCTACTGAAAACCCTGCATCTTCAAGGGGGTGGGGGGAAAGAAAATAGATCGTTTCAAGCTTGGGGAAGGTGCCATGCTGGCCAGTTTCAAAGTACTGCATGATCCAGTCTGAAAGACCAACACTTATCGCATATTTGGGCAAGAACGCAATTGGATGTGTTGCTCCAGTTGACTCTAGATTTTGGTGGATTATCCTTCTTCATGCCTGCACAAAAGCTACTGGGGATTCTGATCAGCAGTATCACAAAGGCACTAAAAAAATGTAAATGCTTTGCGCTCACAAAAACCTACACCCAATATATTTCCACATATTCTGAACTGATATTCCATCCACTGCAGATTCACACTGACTAAACCAAGAGAGAGAAAGGAATCAAACAGCATCAGATTGCACAAGGATCAAGAGGAGGAAAAAACAGGGCCATCCAGAACCTTCCTCATCCTCCTACTCCATATCCACCCTCTGAAGAAATCTCAGAACCCAGTAGTTCATCTCTCTGGGTTGACGGCCCGACCCACGAACCCACAGAGGAAGAGCTCATGGCTGGCCTCATACCCGTTGGAATTGGGTCTTCATGCCTTAAACCGGACGACGATGCAGGATATATCATCCTTGCTTTCTCTTTCCAATGCTTCGGCAGTCAGCTGCTTGGCAGCAGTTCGTGGGTCTTTGAACCTGCGGGCAATCTCTGCTGCCTCCTCGTTGCTCATGAACTGTATATCGGGAGAGAGAGAGAGAGAGAGAGAGAGAGAGAGAGAGAGAGAGAGAGAGAGAGATGATAATGATGGTGATGATGGTGACTGAAAATTCTATACTTGGGGAAAAAATGGGTTAGGAGTGAGTAAGTGGGTACCTTCCAGAGGCCGTCACTGGCGAGGATGAGGAGCTCTGTAGTGGTGTCAATGTCCTCAAACCGGGTGTCAGGATCAGATCGCAGGTGGGATTTGAGAGACTTGTCCCCGAAGGCCCGGGACACGGCAAGTTGACCGTTGACCCTCGGGACATCGCCTGGTAAGAACCCCCACTCAAAAGAGTTAGTTTCCTTGCATCTGCTTCTCTCTCCTCTGCTCTCACAAACCATTTTGGAAAGTCTCTGGCCAAATAAAAGGGGCATATGATGAGGAAAAAACAGCCCATCTTCGATCATAATGAGCACCATCAAGGGGTAGCAATTACAGCGGAGAGAGCTCGGGTCAATAGAATTTCTATCTCAGGGCCCAAATATATCCTAATTTAGGAAACTCCTAGACTAGAAGAGCATCATCTGCATAAGAACACAGGATTGAGGCCCATAAGACGAGCCTCCACAGGAGAAATAGAGGGCAAGAGCCATCTGATAGAGAGGAAAGGGACAAAACCTGCCCACTGAGGGAAGAGAGAGAGAGAGTGCATGCCCTTTGCGGATCAAATAAAATTTTGAATAATAATAATAATAATAAATTTAGGCCCTCTCTATTTTTCAACAGAAGGCAGGTTTAAGAGGAACAGTCCCCATGTTTGGCAGGAATCAAGAGAAAAACTTCAGAAAGATGGCGCCCATTTTAGTAGGAATTGGGGACGAACATTTAAGATAATTTTGTAAAAACAATATTTTCTGCCTACCTCCTTCACAGATTAAATAAAATTTGGCAAAAAAAGAGATTATATTTATAGACCAGGGCAGACGATTTATAGAATTACACAACTAATGATGATGGCGCTTGTCATGACACCTATCTAGAATTAAATTAAAAACTAAAAATAACAGATGATAATTCACGAACAGATAACAAAAGCAGACACCTAGCAGATCCAAATGCCCTATTTTTACTGTTAATAATTAAGATTTTTGGTATTTTGCGTGTTCTATTGTCCTTGAGATGATGACGAAAAACTAACAGCGACCTATGAACATCCGTACACCTAAAGAAGACACTCCAAAGTAATCCAGGAACCCTAGTGCTGAGAAGCACAAAATTTTCCAAAAGTAGAAAAAAAGAATTAGTGCAAGCCCTGATGGAGAAAATAAAATCAAATAAATCTGCAGAGTATGGTCAAGAAAATAAAACCAAAAAATTTCTATTTCTTGGTTTAAATTGCAGAGTGATCCCAAGATTTTTTTAAAAAGATGACTAAATATCGTAAAAAGGCATCCTAAGCCAACAGAGAGAATGTTTATACGAAGAATCGATCAAATATCCGAAACTGGATATAATTTACCCTATTTAACGAAAGAAAGTGGGTGAGTTGACATCAAAACTTGTTTAATGATCCGATCTCTTACTTCAATGACTGATTTGAAGAACTGAAATTGACAAAGAATCCTCCTTAATCTTTAAAGGCGTTATATGATTCCATCAACCATATTATATCAAAGAAGTTCTCCACAATGGTCTTCAGAAATTTTCAGCATCACAAACTTTACGTGATTAGTTTCAAACCAAACTTTTATTTTTAGAAAAGACACATCTGATGATTCTTCATCAACCTGATTCATTATACAACCTTCGATCCATCATCAAGATGATTCTTCGGAATTGTCCATCATGTCAACATAGTTTAGAGCATGGGAGCAATTTAATTTTTTTTCCGTGATTAGTAACAAACCAACATGAAAAAATTGAATCGTCTAATGGTGGGAGTCTAAAACCCAGCATTAATTATCAATATCTAAACTAATTTCTCCACAAATTTTATATAATTCTATGTTACACATCAAAGATCAACAATAGATCAAGCTTTATGCAGAATCACAGTCTAAGTTTAGAACAAATACCAACATTATTTATTTATATACAATTAGCAACAAATCAAAGCGGAAAAAAAATCATCAAGCAGTGGGGATATAAATAAAAACCTGGCATATTTGAAACAAATCCGCCTCTGTTCTCGATGCTGCCCCGCTCCATGCTGGGCTCATGATCGATCGTGATCTGCACCACCTCCCCACGTTTGACAAGAACCGCCCGAGAGTCACCAACATTGGCCACCCACAGCTTACGACCATTTATAAGAACAGCAGTGACCGCCGTGGAGCCACCCCGGCCCAAGATCGGGCTCTGAGAGAGGATTGCCTGGTCAGTCTTCTCATAGGCGCTCCCAAGGGCCCCCTCTGGATTGGTCCAGAACTCTTCCTAAACAGGAAAATTCTCGCATAAACATAGAAGATTTAAATATCTCATTAATCATATAAAAATCCTTGCTTTAAAGAAAAGTTACCTCTTTCAGAATGTTAGTGAACAAATGCTTCTGCAAGTAGGCGGGCACAGAATCTCCCAGATGGCCATCGAAGATGGCAAATAGCCCGAGCTCATGGCTTTTTGTCCGGACGAATTTTGCCACGTGGTAGTCTTCCATTGGATGACTTGCCTTCCCCTTCACCAGGCTATAACCATATGTGACCTTGATGCGGCTCCTCCCGCTCTTCCCTCCACCGGAGGTGGACGAGGACTTGCCCACAAGCTGTGAGAGGATGTTGACCCATTAGTCAACTCGAATAACGTGGAAGTCAACTCAAAAGAACAGGATCAAAGCACGGTCGCAGTGACTCCATCTGCATTGTCTGGAACAGACAGAATCTGATCTCTGAAGCTTAAAGCTGGGTATGAAGACAGAGTTTTGAGGACAAAGATCGTTGAAATCACAGTCGAGCTATGAATTAACTCACATAGCACAGTCACCGGCAGTAATAATGTAAAATCATCGAAATAAATGATGAGCTAGATCAGGTAATCACAGGCGCAGGGAAGAGATCATCCATCATAGTCCTCAGAGATTATCTATATAAGTTTAATATATACATATAAGTATGCTAAAGAAGATCTGGATTTAATCAAGGGAGGACTTGTAAGGGAACCCAGAAGAAGAGATGAGCAAGGAGAGAGAGAGAGAGAGAGAGAGAGAGAGAGAGAGAGAGGATTTTTCTTCTCCACACCTGACAACAGGAGAGCTTCAAGCAGCATGGCCTCTCCATATAAGACTCCCTGGCCAGCACAAAGGCCCCCTCAAAATTCCTTGCATCAACCTTTGGTCGTCCCTGTGAGACGCTCGACCAGGGGCGGAGAGAGAGAGGAGGGAGAAGGAGGAGGTTCGGAAGGAGGTCTAGTTCATCCTCCTCGATCTCATCCCTCCACGAGAATCCTCCCAAAGAAACCCATCCAGAAGCCAAAGAGACAAATGGTCAACTGGACATCCCTCAATTGACCCTCCCACAGACGGACAAGAGCAAGGAAGAGAGAGAGATAGAGAGAGAAGGTGGAGGAGGAGGTCCCCTCAGGTCCTCCTGATCGCTCCGTCCTCTCCTCGAGGAGACGGAAAGGAGTGAAACCCACTTCCCCTCATCATCTCCCAGAGGAAATTGCTGCCGTAGCTTTCAGAAACTCTGCAGGAGGGGGACCAGAGTTGTCAGCAACGCGGGGAGCCCGTTCAAGCACTTCCTCTACGTGGGTAGGGAAGGGAAGTGAAAGGAAGGCAAGGGGGCAAAACAACAGGGAGACGGCGGCTCAGACGGGAAAGTAGCCCACCCCCCTCTGACAGTTCTCCATAGTTGACTTTAAGCTGCCTCAGGATTCCACCCCCTTGTTGCTTTTTTCACACCTTTTATCGCTCTGCAAATGCTATGTACGGCCGGCCGCACCGGTTTGGTAGGGGTGGGAGATATTCATAGTTAGTCCCTCTAAATATTAGTAATTACAATTTAACCCTGTAAACATTTGTATTTACCCCATTTCTGGCATCATCTCCTGGTCTCCTAGTTCTACGGTATCTTATGTTTCACTTCTAAATATCTTATGTTTCAACAAATTTTATGTATATTCTGAATAATTTTATTTTTTAATTATTCAACCATTTTATTTTATTCAACATTTATATGTTTTGATGTTATTTGTGACAATATTTTTTATTGGTCAGTTAATTGGTCCCTTTTATTTATTAAGTGAATTCCAAATATTTTTTTGGTGAAGAAAATAATTGGAAAATAAATCCAAGCAAGTCCAATTCCAAGCAACTACATAATTTATTTATTTTCTTAAATAAGGCCGAAGAGTCACCTTTGTATTTTAAAAAAAAAGTATGCTTTATTTAATGTTATTGTCAGATAATATGGTTTATTTTATGAACTAGGTGACTTTATGAATGTAAATGATAATTTCTTTAAAATTTAAATAAATGTATTTAATGGAGTAAGGAGAGATTCATAAGTTACGTCCCTCTATAGACTATTAATTAAAAGTTGACCCTATAAAAATTTGTATTGGACCCATCTCTAGCATCATCTCCAAGTCTTGGAGGAATTAGAAATAAATTTTTGGGTGAAGAAAATAATTTAAAAAATAAATCCAACCAAGTCCAATTCCAAAAAATAATGATGAAGATGATTCATACCTTTTATATTACCCCGGTCTTAATTTATCAAAATTACCTATGAAATTAAAAAATAAAATACAGTTTATTTAAAGTTAGTATCCGATAATGGTTTTTTTATGAACTGGGCGAATTTAATCAAAACATATCACATAATATGAGTGTAAATGGTAATTTATTTAAGATTTATATAATTTTATTTAACTTAAGGAGTCTTGGATAAGGAGTAGTTTAGATACATGATATGGAAAAAAGGGTATAAGTCAAAATAATATTTTTATAAGGTCTAGACTGGCATAGACCTCCTTTGGCCAAAAAGTCCCCCGCCCCAACAAACCCGTTGACCAATAGAAGAGTTCTTGTGGACCCCACAACTTACAGCTTTCCCTCAGGATTCGCGTACAGAGCGTCGGAATCCGAACCTGGTTCCTAGCCCCGACTTACCACTCTCTCTCTCTCTCTCTCTCTCTCTCTCTCTCTCTCTCTCTCAAATATACAGATAGATAATTTATTTATTATAAATCTCGGGTTTATCATAATTTGTGGCCATTTCGTAGGGGGGTCTTGATGGTAATTTTTCATGGTAATAATAATAATTTTGATAATAATAACAGTAATAATTTTTCATAGTGCAATTATGATGAATCCGAGATTTATAATAACTCTGCTTCAGTAATTTAAAAATTATTATAGAAATTCCCAAGTGAGGAAGAGTCTCCTGATTTTTAATTCCCATAATTGCCCCCATAGAGTGATGATATTTACCGATAAAAGCCTGATCTTATCAGATAATTATTTCCTTAATAGCCGGAGGATTAAATAGGGATGAAAAAAGTTATAAAATATTTGTATTTAATAAAAAAGTCAATGTCAATTCTCTCACTATAATTCGACCGTTAATTAGTAAATAATTTATAGAAGAAGTAGGACCCACCGAGTCAGAACCAGGGAAGATCGGGATCTATCCCGGTCAGATCGGGCGATCCGCAGGGAATCGGTCCTAAATCGGGATAAAATGAAGAAGGGTATAAATACAATTTAACCAAATATGGGACTCGGATTTATCGGGTCTGCGATCAAACCGATGGACATCCTCTTTCGGATCTATATATAGGACCTGGGACCCAGCCCTTCTTCAAGTATCTTCTTCACTTCTGAGTCTTCTGCAACTCTTCCTCCCCTCTTCCCCCACAACCCTCCCTCCCCCTCTTCGGCGAACGGGGCGGCGATAGATCGGCAGAGTGCGTGCGCCTCTCTCTCTCCTACCTGTCGTCTCCGCGCCCGGTCCGACCCGCTGTTCTCTGTCTCTCGTTTTTTCTTTGCTGATCTGAGGATTTCTCGTCAAACCCTAAGGCGTTTGATCTCGGTCTGTGCCCCTCTTTTTCTCGCAAGACTTGCGGTGTCATGGATTTAGCGTCTCTTCATCGTTGGTGGGTAGAGGAGATTGTTGCGTTCTTGGTGGCTTCTTTCGTGTAAATCTGGCGGCTTTGGTTGATCGGCGCTCCATCTCTTTGTTTTTCGGAATGAAGTAAACCGTTTCTAATTGCGGCGATTTTTTGGCTATTTTTTCAGGGAGGGAGAGGGATGGCGATTGCTGTGCCAGGGCAACTTAACCTGGACGAGTCCCCGTCGTGGGGTTCCAGGAGCGTTGACTGCTTCGAGAAGCTGGAGCAGATCGGCGAAGGAACTTACGGGTGAGTGGGAAACTATGAATAATAATATCAACAAGGAAACGCCCTTCTGTTTAGTCGAGGGAAAATATACCTTCCCTGCCTAGTATGTCTGAAACTCGAAGGACATCTTCTTCCATGATTCGGATGGGATTTTCTAGCTTTAGTTGATCATACGTGGTCTATCGTTGCTCCATCGACTAGGGCTTTTACTCTGTTTCTTGTATCCCTCCCTTTTAAAAATGTCTACCTTTATTCAACATTCTCGTCACTAAGAAGTATCTTACTTTATAAATTTCGTGCGTTCAAGAGTTCGGGATAACGGTTTTGTCTTCTTAATGTATTCTCTCAATCTAATATGATTCAGGTTCAAGATAATTTTGCTTCAAGAATTCTCAAACTTTTGTATGAAATTAAGATATCCGAGTCGCCCTTTTCTGAACGCGTGACATCAATTCACCAATGTGGACCTTTCAGTATCCATCGGAACATGTAAACATGTGTTTGCTTATTAGCATGGCAGCAATGTTTCATATTTGAACTATAACTATTATTCTTTTAGAAAATGTATCGTTATTTTATTTCTTTATTTTGACCATATATGAATGCCGTTAAAAAGAGGATATTACTCCATCATTTCTTTGTTTTTGATCCATTGAAATTATAAGAATAGTATCTTGAAGGTTGAAATTATGTGGTAACTTTACTTTATAATTTATATTATCATATTACGTCCTAGGAGAATCAATGCAGATGGTGAAGATGTAGAAAGACAGCCCGTTCTTCCTGCAAGGGTTTCCCTGGACATCAAACCGCTGGAAGATCACTGAGAATGGTTTCCAAATTGCTTTATTTTCTCCATTAGTGTCATAGTTGGGTTTATGAAATTGTGCTCCAAGATAATTCCGTTCCTTGAAAACACTTGTTATAAAAAAAATGACGGTATGTTGGAGGAAATCTATAATTCTGTTTTCTTTGTCTTGGCAGAAATAGAATTTTTCTCAACTGATTGTTACTTGCCTTTTAGTAGGTCCCTCTGTTTCCTTAAGTGCACAGTTTTTCTTATGAGATACCACCCACTATTTCCCACAGAGGTGCCCAGCATCATTAGAAATAAGCCCTAGTACAGTTACATGAGACAGAAAAATGAAATTGGTGACAGACAGAAGTGATTCTTTTGGAATTTCTTGAATTATCTTTGATCTATTCGCATTGTCATTCGTTATAACTTCAGTAATATCCTGCTCCATATTCACAGTACGGTAGCGACTCAGACTTTGGATAACAGCGTTTAGAAGTTGAGGAGCAATCTTTGACAAATTATTTATTTTACTATTCAATTTCTCAAGCTCTTTCTTTGTCTAGTTGACATTGTAAATTTCAAGTAGAATGATATGTAGATTGCTACTAAAATTGGAGTGGACGCAGTTAAAACATGGGTAGAGGTCAATGCCTCTTCTTGGTCTCAATTCTGATTAAAATGAGAAGTCCATGTATAGCAGGCACGTGATGTTATCATCATGAAAGTCCAGTGTATATTATGTTTATGTATGAATCTTCTGTCTCGAAACCAGAATGCAAGAATTTTACCATATTGGTCAATAGTGAGGCTGCATTCGGAAGTCATTCCTTTGGCATTCAACACTAACATGTATTCATCTACCATTTCTCATGAGCCCTGCATTTTTTGCTTTAAATAGTTTTACTTATGGGTATAGCTTTAAGGAACTTTTCTTGACTATCTCTGTGAGGGAGGTAAAGTGGTCTCATTAAATTTTATCTACAGAGTGCAGATGGGAAAAAAAAAGAAAAAAAATCTGAGATTTAGATTATTATACACATTGTTCTGGAGTTTTTTATTAAATTTTACAGAGTGCAGATAGCAAATACGCATGGATTGTTGGTTTCTTGTAATTTTTTATTCTGTATTCTAGTTATGCATGCTGTTTCCCATATTTATGTGTAGATATCTCTGACAGCCTTTTTAAAAACGAATGTGTTCTTACTCCTGGACATTTTTAAATATGATATGAAATTTCAATTAATTTTTGGCGTCCTGGAATGTAGACAGGTATATATGGCTAGGGAAATCCGTACTGGAGAAATTGTGGCATTGAAGAAAATCAGAATGGACAATGAACGAGAAGGGGTAAACACTTCGTCTTAGTTCTATTTTGACTTACAGTACAATAAATTTGCTACTAACTGATAAAAATTTGTTTTAGAATTGTGGCTGAACATATAGTACCCTTTGCAGTTTCCCATAACAGCTATTCGAGAAATCAAAATCCTGAAAAAGCTGCATCACGAAAACATTATCCGATTGAAAGAGATTGTGACCTCTCCAGGTGGGATTTGGAACATCCCCATCTGTTCAGAATCCTATCCATTATTCACATTATTTATTATATTTTTTTGATGTTGGGATCCAGGTCCTGAAAAAGATGAGCATGGGAAGCCCGGTAAGTTAATCAGATCTTGCTCACCTTTATTTCCATGATGGTAGCATTGATTTTTCCTGTCCTTTGGTTCAAGTTGCATGGCCCATAACTTGTCTTCTAACGATCTCTTTTGTCAGAAGATAGACAAGCAAATCCTTTTCTCATAAATTATATTTTTGTAGAATATTATATATGTTTTTGAACCTTGGTCTATGCAGATGGCAATAAATATAAAGGAAGCATCTACATGGTCTTTGAGTACATGGATCATGACCTAACAGGTCTCTCAGATCGGCCTGGCATGCGATTCACAGTCCCACAGATAAAAGTATATTCTGATGATTTGATCTTTCTTATTTTTATTGCAAATTAACCAATGTTTATGCATATGTTTTCCTTACTTTTTGGTTAATGAATTAATTAATGCTGATGGTTATGCTTTTCTTATCACTTTGGCTTTCTAGTGCTACATGAGGCAGCTGTTGACAGGACTCCATTACTGCCATGTTAACCAAGTTCTTCACCGGGATATCAAAGGTCAACTCCTGCACCTACCCATTTGACATTTTGTTTCTCCAATTTGTCATTCCTCGCTGATCTTGTGTCTTTAATTTCTTCCTGCAGGATCTAACCTCCTGATTGACAATGACGGGAATCTGAAGCTCGCAGACTTTGGCCTCGCTCGATCGTTCTCGAGTGACCAAAATGCAAATCTCACTAACCGAGTCATCACTCTGTGGTACAGGTATATTTTTTTATTTTTTTTTGGGGAAAGTTAAAATTTAGATTTTATTCTATTAATGGAATGATGAACAGACCACCGGAGCTGCTTCTGGGAGCCACAAAGTATGGTCCGGCCGTCGACATGTGGTCTGTTGGCTGCATATTCGCTGAGCTTCTCCATGGAAAACCCATATTACCTGGGAAAAATGAGGTGACAATCACCTTTTCTTCATTTTTCTCAAGAGATTAGAGTGAGAAATTTTCCTTTTTTTATCATGAAAGTATTGATGATCTTTGTGGGAATATTGAATTTTATTCAGTCTACCCGAATGGCTGACTTTTCTGTGATCTCATGGCAGCCAGAGCAGCTGACCAAGATCTTTGAGCTTTGCGGGACGCCTGACGAGGTCAACTGGCCGGGTGTCTCGAAGATCCCCTGGTACAACAACTTCAAGCCCCCAAAGCCGATGAAGAGACGTGTCCGGGAGGCCTTCAAGCAGTGAGTCTCCTCTGGTCTCATTCATTATAAGACGCCATTAATAATATACCTCCCCTTGAAGGATCTCTCCTTCCCCCGCCACCCACCCAACAAGATGATGATGATGATGATGATGATGATGACGATCATGTTCCTATTTTCTCGACAGCTTCGATCGGCATGCCCTCGAGCTGCTCGAGAGAATGCTCACTCTCGACCCTTCACAGGTTGCCTTCTATTTTAAGCATAATCCTCCTGTTTTCGATGGCCATCTTCTTGAAGAAAAGCAGTCATGTTCTTTGCCATCTAGAGAGACCTTCAATGTAGACCCTAATGGCCTGATGTGGAATCATTGCAGAGAATATCAGCGAAGGATGCTTTGGATGCGGAGTATTTCTGGACCGACCCGTTGCCCTGCGACCCCAAAAGGTAGTCATCATCTCTCTAGGATCTCTTCGTCGACCTGCATCTTCCTCCTCGAAACCCTTCAGAATGGTTGATTCTCTGACATTGATGGTGGCGGCAGCTTGCCCAAGTACGAGTCTTCCCACGAGTTCCAGACGAAGAAGAAGCGGCAGCAGCAGCGGCAGAATGAGGAGAACGCAAAGAGGCAGAAGATGCAGCACCCTCAGCCCCACTCCCGGCTGCCGCCCATCCAGCAGACAGGGCCGGTGCACCCTCAGCTCCGGCCCGGCCCCGGGCAGCCGCTCCCGCTCCATGGCGCGCCGGTGCCGGCCATGGCAGGGATGAGCCACCACTACCAGAAGCCTCGTGGGCCTGCCGGAGGGCCGAACAGGTACCCGCCAGGGGGCAACCCAAGCGGCGGTGGCTACAACCCAAGCAGAGGAGGCCAAGGCAGCAGTGGTGGTGGTACCGCTGGTGGTGGCTATGGCGGCTCTGCCCCGTATCCCCCCCAGGGTCGGGGGCCTCCTTATCCTGGTGGCGGCAGCAGCAGCATGCCGGCAGCAGGTGGCCCGAGAGGTGGGGCTCCTGCTGGGTATGGTGTTGGTGGGCCAAATTACCCGCAAGGCGGCGGCAGTGGTGGCGGCGGTGGCGGTAGCAGTGGTGGCAGCGGTGGCGGAGGTGGTCACTATGGCGGCTCATCCGGCGGGCAGAGCCGGGGGCCCAACATGATGGGCGGCAACCGGAACCAGCAGCAGTATGGTGGCTGGCACAGCTGAATATCTGACGGGTTCACCCCCCTGTGAACTAGTTTTGAGACGACGGAGGTCTCTGAGAGAGGAAAGAGAAAGAAGAAACAAGCTTGGGGCAGTTGACTTTTAATTCATTTATTGAGATGTCTGTGCCTGAGCTCCCTCTTCTATCTTCTTCTTCTTCCTTCCCCAGTTGCGCCGCCGATCCTGTGCTAGTTGACTCTGCCCATTAGCGAAGAGAATCATCGGAGGATCGTTGACCCTCTGTGGTCAACTGGCTGAACGAGACTGCACGAGTGACTAGTCTATTTACCTTGTCCCTTAAATAAAATACCCTAATATTTTTAATTTATTAATTTACTTACTTTACGTTAAATTTTTAGTGATTTGTGTAATTGTTGTACTGTTGTCTGATTAATCAATGCATTATTAAGGTATTAATCCAAAATTAGTCAGCGTTTCTGTGGGCCCCGCAAAGTAGCCTCCGATTGGCTTACTCTCATAGTCCCCATATTTTTCTCTATTCTATTAATTAATAATAGAGCAGCTAAATTAGCCTCAAATTGGGAGGAAAATCAGAGATAATAAATTATTATCTTCTTTTAGAAATTATTTTTTTCGATCTCTCTAATGGAATTCAGGTCGCGTGTCTTGTAGGGCCCAGAGCCGGCCACGTTTCGTTGACCGCCAAGAAACAGGTAATCCATACAGTATAGTCACCCAGAGTTTCAGTCTTCCACCCACCCCTCCCTCGCCCTCTGCCCCACGTGGACTTGCCCTGGCTTTTGAGGTGGGGGTGAGGATTATACTCTTCAGGTATCTTTATCAAGATCTCAGAATGAGCGGTGGGTCCCATTGCCGCGTAGGACGCCCACGCCGTGACATCTGTCGAGGCGGCTTGACCTTTTTAGTCTCGAACTGTCGCTGGACGGCGGCGAGTAAAGGATTGCGATGTGGGAGAAGGGGGGATCGCTGAGCAGGGGCTTCCTCCGCCTCCGCCACCACCGCCATGGCTACTCCGGTGGCTTCTACCTCCATGACCAGCGCTTCGCCGGCGGCCTTGCGGGCCCTCTGGGCCTCCGTCGTCCTCTGGAGGGAAGCTCCGCCCTCGCCGGAGGCCTGAGGGGCCCGATCTTTCCCTTAGGATGCCGTTCTCTGAGCTCCGGTGGAAAATACGCCACTGCGCGGAAGGAGAGCGACGAGGAGGGTCCCCCTGCGCCCTCAGGCGGTGACATGGTTTCGGAGTCTGGGAAGGAGGAGAGAGTGTCAAGCTACTGGGGCGTGATGCGGCCCAGGGTCACCAAGAAAGATGGCACGGCGTGGCCGTGGAATTGCTTCATGGTGACTTAGAGTTTGATTTTTCTTTTTTCCCTCTCTGATTCTATTTCCAGGGCTATATTCTGAAGTATGATCCGTTTTTCGATTTCCTTACTCCCTGCTGCAGCCGTGGGACACTTACAGCGCCGATTTGTCAATAGATCTTTCAAAGCACCACGTTCCAAAGACATTCACGGACAAGTTTGCTTACCGAACGGTGAAGATTCTCAGGATCCCAACAGATATTTTTTTCCAGGTCAAGATTCGTATCCATATTGAAATTTACTTTTGTCAATGATATTTTGCATTGATTCTGTTTTTTTTTAATCGATATGATTTTTACAATGTTTTTATTTGATTATTATGGCTGATATCTTAATTTCTGTTAAGTTCTTGACATGATTTCTTAAGTTGCATCGGAAACTCACTGTTCTCGTTATGCCTTCTTCTTCTTCTTCTTCTTCTTCTTCTTCTTCTTCTTCTCATCTATGCTAAATAGCCATTTACGAAAATATGAATCCATCTCCTTTATTTTTTCTCATCACACGATACCAGGAATTCATGTGTCTGGTGATGTTTAGATGGGACCATTAAGCGCACGATTTGATCATCTGTTCTTCTACGAAGAAATTCTGTCTGTGTTTTCTTCCCATGAAGGCAACTTTGATCCAGCACGAATACATTCCATCCATTTGGAATACCGACTGAATCATTCAATCTCTGCCTTCATGAACTGTAGATGTATTGAGCCTATTCGACATCCAAATCATTGTCTCATTTCCTCATCTGAGGCAGGACATACAATCTAGGAATCTCATCAACAGCTCATGGAGGTAGACTTTGAATGATTCAATGGGTATCATAAATGCCCAGAGTCTACTCAGAGTGAAAGAAACCGTCAACAGAGCTCCTTCATAGAAGAACAGAAGATCCAATCGCATGCTTTTAATGGGAATAAGAAAAATAGGAATTTTCTTCCACAGCTCATGGCACAATCAGGGCTTGACTGATTCGTTCCCACAAAAACAGAGGCGGTATGGGTGCCGGGCGATGATGCTGGAGACAGTGGCAGCTGTGCCAGGCATGGTTGGTGGCATGCTCCTCCACCTCAAGTCCCTCCGGCGATTCCAGCACAGCGGTGGCTGGATCAAGGCCCTGCTGGAGGAGGCAGAAAATGAGCGGATGCACCTGATGACCATGGTGGAGATCGTCCAGCCCAAGTGGTATGAGCGGGCACTGGTCCTCACTGTCCAGGGGGTCTTCTTCAATCTCTATTTCCTCCTCTACCTGCTGTCCCCGAAGCTGGCACACAGGATTGTCGGGTACCTGGAGGAGGAGGCGATCCACTCCTACACAGAGTTCTTGAAGGAGATTGACAGAGGCACCATCAAGAACATTCCAGCGCCTGCCATCGCAAGGGACTACTGGCGGCTGCCCGAGAACGCCACCCTGAGAGATGTTGTGGTGGTCGTCAGGGCGGATGAGGCCCACCACCGGGATGTTAACCACTTTGCTGCTGTGAGTATAACTTCGGCTCCTTCTTTCTGGTCCTTTATTTGATGCCATTGATATGTTTTTTCATGGAAAATATTGCCTAATTAGGCAGTTGAAAGATTCTAGGATTGTACCCGTTTGAGTAGAGGGGGGATTGGTGACAATATAGGATCATTCCATTTGAATCAGGCTCACCATGGTTTCATATTTTATGGTATAATGTCTAGCAATGAAGGTGGGTTTTTTTCTTCAGATTATTCATACTTTGATTTGTAGGGGGAGAGATTGCCATATTTAGAATTGAAGGTGGGTTTCCCTAATGATTGGCAATGGTTGACCTTTGACATGTTGCTTATTAGAGAGAGACAGAGACAGAGACAGAGAGAGCACCACCCGTCTAAGATTATCCATGGTACCTTGTTTCTAGATAGATAGATAGATAGATAGAGGGAGGGAGGGAGAGAGAGAGAGAGAGTAGGCATGGCATCTAGGTGTAGGTGTTCTCCCATGATTGGCATCTATAATGCCCTATGAATCAGAGCCTCAACTATCGTCTCCTATATTTATTGTGCTTTCTTGATCGCCGGGGTTCGAAGCCCCTGAAGGGGCTGATCGCCCTCTGATATTCTCACTCCTTTGGCCTCCTCCCCAGGACGTCCATTTCCAAGGGAAAGAGCTGAGGGACGCGCCCGCCCCTCTCGGGTACCACTGAACCTCTCGACCCTGCCCAGGTATGAACGATATTACCCATGAATAATCTATTTTCACTACTCCCTCTCTCTCTCTCTGTCTATCTATCTATCTATCTAACTATATATATATATATATTGGCTTGTAATCTGTCGTATGTGATGTGGACCTGTGAAAACGTCAAAGTCAGTCTGTTGGCCCAATGCAGAGAGCCCACTTATGACGTGTAGCATCTCTCATTCTCTCTCTGTCTCAGCCAAACATGGGTTGTGTGGCACGTGTGAGGTCCTGTCCGTGTCTTACGCGTTGTGAATATGGATGAGAGAGAGAGAGAGAGAGAGAGAGAGAGAGAGAGAGAGAGAGAGAGAGAGAGAGAGAGAGAGAGAGACCAAGAGTGGCCGCTACCGAAGGAAGTGATTTGAAGAGCCCAATGGGCACAGAAGCGGAGAGCTTATTCATATATAGGCCAACTCTCTCTAATATGGGCTTATAGAGCGAGAGAGGAGAGAGAAAGAGAGAGAGAGAGAGAGAGAGAGAGAGAGAGAGAAGATGATGTTGCACTTTAACTTTATTTGTTTTCCTGTGCTCATTGAATTTTTTTACCTAGATGAGTCTTGTGGTTATAAGATTTTCCAATCATAATAGTAATGGCGTATACTTGTTTGAACTGTATGTGATGTGTTATAAGGTTTATGTATACTTGTTCGAAGCCAACCACGAACTTTATGTAATGTGTTATGAAGGTTGTCAAATCTGTATTAATTAGGGTTTCATCTGTAGAAACTCAAGGTTTTTTCTCTCAATCCAATGGCTATGAATATAACACATCCCAAGTCATAATCATTTAAAATTATCTATGAAAATTGACTCACCGATTTCCCCCCCCCCTCTCTCTCTCTCTCTCTCTCTCTATCTATCTATCTATCTATATAGATAGATAGGAGCAAAGTCTATAATATATTTTCATAAGAGAACCCAAGAGAGCAATTTAATAAAAAGAATTATAACATTAGTTGGACTAAGCTTTGAGTTAGTAAAAGATTAAGTTCATAACTGGTTCATATTGAACTCTTTTATAATCCAATAAATAGCATCACTTTACCCATAATCTCATTGTGTGGAGATAGTTTTTATCCCAATCAGCCACCAACCTAGACTAGAGAGAATGCCTGCATGGCACCTCACACGAGGGGTTTATTAGCAAAAATGCATTACAAACATACCCCATTTCCCCTAAGCATAACAACTGACATTGACCTCAAAAAAAGTCAAGCACTCAAAAAGTCAGCTCAGATATATTTCCCATAACCACGCAGTTAAGAGATTTTTTTTCCAATCAGCCACCAGCCTAGTCTAGAGAGAATATCTGTATGGCACCTCACTCGAGGGGTTTATTAGCAAAAATGGATTACAAACATACCTTATTTCCCCTAAGCATAACAGCCGACGTTGACCTCAGGAAAAGTCAAGCACCCAAAAATCAGCTGGGATAAAGTTACAATTTTTAAATAAATTGCTGAATACCTTATTAGGGATATGTATGCATGCCATTTCATAGGGTTTATCTGTTTCTGTGATATGCAAGGCGCATTCATCTTCTTCTACAGAGGGATCTAACATGATCTGAGCCCGGTGGCGAGTTGTGTTCGGAGGCTTGGATCATCAATAGTCAACCCTATTACTTACTCTGTATCATTCATTGGAGGTGTACTTTGAGAAATCAGGAGTCTTTGCTGCCCTGGATGATTTCCTGAACCCGTCATTCTTGATCATCGTGTTCTTCATCTTCTGCTGGTCATCGTCTCGATCGAAAGAGATGGGTGATGGATGATGGGGATTAGGGTTTTCAGGAGACCACGTAGAACTTGAAAAAGGGTAATCTTTCTCTGTGGAGTCGATAATGGGTAGGCATGCTGGCGATATTCGAACGGATACGGATATGCCCATCCACTTTCTCCTCCCTACTCCCGCACCTTCGTCCATGGGCCAGTGGGGAAGGGACTGGACCTCATTGTCCTCTGTGTCCCCACCTCGACGAGCAGCGGCGGATCTTCCTGAGCGCATTTGTCGCTGTACGTCGATCAATGTCGTGCGCCTGTGACCAGGACTTTGATTCTGCGATGGCCTGAGGAAGATCCGTGGGGGTGGAAGGGGGGAGCGAGGGAGTCAATGGCGGAGGGGACGCCGTCAGGGACGGGCATCTTGGTGAAGATGGACTCGACGGAGTCGAGGTGGATCTCCGGGGGAGCCGAGGTGGTGGACTCTGAGCCGGAGGACGGGGAAAGCCTCCAGTCCGAGGAAGAGGACGCGGTGGAGCAGAGGCTGATCCGCACGGGGCCGCAGGTCGACTCCTTCGACGTGGAGGCCCTCGACGTGCCCGGTGCTCTGAGGAACGACTACGAGGTTCCGGATCCTGCCCCCGCCATCTCGCCAGAGCTTGTTGCTTTTCTGTCGCAGTTCTTTCTCTCTCTCTTTGAGGTGGGGATGGGGTGGGGAGGGCCCTGTTGAGATTTCGTGCCCTCTGGTTTTGGGTGAAATTGAGTTTCACCAAACCTTTTCCTTCGAATTGATCTTCTTGCTCTCTGCATTTTCTGGAGTGCTGACGACTTTGAGCAAACCCTAGTTTGCTGGAGTGTCTATGAGGACGATTCCTTCTTGTCTACAACTGTAGTTTCCTTGCAGAAGCTACGTTCCTCAGTTGCTTTCTGTGAACCATCATTTTGTTCACAATATTTCTCAAACAGATTACGAGACTCTACCTTCTTGGCCCGAATTATCTTCTAAGAAACCAATATTTCTCTCATCAAAACTTGAAATGAACAGCTTGGCTTACAATATACGCTTAAACTGCAACCTTTTATCTGGAGAAATGTTGTGTTCATTTCAGGTTATAGGCTACATTCATAGCTTCCAGTTCTCCCTCCCTCTCTCTCTCTCTCTCTCTCTCTCTCTCTCTCTCTCACACACACACACACACACACACACACACACACACACACTCCCAGCCATTAGAGTCATACTTGAAAAGCCTCTAACAGCCTCTTGCTTCCACGTTGACTGCCAACTTTCCATGGAATGGGGACGAATTCTGTCTGAACCATAGCATCTCAATTGCAGGACTTTACCTTGGGCAGGAAACTCACGCTCGCTCTCCAGACACTTGGTGTTGTGTTCGGGGATGTTGGAACGAGCCCATTATACACCTTTGATGTCATGTTCAACAAGTCCCCCATTCGGGGAGATGAAGATATCCTGGGAGCCTTGTCTCTTGTCCTTTATACCTTGATACTCATTCCGCTTGTCAAATATGTCCTGGTTGTGCTGTGGGCTAACGATGATGGGGAAGGTATGATAGAATCTATCACTTAGATTACTTCGTTGGTGGGAAATCAACTAGGGTCATACTCATTGGGTTGCTACCTCTTCACAGGAGGCACCTTTGCTCTGTATTCCTTGATATGTAGGCATGCAAAGGTCAGCCTTCTCCCGAATCAGCAACCTTCAGATGCCCGAATATCGAGTTTTAGGCTTAAGGTGCCATCGGCGGAGCTTGAGAGATCCCTGAAGATTAAGGAGCGCCTTGAGTCTTCATTGGTGCTGAAGAAGCTGCTTCTTGTATTGGTGCTTTTTGGGACTTCAATGGTCATAGCGGTGGGAGTTGTCACACCAGCCATGTCAGGTTGCTATGACTTTCTTCTTCCTACTTTAGCCAGAACCTGTGCTTCTTCGTAGATGGGAAGTTGAAATCGTCAAGAGTTTATTTGTTTCCTTGTAACCTCAAACCTGCCCGGTCTTCTTAATTTTTGCAGTCTTGTCTGCTGTGAATGGTCTAAAAGTTGGAATTTCTGGAATTCAACAAGGTGATCTGCCAAACTTTTTCTTTCATCAACGTTATAATTTTCTCTTTGGAATAAAGTAGGTTGTGTACTCTTGATTATCCTTGAGATGGTTTTCAACCTCTTTCTGTGTGATTGGTAATTGTTTATTCAACCTGTTGAGTGTCATGATCAATAAATCTTATGCTTTTTTTGTTCTTCTGCTGCCATTAATTGACAGTGCTCATGAATATCCATATTAATTCGATCTCTTATCTTCAAATCGTTGCAGAAACGGTGGTGATGATTTCTGTTGCGTTTCTGGTGATCTTGTTCAGTATACAGAGATTCGGAACCAGTAAAGTAGGACTTGCTCTGGGGCCCGCCTTGTTCGTGTGGTTTTGTTCGCTTGGGATTGTTGGGATCTACAACCTCTTAAAATATGAGACAAGGGTATTAGAGGCATTTAATCCTATACATATTTTTTACTTCTTCAGGAGAAATTCTCTCCAGGCCTGGATGTCTCTTGGAGGCTGTCTTCTTTGTGTAACAGGTACTGCATACAAGTGATAACAAAATATCTTTTGAAAAACTTGCAATTGATGTCACTACCATGATGAAATCTAGGATATGTTTTTCATACTATTTTTTATCCAGCTACAAATAAATGCATCATTTTAATTTATAAATGGTTTATTAAAAAGGACGTGTTCTTGATCCCTATTCTTGATTATTTCCATTAACCAAACCGACATTGTTTTCCGCACAAGCTAACATCTTGACTGATCATCCGTTTGGATTAGTATTTTTGCATGAGAAAAACATATTTTTCTCAAGTCCTGATGATCAGTACGGTTTGCTTCAGGCTTTCTCCTTAGATTCATGCTCATGGGTTTGACCAATATGGTATATTTTACATGACTTTGAATAACATCACTGCTTATTAATGGGCAGGATCTGAGGCCATGTTCGCAGATCTTTGCTATTTTTCTGTTAAATCGGTTCAGGTATAGCACTTGTTTGGTCTTTACCTACTAATAGTGCTCTGTGAGTTCTGTAGCCTTAATTTCTTTCAACTCCTCTCCTATTCTGACTGCCCCGACTTATCTGTGTCAGCTCACTTTCATCTTTCTGGTTCTGCCTTCCCTGCTTCTGGGATACCTTGGTCAAGCTGCGTTTCTAATGGCAAATCAGTCCCAGGCTGAGCAAGTTTTTTTTTCATCTATCCCAAGTAGGCTTCATCTCCCGTTCATTCTCTATAATTTTCAAGCCCTGTCCAACGTTGTTGAATTTCTTTTATTTATTTATTTATTTATTGAACTGCTGCCCACAATTGTGCACAGGTGGGGCTTTCTGGCCAGTTTTCATCATAGCAAATGTTGCGGCTTTGATTGCCAGTCGGGCAATGACGACAGCCACATTTTCATGTATAAAACAGTCAACGGCCCTCGGTTGCTTCCCCCGTCTGAAGATCATTCACACGTCCCGAAAGTTCATGGGCCAGATATATATTCCAGTCATGAACTGGTTTCTGCTCGTCATCTGCCTCGCTTTTGTTGCCATGTTTGGAAGCATCAACGAGATAGGGAATGCGTATGGTACGACCTGCTACCCTCTCCCTGCCTTGTGCGCCGCTTTAGTTAGCTCTTGTTTGATGAGACGTCCTTGATACCATACTTACTGCTTCCCCCTTGGTGATGCTGCTGCTGTGTATATTCTTTATCACTTGATGGGCATTGAGTTGAGCTTTCTCTCTCTATCCTTTCTTTTCTCTTGCCAGTCTACAGCTCCAGGCATCATTTCATATTAAAACAAAGCAACCAGGTTTTAGAACCCTAACACAAGTGCAGATCCAATGACATACATCTGAATGCAACCTACATGATCTACAAAATACATATCAGATATCATAAACTGGTGGATGGAGTAGTTGGACTGCTGGCTAAAACTCCACCATGTGAGGTGCATCATGATAATGCAGCTTACGAGAATTCGAACCTCAGTAAAAGAAATTTAAGCAGATCTTAGCAGTGGCGATGTGCAAAATATTAGCTCATAAATCTTTCGATTCGATCATGATCGCTAAAGCTGTGTTTAATTGAGGCTTAAAAATTCGTACTGTAATAAGCTATCATTAGAGTCTAGTGAGAAAATTCCCTGAGACTCATCATGTTCTTCGTTGGACAATCTGACTGGGGTCATTCATGGATTATGCTGTAGCAGATTAATTTTTAGAGTTCAACGATGAAGCAGATTAATTTTTAGAGTTGAACGATGAATATATGACTGACTTGTAATCCTCCTATCAGCAGACATGAAAGCAGGCTAACATTCACTATGACTTTCACTTTCAGGCTTTCCAAAATAATTCAACGGATGCTCTTTTTTCCCCTTTATAGGATATTCTTGGATAATATTTTATGCGAAGGACGAACCATTGTTGAATTCCTTTTGGATGATGTTTGACTGCCATTCCCATCCTGAATTCCTTTTTTTTTATTTGTTGGGTGCTTCTCATAGATACTGGTTTGCTGAAGGATTCTTCTAATTCTTGCAAGTTCGTTGCTGTTTCTTATCCCACTTCGCAATTTTTGGTCCCCTATGGTTTTATGAACTGTGGAAACTCTGTTGGATAGGGCATACCGTGAGGTCATTTATTTGCAGATTCCACAGTCTTGGATCTCAAAACCATTGAGAAATCGCTCTTAAGGTTTCAGCAACATACCATGATCATTTAGTATTTGACTGTGATTCATTCCTCCACCAGTGCAAGCTGTTTTCATTGTCCCTGTTCCATCCGACTCCAGGCCCAAGTTCTTGATCATAATGCCTTATTTTTATTAATTTTTAATATTTATCTTTTACCTGATCTTGTTTTGGGTCTCATTGAGATGGAATGAATATGTTTCGCCAATCATTTCTAAAATAATCCGGGCCATAATGATCACAGGCGTATCAATCAGCAAGAACATATTCTTCTTTAATCAATCTATGATAGCTTTTCCTGCAATAGAAGCCCAGTTTGTTTTATTTTTTTCATTAAAGATGAATGATTAAAGTTTCAATCCCCCCATTACTCGCCTTATTCTCAGAGCAATATTTTATTTTAATTTATTATATTTCCCCCATGGTTTGAAACCGTGCTCAGGAATCGCGGAGCTCGGAGTGATGATGGTGACAACGGTGTTGGTGACCATCATCATGCTCCTGATATGGCAGATCAACATCGTCGTGGTGCTGAGCTTCCTCACGATCTCTCTGGGCTTGGAGCTGCTGTTCTTCTCCTCTGTTCTTGGCAATGTGGGGGACGGGAGCTGGGTCCTGTTGGTCTTCGCCGCTGTGCTGTTCATGATAATGTACGTCTGGAACTATGGAAGCAAGCTCAAGTATGAAACCGAGGTCAGGCAGAAGCTCTCCATGGATCTGCTGGTGAAGCTTGGCCCGAACCTTGGTACTGTCAGAGGCCCTGGAATTGGGTTGGTCTACAACGAGCTCGTGAGGGGGGTCCCCGCGATCTTCGGCCACTTTCTGACAACTCTCCCTGCGATCCACTCGATGATCATATTCGTCTGCATCAAGTACGTCCCCGTCCCGGCGGTGCCACAGAACGAGAGATTTCTCTTCCGGCGAGTCTGCTCCAAGAGTTATCACATGTTCCGGTGCATTGCCAGGTGAGTTGACTTCATACGCTCCTCTTGGGAATCATCAGAAAGTCAACCCTGGATATTATTTGTATCGGCTATTCTCTTTCGATTATTCTGCCCCGTGAGGGGGGGTATAGCATGTTCCTGTGCATTGCGAGGTGTGTTGACTTCATCCTCTCCTCTTGGGAATCGTCAACCCTGGATTTCATTTGCATAGGCTATTCTCTTTCGATGATTCTGCCCCATGAGGGGGGTATAGCATGTTCCGGTGCATTGCCAGGTGAGTTGACTTCACCCGCTCCTCTTGGGAATCATCAGAAAGTCAGCCCTGTATTTAATTTCTATGGGCTTTATAGGCTCTCTTTAGATGACTCTGCCCCATCAGAGGGGGGGATGGGGGGGTTATAGCATGTTCTGGTGTTCTGGTGCATTGCCAGGTGAGTTGACTTCATCCTCTCCTCTTGGGAATCATCAGAAAGTCAACACTACACAATTTGTATGAGCTTTATAGGCTCTCTTTAGATGACTCTGACCCATGAGGGGAGGGTATAGCATGTTCCGGTACATTGCTTTGTGCTTGGACTTCATTCGTTTGATCGGTAACAATTAGCAAGTCAACCTTGGATTTTGTGGGTCTTCCCCAAGAGTTTTCCAAAGTGTTTGCCTATTGCTTGGTGACTTGACTTTGTCTATTTGATTGGGCATTATCGGGAAGTCAACTGCGGATTTTTTTAAACTGGGTTATTTCGATTGGATCTAAAGCGTATTTGATCTAAGAGCTTCATTCATGATGGAGAAGAGAAGTCAACTAGGGTTCAGGGTTTAGGATTTTAAGGAGGATGAACCCTAACCTTCTTCTTCGGTTGCGGTGGTGGGATGGGCTGATTTTTCAACAGGTATGGGTACAAGGACGTGCGGAAGGAGAACCACCAAACCTTCGAGCAGCTGCTGATCGAGAGCTTGGAGAAATTCATCCGGCGGGAGGCCCAGGAGAGATCGCTGGAGAGCGACGAGGACGCCACCGACTCCGACGAGGAAAGGGATGACGACGAGGAGACCTTCTCCAGGCTGATGATCAGCCCCAATGGCGGCGTCTACTCCCTGCAAGCTCCCCTCCTCTCCGATGACCGCCTCTCAGCGGCGGCAGGGGAGGCGGAGTGCTCCTCCTCTGGTGGCGGCGGTGGTGGTGGTGATGTGGGAGCGGCGGCGGTGGTGCCGGTGGAGGCAGCAGCGAGGCAGAGCTTGGAGAGGGAGCTGTCGTTCATCAGGGGGGCGAAGGAGTCTGGGGTGGTGTACCTGCTGGGGCATGGGGATATCAGGGCGAGGAAGGACTCGTGGTTCCTGAAGAAACTGGTCATCAACTACTTCTACGCGTTCCTCAGGAAGAACTGCCGCAGGGGGATCGCCACCCTCAGCGTCCCCCACACCAACCTCATGCAGGTCGGCATGACCTACATGGTCTGATCTCCCTCCCCTCCCTTCCACCTCTCTGTTTCTTCTCCAACAGTATTATTCTTGCTCTCTCTCTCTCTCTCTCTATCTCTCTCTACCTATCCATTTATCTCTAGAAGAGGATTTTGGAAGGATTTTTCATTTTTTGTGTAAAATTTGCCATGACAGTCGTTTTTTTGGGGATTGTGGGTCTTCTCTCTCTCTCTCTCTCTCTCCCTCTCTCTCCCTCTCTGTCTGTCTGTCTATCTATTTATCTATTTATTTCTAGATGAGGATTTTGGAAGATGGATTTTTCGTTTAGCAACAATCGTACACTTTGTGGGATTGTGGGTCTTCTCTCTCTCTCTCTAGATGAGGATTTTGGAAGATGAATTTTCTTTTTATGGGTAAAATCCGCTCGTAACAATCATACTGTTGGGGATTGTGGGCCTTCTCTCTCTCTCTCTCTCTCTCTCTCGCTCTCTCTCTCTCTAGATGAGGATTTGTGGAGATGAATTTTTCTTCCAAGGGTAAAATTCTACTCCAAACAATCGTATTTTTATTGGGATTCTGGGTCTTCGTTTATTTCTCAATCTTTTTCCAAATTATTTTCTTAAAGAAATAAAATCTGATAGATCTAATTTTTAATTTTTTTCTGTCGCGTGGAACACTTTCTTGAATATTTGCAGCATAATTGGAAAATACGTCAAATAAATGTTCCCAATAAATCTAATATAATTTATATACCGAGCACAATTTCTCATTTATGGAAAATAAAACACGAGAATTAATCGGTAAAAAATTAATTTAATAAGAAAAATTAGATAAATACATAAATACAGAAAAATAGACCTCGATCTGGTCGTCGTCTTCTTCCCCAAGACCTCTGCTCTCTCTATAGGCCGAGCAGCTCGGTTCATCCCTCCGGAGAATGCAGGGGAAGAGGAGTTTGTGGAGGACGACGATGACGATCGGGGGCGGCGGCGCCGGTCTCCGGTGATCGCCGGAGTCTCCGCCGGATGATGGCGGGGTGGAGCTCCATGATCAGGGCCTGCGTGAGGAACGAGCAGTTCTCGGAGTCACTTACTCTCTTCCGCTGGATGCTGCGGGCCGGTCGCGGCGGCGACGGCCACGCCATCGCCGCCGCCGCCAAGGCCTGCGGGCGGCGCCGCCACCTCCTCGGCGGCTGTGGGCTCCACGGCCACGCCGTCGCGGTGGGCCTTGAAGGGAACGTCTTCGTGAAGACTTCACTCCTCGACATGTACTCTCGGTGCTCCACTCTGCAGCTCGCCCGCCGCCTTTTCGACGAAATGCCGCTCAGAAATCTGGCCACTTGGAACGCCATGATCTTGGCCTGCGCCAGGAACGCTGAGGTCAACGCCGCCTTCGACTTACTGGGGCAGATGAGGGTCAACGGGCTAGACCCTAATCTGAGCACCTTCCTGGGTCTCGTCTCCGGCGGTATTCTCCCCCACCAGTGCAGCCGCTCCCTCCATTGCTATGGTTTGAAGCTCGGGATGACCTCGGAGTTGACCTTCGCGAACTCGCTGATCGCGATCTACTCCAGGGGCGGCTGGGTCAACGCGGCGGGTTTCCTGTTCGAGTCCATGGGGGAACGGTCCGCCGCCTCGTGGACCGCCCTCGCCGGCGGGTTCGTCAACGCCGGCGACCACGCCGGAGCTCTGGAGATCTTCAACCGGATGCGCCGCTCCGGTCTTGCCCTCGACGAGGTGGCCGTCGTGGGCCTCGTCTCCGCCGCCGCCGCGTCCGCCGACCGACGGCGGGTCAGCGCCGCCCACGGGCTCGCCGTCAAATCCGGCTTCTGCGGCGGCGGCGGGATATCCGCCGCCAACTCGCTGGTGAGCTGCTACTGCAAGTGCGGCGACCTACCGGCGGCGGAGCGGGTCTTCTTATCCATCCCGGAGAAGGAGAAGGACGTCTTTTCCTGGACCGCCATGATCGCTGGCTACGCAGAGAACGGCGGCGCCGCCGATGCGCTGACCCTTTCCGAGGAGATGGTGGCGGCGGGGGTCAACCCAGCGGAGGCGACGGTGCTGGCCCTCCTCGCCGCCAGCGCCGAGCTCGGGTCGCCGGCGGCCGGCCGGAGAGTGGCGGAGCTTGCCGGCGCCGCGGGGCTCGCCGGCGGCCGGAAGGTCCGCACCGCTCTAATCCATATGTACTCCAAATGCGGCGACATCCACAGAGCTCGGGAGGTCTTCTCCCAGATCTCCCGAAAGGACCTCGCCCTGTGGAGCTGCATGGTCAACGGGTACGCCGTGAACGGGATGGGCATGGCGGCGATCGAGCTCTTCGAGGAGATGACGGCGGAGGGCGTTGACCCCGATGGCGCGGTCTTCACCAGCCTCCTCTCGGCTTGCCGCCACGCGGGGATGGTGGAGAAAGGGTTGACTTTGTTCCACAGAATGACGGCGGAGTTTCAGATCGAGCCTGCCGGCGAGCACTACGTGTGCTTGGCGGACCTGCTGGTAAGGGGGGGGCACCGGGGGGCGGCGCTGAGGGTGGCGGCGATGGCACCGCCGGGGGAGTTCAGGGCGGCGGCGATGAGCGCCGCCGGGGGCGGTGGAGCGGCGGCGCAGGAGGAGAGCTGCGGGGAGAAGCTGGTTGTGTTCAAGAGGCTGGCTGAGATGGGGAGGTGGGAGGAGGCGGCGCACGTGAGGAGGGTGATGGAGGAGAGGGGGCTCGTGAAGAAGCCTGGTTGGAGTAGGGTTGAGGATGAGGACGAAGCAGGGCTTGTTGGCTCTGAAAGCCTCTCTGATCATATGCATTGACTTCATTTATTAGACCAAAGTTTGTAAATATTATTATTCTATGAAGTGTGACGTGGACTATTTGGATCCGGCAGTTGACTTCTACTGCGCCGGTCCCCGATTTGACCTTGGGTGTTCTGACCTACTAAACCCATAGCTTAGAGATGTGTGTGTGAGAGAGAGAAAGAGAGAATAGTCAACTGGGTGGGATCCAAGGTATTGACCAATGATGCCCAGCATGAACAGTCAAACGGTGTTATATGTCATCTAAGATTGGGAGGACGACTTCCGTGTGGGACCCGCAGAAATCTACAAGGCTACCATGCGATGTGGGACCATCAACTCAGCTCATCAAAGAGGGCCCCAAGCCCAAAAACATAATTGCCCACAATCTATAGATATAAGAGGAGTATTGCGACGTGGGACCCACAATAAAAACCAGCAAATAACTGGGGCCCACGAGAGGGATTACATTGACCCTCGGGTGGGGCCCAGCTGGGGACATGCGCCACCTCAGCTTTGACACGACCACTCCAAAGAGCACGCCTTCTCTGATGAGCTCAATGAAGATGACTCATGTTGCCCATAATCTAGATACATGTCCACTCAACTTGGGCCCCACAAATATAGAGAGAGAGAAAAAGAGAGAGAGAGAGAGAGAGAGAGAGAGAGAGAGAGAGAGAGAGAGAGAGAGAGAGAGAGAGAGAGAGGGTTTCAGGATTCCTTGGGCTTGACAGAGTAGGGGTACCTCTGGTAGATGGAGATGCTGCCGACGACCAGTGGAAGGGCCGCGAGGCAGTACGCTGATGGGGCCTTCCCGTCGAACACGAACTGCAGAAGCGCCGTCACCAGGAGAGCCGAGACGATGACGAACCCCTACAGATTTATATGCACCAAATATCCCCCTTCAGTGTCGGATAATGAAAAGCAAGATAGAGGAGAGAGAGAGAGAGAGAGAGAGAGAGAGAGAGAGAGAGAGAGAGAGAGAGGAGCCTTACCTTTCTCACACCCCCAGCGTGGGCCGTGACAAGGCCAACAAGGATCCCACCGATGGCATTCGATAGAATCGGAATCTGAGGCAAAGAGAGGGTAATCAACTGATTAGGGGAGGAACTTACAGAAACCTCTAATCAATGCTCACACTTTGAGAAATTATCAACACAAATTCTTTTTCCTAATTAAAATAATTGAAAATTCACTTCATTTCATGGAGCAAAACCCATTTAAAATAATATCACCAGGATTTTTTCCCAAAATAGAAATATCTTTCCATTTCCAAAAAAAATTATATCATGAAAATAATTCCCACTTGATTAAAAATCATGGGATCCTCCCCTCCTTTAGAAAAGTATTCATCAAGATATCGACCCATGTTTCATACTTCGGACCAAAAAAACGCAATAAGAAAACCAATAAAAAATATCATCTCATGGAAGAATCAGAGTAAAAACTCCCATTTTTCTATTTCTCAATGCACCCAAAAAGAAATTATATCATGAAAATAATCTCCACCTTCTTTAGAAAATATTCATCAAGATATTGACCCATGTTTCATATTTCGGATTAGAAAAAGCAATTAAAAAACCCAATAAATTATATCATCATCTGATGGAAGGATCAGAGTAAAAACTCCCATTTTTCCATTTCTCGATGCACCCAAAAAGAAATTCCATCATGAAAATAATCTCCACCTTCTTTAGAAAATATTCATCAAGATATTGACCCATGTTTCATATTTCGGATTAAAAAAAGCAATTAAAAAACCCAATAAATTATATCATCATCTGATGGAAGGATCAGAGTAAAAGCTCCCATTTTTCCATTTCTCGATGCACCCAAAAAGGTAATCAAGTCTGACGAGAATAATACTCTACAACTAAGAGCTCATTTATTTTCAAGACCGATTTTTTTCTGATCCTTCAATTAAAAAGATTCATTCTCTTCATAAGAAAGAATGGTCCAATGGGAACAATAATTTCCAGGAACATTTGGAACATTTCGTATTATATCATGAAAATAATCTCCACCTTTAGAAAATATTCAACAAGATTTTGACCTATGTTTCATATTTCGGAAATAAAAAGCAATCAAAAACCCAGTAAAAAATAGCATCATCTGATGGATGGATCAGAGCTAAAAAAAACCATATCTGAACTAAAAAATATAAATCACCATGGTGAAGGGGGAGAAATGGCAGAGAAGAATCACCACAGTGAACGCCGTCCACCCATGGAAGAACCCATGCTTCCTGATGGCCGCTCCATCCGGGGATTTATTAGTGCTCGCCAACAAGCACAGAGTCCCAAAAACAGACATCTCCACAGTCATAAGGTACGACGTCCGCTTCTTTACCTGTGATGGAAACAGAGAGCGTTTCACAGTGCGGCAAAGTTGATAGGTGCCTCGCTGTTTCTGAGCAGTATGGCGTTGACCTGTGAGGCCCACTGGCACAGAGAGGAAGCCAGACCGGACAGAACAGAAGCAACAAGAACAGGGATTATCCCGTTGACCAGGATCTGATTGGGGCCGGCGCTGCTGACGCCCTTGGTGGAGCTTTCACCGATGCTCAGAAGTATGGCGGCTATCATCAGTAGACCAAGAGCTCCGATTTGCTTTGCAGACTGCTTCTGACTGCGGATCACCCAAACCATAGAAAGGTGTCACAAGGCGAGTTCAGTTCCTGCGAACAGAATTTTTCCATTGTTTCCAATGTAATGGAATAAATATTAATCCTTATTGATAGATCATCTACTGAAAATTGTTAGATACATAGTGTATGTATATGTATTTAGCTCCATTTTCATCAGACGACCAAGGTTTCTGATATAAGAACTGGAGCGCATGGCTGCTATGAGAAACGAGCTGTAAATGTCAGAGAGCTGAATATGATCACTTATGTGACTTGAATACCGGCAAACTGTAGAAAAGTCAACGTGTAATGATAATGCAAGATAATACATTTATAGAAAAGATGAATGCTGGGTGTTGGAGAAATGGGACAACATCGTTGTATAAAATGAGGGAAGCATAGCTATTTGCCCCAACATGGGTGAACAGACGTGTGCCATATCCTGCAACTGACATAAACATTAACAAATAACAGTTCAGACAAACGACAAAGGATTGCAGTAACAAGCAATGGCAATGGTGGTGATAAATGGAAGAGGAATGGCAGCCACAAGGTGCTTACTGTTCTTCACACGTCAATCTTTTACTCTTCTGACCCAAAAAAAAAATTACTTTTTCTTCTACCAAAGGTAGTAAAAAGGCCCTAACAATGATAAGGGAGCTTTAAATGTGTCTTGACAGAATTAAAAGAGCATAACTTGAGCCCCAGGCCCAGTTGAACAATCTTGATCTGAGCTTAGGTACTCAAAGGCTGTATGCTCACCAATTAAGATTTATAAGCATAAATAGTGAGGCCTCCTAGAAAGAAAAGGGAAGTTCAAAACGAGAAAAATATTTCAATTGCTCGATATAAAATGATATGTGATATGGAAAATGGTAGGATAGGGTTCATGTCTCTGAAATCAACAACTAGATGAATTTGATGAACTATTGACATAATAGTTGCCGTTATTATCGCTATTATTAACAAAAAGTTAAATAAAAGTATAAATTTCATGATTATCTCCTCTGTTTTACATCCTTTAATTGAGACAGGGCCTCTTAGTTTCACGAATAGTATAGCTGTTCTGCATATGTCGAGTCCATTCTAATTCACCCTCCATGCCTCTTGGAGATCCATGCATGACGCTGTAGCTTCTACTATAATGTCAATTCTCTTCTTGGGGACATGAATACACAACATAGCAGAGACAGTCCTCAAAACGATGAACCAGTGTTTCCAAGTTTGTGCCATAATACCAAGAAAAAAAGTTAATGCCATGTTAACACCTAGGTAGAAAATCACGACAAATCAAGAACAATAAGATTGAAACCAACAAACCAGGCAACAGATCTTCAAGAGATACAATAGAAAGACAATAATGATATTCTGAGTAGAGATGATGACCAAGATGAAAATCATAAACTCTACACTGGATCTTAGTCCTGGGAAAGCATGAAGTAATGCCTTGCACAGTTACCATTATTCGCTTAGCAAGATGCTCTATAAACTAACATCTGATACAAAAACATAAAAAAATATTAAATTGGGACAAAAAAATGGGAAACACATACCCTAAGATGAAGTACGTAAAAAATGCTGTAAACAATATCTTTGTCTGATTGAGCATTGAGAAAGTAAGCGAGTCAAGATTCTTATATGAAATCTGTAACAAGCTATTCTGCAGAGCGTAAACAGCGGCAGGGAGACCAGATGTTCTCAGGGAGCCCACGAAAGACCACTCTTTGAACACTATCTTCAAAGTACCTTCTTTTGCCAGGACTATCAAGGCACATATAACCTAAAAGACGAAAATAGATGTTAAATGGTTGAGTGGAACAATGAATTAAGTTTTAAAAAATTGATTTCATCTTTTTCAATACACTGCAATATTGTAATGATACCTTGGCAGCCTCGCAAGCTATAACTGATGAGGTTACAATAACATCTTTCCTGTTAAAGTTAAGAGAAAAAATGCTGATATCAGAGCGTATTAACCTATTCATTTCTTACATATCTATGCTACAGAAAAATTTTAAAAAAAGCTTACGGACCAGTTGACATCAACTACAAGTCAGGGAAGATATCCAGGAACTTACTAAAACATTGCAATGTAATGTAGATGCTAGATCTCTGAATTTTATAGAAAAGAACTTACTCAAAAAACCAAATGCATAGATCCCAAACTGGGGGATCGCAAGTAAGACCGCTGTCACTATATTATTTAACAATAGGAATCTATGTCGCAGATAAGATACTATAAATGGTATGGATATTTTCCTTCAAAAATACATAGTAGACAGAGATATAGGACAGCTATTAACTTTATAGGGACAATGCTGAATAACTCAATAAAAAAATTCCACAGCTATGACTAAAAATTCTACTGATAAAAAAAACGGCATCTCATCTAAATATAATGAAATTGTCCATAGTTCTGAGAACATACAAGTATAAAGTCAGTGTGAACAGATGCAATTCACTGATAAATTAAAAAAAAGACCAACTGAGTGAACCAGTGTACAACACAATACTCACATCATTACTAAGAGAAAGACAAGGAGATTCTCGTCCAACCAGAAACCGGGATACCAATTTTTTAATAAAAAACCTGTGTACAAATATTCAATTGTAATATGAGACCAGAAAACAATATGCAGTTGTTTGCCTACATCCCAATATTTTGCTAATTTTCTAAGTTTCATGTACAGAACCAATCCAAAGTCTCTTCAAAAGGACGTGCCTTGAGAGTTCTACGAATTTCAGAAAATCTTCAGCCAAGCACATTCACCAGTGGTGGGAAGCCACCTGAGCCCCCATGCCACCACAAGTAGATTTGGCAAATGGAAGCTAGTGTGCCGCTGGATGTTAAGTCACCCAGCTGAACCAGGCTCCTACTACAACCAACCAGGAGCAGAGATTGTCCGCCATCCGGACCGCACCATCTAGACAGTCTATCAACCGCCCCACCTCCTCCAATGGCTCCTATCTCTAGTTGTAATCAAAGTAACTGCAACTTGTTGGCAAGTGTGTATAATAACCAGCATCCATTTCTAGGGTCCACCAGGTGGTAGTTTCAGGTCCAGATTTATAAGAAACACTTGGGCCTTTTCTGGGGGTTATTACCGGATGTCAACAGCAGGAACAAGAGTGATTCCTCACCTATCCGGGGAACGCCCGAGTATAGATTCCCTATGCTCATGTGAACGATAAGTGAGAGGAAGGAAATTAAAAAAATCGTCAGGAATACTTCATTCAGTTGCTTCCCTGTTCAGATTTCTCTTCTCCCTTCCACCTTCCCCATCTTTTCCTCCTGTATCCGTAAATCTTTCTTCTCTTTCTCTTTAGTGAACTTCTGATTGAAATGAATCACTTCTAACATTTTCTTCAATTTTCATATCTCAGATCTAGAGCTGTGTTCGATCCAATGCAGAGTGGATCCTCAGATCCAATAAATCTTGCTTCCACTCACAACAATTCAATGATGGACGAGGGCTTCCAGAGAGATTCAACATTAACTGCATTGCCAGTAAACTTGGAGGTGAAACTCAACCGAAGTTTAAGGTTAGTCGGGCAAGAAACATCAACGAAGCCTTCAATATTGCCACGATTCATGAAGAGCTTTGCATAGCAGCAAAAGTAGAGGATATCAGGAATGCCAAGGAGATGGAATTAACAGAAGTCCAATTGCGTTCACAGAAGGCTGAAGAAGCAGAGCCTTATTATTAGGATTCAGAGAAAATCTAGAATTAACTTGCTACCTGCTAAGAGCCCAAGATGTTACCTCCTAAGAGAAAATGGGATCATTCCACTCCTCTTAAGGAGAAAACTAGAACAACAAAGTTAAGTTCCTATCGGCATATCAATCTTCAGAGGGCCACAATGACAGACTTAAAAATTTCAGCAGCTACCTAACATGGTGTACTCAGGAACCTGAGTAGAAAGTCTTCTGTCTCACAATGCAAGAGCATGACACAGCCAAAAACCATAACCGCAGCTCAATTAATTCACATTTCATCCATAAAACCGCCAACTAATTTGGATAGCAGCAGCACCCACAAGGATCAATGACCAGTAATCGGTCCGAAAATTATTGACAACGCAATCCATCCCCGTACATCACTACCTCCTTCTCTTCTAAGCCGAACAGATTACACTGATCTAATCACGAAGGGAAAGGTCTCTTTTCTCTGTCATTCTCATGACGCAGCAATCTGTCAACCAGTACCTCAAAAAACCAAAAACCGGACAAACCATGGGACAAGTTTCCAAGACTACATCGAGGAAAGGAAATCTGGCGGCGGAACGATGGAGCGAAATAGGGGAGGGGAGGTAGAGTACCCGGTAAAACGCTTGGACAGCAAGGGCTGAGCCCCGTACTGCAGAGTCAGGAGGCCGAGGAAGAGCCAGATCCTCGGGCTAAGCGGCGCCAAACCCTTCGTCGCCGACCTACTCCTGCCGGCGTTGGCCTCCTTCCGGCGTCCCGCCGCTCCGGCGGCCATTTGAGAAGCTTGGTAAGGGAAATGGTGAAGGCGACAACGACCCAAACCGTGCGCCGTTACAGGTAATTAACGGAAGGGAATATTCACGTAATATCCTATTAATAATATTATTTATATAATTATATTTATTTTTTCCATGACGATAATACCCTCCTGTTATTGAAAGGAGCCTACCTCCCTCTAGTGGAGGAGGGTAAATCAGTCTTTCTTTTACATTAGCTAATACCATCAAGTTTTTCTACTGGTAAGGACATAAAAAGAATTAAGTTAAATATACAAGGACTCATTCATACATTTCCAAACAACCTGTTAAATATACGTAAATTTCTGGTATTTTTGTAAAATACAGAATTAGAATTAAAAAAAATCCACCCTTATTTCTTCTCATGTGTGCAACCTTTTCTTTCCTTAACTTTCGTTTTTTGACATTTTTCTTATGACTGCAAGACTCATTCATAAATACACGTAAATTCCTGGTATTTTTGTAAAATACATAATTAGAATTAAAATTTTCCACCCTTATTTCTGTCTCATGTCTGCAGTTTTTTCTTTCTTTAAATTTCTTTTTTCTTTGACAGTTGTCTTAGAACTGCAAGACTCATTCATAAATTTTCAAAAAACTTATAAAATACACTTAAATTTATGGTATTTTTTTAAAATATATAATTTTTTCCTCCCTTATTTCTTTATCACACGTGCAACCTTTTCCCTCTTTTTTTTTGACATTTTTCTTAGAATTTCAAGACTCATTCACACATTTCCAAAATAATTATTAAATTTCACATTAAATTATGATATATTTTAAAGTACATAATTAGAATCAACTTTTTCCTCCCTTATTTCTTCCTCACGTCTGCAAACTTTTCTTTCTTTTTTTTTGACATTTTTCTTAGAATTTCAAAATGCACAATTTTTTTTTTGAGTTTTTTGTAAGTAAATAATTAGAATTAAATTCTTCCTCCCTTATTTCTTCCTCACCTCTACAACCATTCTATCTTTTTTTTTTTTTTTTGACATTTGTCTTAGAACTGAAAGAGTGTGAACAGATGGATGATAATGACCCAATTTGCAAAGTTTTAAAAGGCTTAGTTAATTTATGATTACATATTTCTAGTTAGTGTTGGATGAGGTTTCTTAACTATTTCTAATTAATTTTATTATTATATTTCCTCAATTCTCATCTATTTTAGGAGATTACCACTAATGCTCATTTCTATGACCATTCCTATTTGGAATGATTGATTAGAAAAATATGGCTTCATTCATTTGATTGCACTTAGGTTCATCAAACAATAATTCTTATAATTTTTTCACATTTCTATGCCTTTATTGATGCATATTATTTGCCTCTTAGGGTTTATGCTCTTATTTCTTTCATTTATTCCTAAATAGGTTAGTATAACTTTATGTTGACAATTAATTGACCATTTGGTATGTTTGTCAACTACCAAGTCTAGTTATTTTGATTATGGTGAATTTTTCCAACAAAATGGGAAGGCGAGCTGTGGTTTCCACATCAGTCTAGGAGAATTATTTCATTATGACAAAAAAGTATCTTCAGGTTGCTTGAGTCGGAGATGGGTAGGAGGGATTTGATGTGCTAGTGGTGCCACGTGGAAGAGAAGTAGCTGCCACGTGGTAATGAATGGCCTTTGGCTTCCACGGTCAAGGGCTCAATTATTGTGCATTAAGAGCCAATATTTTGTATTTTGTAGTGCCCAAAAATTCAAACTCCGATGTTGATGACTGTTGGGCTTTACAGTCTGACGCCCACTGGTGTGGACCCTCACCATTTATCAGCTGCCACGTCAGCCCGGCAGCAAAGCATCCTCTCCATGTGTTCTACCTACCGAGCTCCGAAGCGTTGACCAGCGGGTACTACCTCCTCGAATCGCCTCCGCCTTCCGACGTCCTCTTCATCATCATCATCTTCTTCTTTTTCTTCTTATTCTTCATCGTCGTCTTCCTCTTCACCATCTTTTTCTTCTTCTTCTGCGCGATATCGGAGGGGGAGAGAGAATGGCGGGGGGAGGGTTCGCCGGAGCGGCCACTGCCGTGGACTACGGCGGCGCGAAGATGACGGCGTCGGTCATCATCACCTGCATCATGGCGGCCTCCGGCGGCCTCATCTTCGGCTACGACATTGGGATATCAGGTCCGCTGACCCCCCCTCTCTCTCTCTCTCTCTCTCTCTCTCTCTTTCTCTCACTGTGACACCGTTGGATGCTTCTTTACGTCTCGGCAATAAACTGACGCCGGCGGCGCCGCCGTGGACCAGGTGGGGTGACGACGATGGGGCCCTTCCTCGAGAAGTTCTTTCCCAAGGTCCTCCGGCGGATGGCTGCGGCGCGGCCTGACAGGTACTGCATCTACAACAGCCAGTCCCTGACGGCGTTCACCTCCTCCCTATACATCGCCGGCCTGGTGGCGTCCCTCGTCGGCGGCCGTCTCACGGCGGCCGTCGGCCGGCGAGCTCTGATGATCTCCGGTGGCGCCTTGTTCCTTGGCGGCGCCGCCATCAACGCCGGCGCCGCCAACTTCGAGATGTTGATCGCCGGCCGGATTCTCCTCGGATTCGGCGTCGGCTTCGCTAATCAGGTGAGTGCCCAGAAAAGTAACTCCTCCCACAGATAGAGAGTGTAGTGAAAAGTGAATCCCGCATCTTTTGAAATTCTGACAAGGCACTATACTATAGTGAGATGGAGGGAGAGATATATATATATATATTATAATATTGTATAATATATATAGAGAGAGGGAGAGAGAGAGAGAGAGAGAGAGGTGGAGATGGGGAGAGAGAGGAGAGGGAGAGAGAGGGGAGAGAGAGAGGGGAGAGAGAGAGAGAGAGAGAGAGAGAGAGAGAGGAGATTTCTACAGTTGGTCAAATGAGTGTAAAAGGAAACATGTTAACGCCGGTGTGGTGCACAGGCTACGCCGGTGTACTTGTCGGAGATGGCGCCGGCGAGGTGGCGCGGGGCGTTCAACACCGGATTCCAGCTGTGCCTGGGCGTCGGTGTGCTCGCTGCTAACCTCGTGAGCTACGCCGTCATCCGGGTCAATGGCCACTGGGGATGGCGGCTGGCCCTCGGCCTCGCCGGAGCTCCCGCAGTGGTCTTCCTCGTGGGCGCCGCCATCGTCTCCGACACTCCCAGCAGCCTCGCCGCCCGCGGCCGCATCGACGCCGCACGCAGGGCCCTCCGCCACGTAAGAGGCCCCAACGCCGACGTGGACGCCGAGCTGGACGGCATCCTCCGACACCTCAAGGTCTCGAGGCCGTCGGAGGACGGCGGTAGCAGCCCCTTCCGGCAACTGCTGCGGCGGCGCTACCGCCACCACCTCGTGATGGCGGTGGCGATACCCTTCTTCCAGCAGATGACTGGGATCAACGTGATCGCCTTCTACGCTCCCGTGCTCTTCCAGGCCGTCGGATTCGAGGGTAGCTCCGCAGTTCTTGGGTCGGTGATCCTCGCCGCCATCAACCTGGGGTCTACTCTCGTGTCAACTTTCATCGTCGACCGTCACGGTCGGAGGGTGCTCTTCATGCAGGGCGGCGTCCAGATGTTCCTCTGCCAGGTAATAGCAGCCTCTCTCCCTCCCTCTCTCTCTCTCTCTCTCTCTCTCTCTCTCTCTCTCCCCCTCGCTCTAGCTCAAAAGCCCCCCTGCCCAGATTTCCGTCTAACCTAACGGCGCCGCCGTGGGCGTCCGTTGTTGAAGGTGGCGGTGACGTGCGTGCTGGGGGTGATAGTGGGCAGCGACGGCGGTGCTCAGCTACCACGCGGCGGGGCACTGGCGGTGCTGGTGCTGATGTGCGTGTACGCCGCCGGATTCGGATGGTCGTGGGGGCCGCTGAGCTGGCTGGTGCCGAGCGAGATCTTCCCCGTGGAGATCCGATCGGCGGGGCAAGCGGTGTCCGTCGCCGTCAACCTCGCCGTCAGCTTCGCGCAAGCGCAGGCCTTCCTGGCGGCGCTGTGCTGGATGAAGTACGGCGTCTTCGTCTTCTACGCCGGTTGGATCGCCGTGATGACGGCCTTCGTGGCGGCGTTCCTGCCGGAGACGAAGGGGGTGCCTCTGGAGGCCATGGAGGGAATGTGGGCGGCGCACTGGTACTGGAAGCGGTTCGCCGGGCCGGAAAGCTCGCCGACGGTGAAATCCTCTGCATAGCCTCCTCTATGTTTTCGGCATGTGAGGATTGCAGGCCCCCCAAAAAGGTATCTACTAAATCTGCATAACTGGCAAATTCTAGTGCCATCATAAACTGTATACAACCACATGATATACGATAGTTCATAGTTAGTGCATGATTTGTAGAGATTGGAAATATTTAGATAGTGCCTCCGAATTTCTGTCATATCACAATAAAAGTAATTAATATCACAAATAATTTGTGATAGCCAAGTATTATAGTAGGCATTGAGATAAAGGTTTGCAATGAAGGGGCTTCTATCTTCGGCTCATGAATGTAGACTTAAGTCAACCTCTGTGGTGTATGAAGTCAACGTAATTTCTTGTATACTTTGCCTTGAGAGTCCTCCCCACTAGACAAGTTAAAAAAATTATAATTAGTTGGTGAATTCTAAAAAGAAATATTAGCGTAAATATTAAGGTCATTTTCAAGTTAGTAAACTTTATACATGCAAGAATATGATGCTTATTCATGAAGAACTAGCTAATAGCGTTCTTTGCCACTTAGTGGTTAGTGTTTTGGTTTCTCTAAAATCTGCCTAATTGGTAAGAATCTTACAAATATCAAATCTTCTATGAGATTTTTGTTTTATGGATTTTCTACTTTGAATATGGTATTTCTATTTCTACGACAATGAAAATGAGAAGGGAAGAGTGGAGAGGGAGGAAGGATATATAGAGGAATTGATGAGAGATCTTCATGATGTAAAGAGAGAGAGAGAGAGAGGGAGGGGAGGAGAAGTTCATGAGAGAGAAGGAAAGCTTTTGTTAGTAGAGAGGAGAAAGGAAATTCCCTACTCTCTTTAGTGGAAGTCCTCAAGTTTTTGCTTTTCATCAATTCTCTCTTATAATAGGAGAGAGTTACAATGTGTTATCAAAATACTCTCAACAATATACCCAATACTCTCTTTTCAGGCTGAACTGTAATGAATAATCAAATTGAAATCAAAATAGAAAATAAGAATAATAAACATACAGCTTAGTGCATTAAACCAAAAGGAATGAATGAGAAGGAAGAAAAACAGAGCGAAAGTTCTTCTATGTGATTTTTGACATTGATCTAAAGATTGAGTATAAACGTAGTTTATTATTAATGAATAATAAATATTGAGAACTCAAGTCCTTCATTAGTATATCTGCTAGTTGATTTGTTGTGCTCACATACGATAATCAATAGTGCTAGAATATTTTTCTTTTATAAAATTTCTATCAATCTCTATATATTTTTCGGATCATGCCAAACATAATTATAGAGAATATTAATTGTTGTCTTATTGTCACAATGTATTTTACGAGAAGAAAACTTAGAAAGCCCAATTGTAATAGTAAAATTTGTAATCATAAAATGTCATAGGTACCTTAAATCACTATTATGAACTTTACTTAAATTGTGGAATGCACAATCATACTTTGTTTCTTACTTCTTGATATAAAAATATTTTCATCAATAAATGCACAATATCCTATAGTAAAGTGTACATCATCTATAGATTCAGTTTATTGTACATTAATATAACAACATATTTGAACATTTTCATGAGCAGAGTATAGAAGACCATGACCAGGGCATCTTTTGAAATATCAAATTATATGGATTATGACATTCATGTGAGTAGAGTAAGAGTCCTTCATAAATTAGCTAGCCATGCTCACAACATAAGCAATATTTGGATGAGTATGTGAAAAGTATATCAACTATCCCAAGAATTGTTGACATTACAATTTATCAACATGTTATCCCATATCAATTGGTAAATGATGAATTGCTCTCTAGGAGTGTTGACTAATCTACAGCTCAACATGTCAATTTCCATGAGAAGTTCTGAAGTGTATTTTTTATGAGAGAGAAAAATACCTTTAGGAGATAGAGTGACTTCAATTCTAAGAAAATATCTTAGTTGACCAAGGTCTTTCACTTCAAAAGTTTGGGCCAACTAGATCTTTAATTGATTATTTTCTCCAATATTATGTCAAGTTATGAAAATGTCATCAACATATATGATTAAAACTATGATCATATTCAAATTATGTTGAAAGAAGAGAGGATGATCAACAATACTTTACTTATATTCCATATCAAAGATAATTTTCTTAAAACAATCAAACCATGATCGAGTAGATTGTTTAAGACCATAAATGGATTGTCTTAAATGACATAACTTTCAAGTTGTTTTGATAGTAGCAAATCTAGGTGAGATCTCCTTATGTATCTCATCTTGTAAGCAATGTATAATTTTCAAATTGTTTCCATGAAGCAATGTATTTTTTACATCAAGTTTAAATTTATTTTATCCATTGTTAGTAGTAGGTGATATAAGGAATCTTGCTGAATTCATCTTAGCAACTAGAACAAATATTTCTTCATTGTCCTTGCCATACATTTGTGTATAACTTTTGATGTTTACTAAAAAAACTTTATATTGATTAAATGAAGAAACTACTAGATTAATCTCAACATGGTTCTTAATTCACTCATTGTCTAAGTAATAGAGCCCGTTACACATTATATTAGTCTTAAATTTCTTCCTAGTCTTGAGCTCTTGAAAGATGTAGTGGGTTCTATAGAAGATTGCTATACAATTAAAAATCATTAGTGGTAGAACTAAGAGAATAAATTAATTAGAAAATAAGGAACACAGATTGATGATAAGGACACTACTAAGCTAGAACTTATAGTCGAATTACTAGTGATAAGAGTAAATGAACCATAAACAAGTGATACTTTATCGTGGCTAGAATATGGAGTATAATAGAAAACTTTGAAGTGTCAATAACATGACTAGTTGCCTCAAAATTAATTATCCAAGGGAAAGATTCAATGTAAGTAAGGACAAGAGTGTGACCTTCAATAGTTTTTTGAGCTAAGTTCCTCTAAGGTGTAGTTGTGGAAGATTGTGCTAAAGAGACCTTTGTAGAATGGCCATCATATGATACCTGAAAACTAGGTCTAAATTTTTGGAGCTGTAATTAATCTATTGAGAATTATCCAATCAAAGAATATAAATCACTTTTAAATTATTTTGAATCCCTCGACGATCTACCTCCATCCCCAAATGAGCCCACGACCACAAGCCTTAGAAGGCTGCCCATGCAAGTCATAACAATCATAACTTTGCGATGTTTTACAACTACTTGAGTGAGATGAAGGTTGCACTACTAACGTTGATCTAACCACAAGAAGTTGACATTTTACATATTTTTTGAAGATTATAATATCACTAGGATGAGTAGATATTGCAATAAGTGCACCACAAATTATCCACTTGACATAACTCCTAATCATTTGCTAGCAAGGACATATGTTGTTCAGTTTAATTTTCTACCATGTTATATCATGATGAAAATGAGAGGTGAAGAGTAAAGGAGGAAGATATATAGGAGGAATAGATGAGAGATGTTGATGAGGGAAACATAGAGAGTGGGAGCTTCAGTAGAGAGGAGAAAGGAAATCCCCCACCCCCCCTTTTTCTATAGAACTCCTTAGCTTTTATCATTTTTGTTAAGTCCCTCATAATCATAGAGTCTTATAATATGTTCCTAAAATATTCACAACAATACAGGTTATACGTAAAGTTGGGGTCACATTAACTTAACCCTTATTCCTCAAATTTGATGAAGCAAAGCTGTAACTATGTCACTAGTCTATTTGATGTACTATGAAGAATGGATGAAATTAGTTCACAATTAGATTCTTTTGCTTCAAACTATCAACCCACAATAATAAAAATCTCATGGTACATCATTCATTATTAGATATATGACTTATAAGTCTTGGTGAAATATTATACATTAGGAATATCTACTATTAACTCTTGATCACATAGGACTTTGCTTGCTATATTGGGTTGTTCCATCCATAAGGGTGCTCTTAGATGACTCATTAGGTTTTTTCTCCCATGTTGAAGGAGAGATTTTGGTTAGGAAGTCAAAAGATAAATTGATCTACCATCAAATGAGGTGAAAGTTTCATTTTTCTTAAGAAAGTCATATATATATATATATGGGTAGAGAGAGAGAGAGAGGGGGTTAGGTGGGGGAGTTTGGCTCTTTCTCCCTACCTACACCCCCATCCTTCCTGGATCTACTTCGGCACTGAAGGGTTTCATTGTAGTCTCACTTTCTTCTTCCGCTCTCCCCTGCATTTGACCCTTTCCCACACTATCGGCATCTGCGAGACCCCAGAACTCTCCTGCCGCAGCGGATGGCCGGTGGAGGCTTCGCCGCCGCCAGCCTGACGGCGGACTACGGCGGAGGAACGATGACGGCGTCGACGGTGGTCACGTGCCTCATTGCGGCCTCGGGCGGCCTCATCTTCGGCTACGACATGGGCATCTCAGGTCAGCTACTCCCCCCCACATCATCTTCGTCCGGAGAGCTTCCAATTTCAGTCTGGAAAACCTAATTGACGCCATCGCCGGCGGTGATTTCCAGGTGGGTTGACGACAATGAAGTCTTTTCTCCGAAAGTTCTTCCCCTACATCCTCAGCGCGACGGCGTCGACGGCGTCGTCCGATGAGTACTGCGTCTACAACAGTCAGATCCTCACTGCCTTCACTTCGTCCTTGTACCTCGCCGCCCTGTTCTCGTCCCTGATCGCCGGCCGTTTAACGGCGATCGCCGGCAGGAGGGTCGTCATGGTCACCGCCGGAGCCCTCTACCTCACAGGCGCCGCCATCAACGCCAGCGCCGCCAACGTTGTGATGCTCATCGCCGGGCGATTTCTCCTCGGCTTCGGCGTTGGGTTCGCCAATCAGGTCCTCCCATTGGCCCTCTTGGAATCAAGTTCATATTAGTCTAAACCTGCCATTTAATTATTGACTCCAATAATGTTTTCACCCCCCCGCTTACGAATATAAAAACTGGTTTCCATGTGGTAAGCCATCTTGATTGGACAGTCCGTAAAGTAGCCAGGGATTCGTGAGGCAAAATGGAGAAATGAGTTTCGGTTGTCATTCCAGGCTACGCCGGTGTACATAGTGGAGATGGCGCCCGCGAGATGGCGCGGCGCCCTCGTCGCCGCTTTCCAGCTGTCCGTCGGCCTCGGCGTCCTCACCGCCAACCTGGTCAACTACGCCGCCAACCGGGTCACTGGTGAGTGGGGATGGCGGCTGGCCCTCGGCCTCGCTGCCGCCCCCGCCGTCATCTTCCTCGTCGGCGCCGTCGTAATCTCCGACACCCCCAGCAGCCTTGTAGCACGCGGTCGTCTCGACAGCGCACGAGAAGCCCTCCTCCAAGCGCGGGGTGCGCACGCCGACGTGGATGCGGAGCTGGAAGACATCCTTTACCACCTGGAGGCGCGGCAGCGGAAACACGGCGAGGAAGGCGGCGGCGGCGCCTTCCGGCGGGTGCTCTCCCGGCGGTACCGTCACTACTTGATAACCGGAGTATTGATATCCTTCTTCCAGCAGATGACCGGGATCAACGTGGTCGCCTTCTACGCGCCGGTGATGTTCCAGACCGTCGGATTTGCCGACGGCTCCTCCCTGATGGCGGCGGTGGTCCTCGCCGCCATCAACCTGGTGTCAATCCTCGTGTCAACCGTCATCGTCGACCGTTACGGCCGGAGGGTGCTCTTCATACAGGGCGGCGGCCAGATGTTCATCTGCCTGGTGCAACAACTTATCCATATTCTCGGTCTCTTTATATAATCAGTCAATCAATCTATGGGGCCGTTCTTTATATAATCTGTGGGGATATCTTTTGGGTTGAAGGTGGCAGTGGGGTGTGTGATGGCGGCGACGGCCGGGGGCGACAGCGGCGCACTGGCGGTGCTGCTGCTGACGTGTATCTACAGCGCCGGCTATGGGTGGTCGTGGGGCCCGCTGAGTTGGCTGGTGCCATGCGAGATCTTCCCCGAGGAGGTTCGCTCGGCGGGGCAGGCGATCGTCATCGCCCTCAACCTCGGCGTCTGCTTCGTGCAAGCGCAGGTCTTTCTGGCGGCGCTGTGCTGGATGAAGTACGGGCTCTTCCTCTTCTTCGCCGGTTGGATCGCCGTGATGACGGCCTTTGTGGCGGCGTTCCTGCCGGAGACGAAGGGGGTGCCGCTGGAGGCCATGGAGGGCGTGTGGGCGGCACACTGGTTCTGGAAGAGGTTCGCGCTGCCCCGTGACTGACCCGCGGCGACATCCTCTGCGTAAAAGTCTCATCTTTTACTGGTGAGGAGCGAAGAAGATACGACACAAGCCCATTTAGGAGAGATCTTCGTTATTATTGATTCTGTCATTTGCTTTGTTTCTGAACTTTGTAAGTACTATCGTAATCCTAATACGAGAGCGGAGAAGAGATTAGTTCGAGTTTTACCTCTTTCGCTCCGCAAGGAGAGGCCGTGAGGGTCGCTTATCCATCGCCACCGCCCGTCGCACAGCCGCCGTCTTCAGCCACCGTCCGCCGCTAGTATCCGCCGTTTGCACCCCCCGCCCATTATCGTCGTCGCCGCCACCGTCCGCTGCGACCTTCCGTCCCGTCACTCCTACCGCCGTACGCCATCACCATCTGCCACCGCCGACACATTCCCTACTTTCGCCTCTGCCGCCTGCTGCCACCCTACGCCCCGTCGCCGCTCCTGCCACCTTCCCTGCCTCCGCCTCCGTCCGTTCAGCCTGTTCCGCCGCCGCCGCCGCCGCCTTCCTTTTCCATCCCCCCCCTCACTTTCTCCCACCGGCAGGGCTTAAAGCCCGGGCTCACGGTGTTGCGAACCGGTGGACCAAACCGATCCGGTTTAGCACGAACCGATCGTCCGCTCACGGTCCGGTCCTAGCCGCTCCGACCGCTTGGCCCAACCCATCAGCTCCACCGCCTATACCATTTGGACCTTCTGATCCGTGTCGCCCGTCTCGTTAGCTCGAGTCACAGTCCGCCAGTCAACTAAGTCAATGATCAACGATCAACGTATTTAATTCATGTTGTGCTAAATAAATGAATTATGAATATAATGGCTCCACACCATTTCATTCTTTTGACCCGAAGTCCTAATAGTAGATATTGTTACCCTATCATATTTATACATATGTATATACTAGTTTATTAAATAAGTAGGCATCATTTATCTAAAATCAGACCGAAAATTATACTTATATACTCTCAAATTGGTGTACATTAAGTAATGCCATATGAGTACGATATATTTAATCATGCAAATGTCAAACTTATTTTCCTGAAACATTTTAGTAAATAGAATGCGAATGAAACATTAAGACATCCTTACAATAGCAAAATACAATTGTGCTACCATTTCAATCATGTAGAAGAATATTTGAAAGTAAATAATGAGTCTTACAATCATAATCAGATGTTAGATATCATTATTAAAACCATATTAATCAATACTAATCAATTAATATATCAAACAATTATATTATTTCTAGATGTTAGATTATAACTCTATAGTGAATTTTTGGTAGAGGAATTAATAACAAAGGAGTGAAGAAAAGCACGAGTTTATAGACAATCTAATGCTTTATATAAAGTAATAATGAATAGTGCCTATGGTTGGGAGAGGCAGGAAATAAGGGCTTTGATGATAAGAGAGATCATACTTATGAATAAATCGTGAAGATATGAGTTATTTCATTTGTAATTGGGAGAATACAAAGGGTTGATTGAGAGGTACTGGGCGATTGAAGATAATTTGGCCAACTTTTCACTTCACAAGAGTAAAGAATAATTATGAAGAACATAACTGCAAGTGTTGATGGGCTTGGCTTGATACCTCCAACTTTTATGATAGAAGGGGAAGTCAAATGTGGGCCTTGATAAGATGCCCCAGAAATAATTTCAAGTCTACTATATATTCTACAGTATGGAGTTGTTGACAAATTAGAGGTTAAAATAAGGCATGGTAAATGATAGGATGAGCTGCAAATAGTTGGAAAGGTAGATGAGAAGGAGAATGAGATGCTTTGGTAAAAAAGTGGATGACATTGTGTATGTTATGTCATGTCATGTCATGTGTTCATCTTCCTACCTTCCTACATCACATCACCTTAGTGGTACATATCCTCACATGGGTATCTTAGTTCATTTATACAGAAATTGATGCAAGAAATGCAAATGAGAAATGTTTTTTACTCACCTTCAAATTGTTGGATTGTATGGCACACATATTTAAAAAGGGTGGAGAGTTTTATTTTATATATTCTTTGATTTTAGTCCACTATTTCTAAGATCTCTGATCTTCTCCATTAAATTCGAAACACTTTTGATATTCTTAGATCTAAAACTAACTGACTCACATATTTTGAAGTGATACGACTCCCTACCTATGTATATTGTTTAAGAATAACCTTATTCTTGAGTTTCATTTGACTAATGGTCCTCTAAGCACAATCACTACTTAATAGACTTAATTATCATATAACTTCACATCAAAATTCTCTTTCTAAATTCATGAATTTAGGTGGTAAATAACTGATTATAAGGTCAGCTCCCTTTAGTGATTAAATCAAGATTTAATTAAAAAAATAGCTAAAAATAATAATGAAATTCCATTATGGGATGTTCTAGAAGAATATATTGATTTGAGTATATTCAGAATTCTGATGAAAAAGAAGATGATGATGGAGACTTGATTTTTACTATACTTTCTTATAAGGATTCTTGTTGAATGTGAAAGGCATTGCAGCTTTGATTTGGTTGAGGAAGATCTTGTGTAACCTGAATTTTGTTGCTTGGCATGTTGTTTCTTTGTCATTTCAAATTTGTGCAGAATTTTCTATTGATGTCCTTGGTTTTGATATTGTAATGTGAATTTTTTAGTGAATATTTATCAAATTTCACATATCATGAGATATTGTGTTAAATATTTAATATTTTTAATAATTATTCAATATGTATGATGTTAGTGATCTTGCAATCTTATGGCTAACAAGTGAATCCAAAGAGTTAATCCTTGAGATTATTTTTATATGTTGAAACTACTTGAAATGTAGTATCCTAGATTCCACACATAAGTATAAGAAGTCTAATATCAATGCACATGAGGAAATACTTAGAAAATCATGAATATCAAAGTCAATCGTGAGTCTTAATCTAGAATCTAGATGGTGACACAATCTTAAGAAGTTTATGTGAAAAAATATTTGAAAACTCATGAAATGTCAAGGTCATGCGAGTCATAAGCTTAGAACTTTGATAGTGAAATGTTGAAAACTCACATGAGAAAATATTTAGAAACTCACAAAATACCAAAGTTATGCATGAGTCTTGAACATAAAATTTAGATGGTGACATGTTAGAAGCTTATGAGGAGACAATAACAAATCAAATATGCTTATTTGGATTTGACCTCAATAATAAGATTAATTTTTGACAAGAAAAAATAAACCTACAGTTCAAATTTTAAATTAGATAGATGAGAAAATAGAAAATTTTGAAGCACTAAAAAAAGTAGAGCTTCAATAGAGTACAAAACATTACATCAAATCTTCATTTGGTATTAATGGTCCAAGCAACATCTATCAAGAAAGATGACACTCTCCATTAGGTCCAAAGTTATTTGGGTGGTAAAGGGAGAGGTGTTTGGGGCCAAAGGATGAGGTGATGATAGCTACCTGATTGAGCCCTTGAAGGACAAAGTCTTTGAGGAGACAAAACTTGTGTGATTGGGTGGTTGATCCTATTAAAATTGGTATGTATTTTTGAGGAAAACATTAAACTCTAGCAGCAAAGATCTTTCAAGAATAGAAGTAGTCAAGTGAAGGACAAATCAATAGAAAAAAGTCTTGGTGTCTTTGGTGATGAAAAGAGAATTATGAGACAATGTGCATAAAGAGAGAGAGAGCCATGAGAGAACCCACATTGAGAAAGAGAGTCATGAGAGAATATGTATTAGCACATCTACTAATAGGCAGATGTGCTAACACAATTCACTCATATTGGAAAATGAAAATTGACCAAAAATATTAGAAACCCAATTCAGCTCCCCCCCTTTTCTTGGCGTGTCACCTAGCTACCCCTTGAATTTACAATTTCTATTGAAAATATAAACAAGACTCTTGACTTGGTAGAGGGGTCATAGGTGATTGTTCCAAATGAATTATTCATTGGAGAGGTGTTGAACTTATAGATAAATATTATTCAGAAACCTCCCATATTTTCCAATATTTTTTGAGATTTTAATTTCAAAACTAGTTAGAAATTAGAATGGTTAGAAAATCATACACCATGACCTCTAAAGGTTTGGATATCCTCAATAAAAAACTCAAAAAAGACTTTTTTAGAGTATATATTTATATACTCTAAAAAAGTCTACATTTTTTAGCATGTAGATTATACCAGTTGTCATTAAGTAATGCTATTTGGTTGCAACATGTTTTAATCATGTAAATGCCAAACTTATTTTCCTGAAATAACATTTTACTAAATACAATGCAAATGAAAATATTGAAGCATCTTTACAATAAAAAAAATACAATTATGCTACCATTTCAATCATGTAGAAGAATATTCGAAAGTCAATACATGAGTCTTACAATCATAACTATCTATACATACAACACATGAAAAAAGTGATATATTGTTAACATATTAATCAATATAAATCAATTAATATACCAAACATTTCCATTATTTCTAGATGTTAGGTTATACCTTTCTAGTGACTTTGTGGTAGATGACTTAATAGCAAGGGAGAGAAGAATAGGAGTTTATAGACAATCTAGTGCTTTATAATGAATAGTGGTTGTGGTTTGAAGATTAGAGAGGCATACCTATGAATAAATCATGATGAGAATAGAGTTATTAGGAGAATACAAAGGGTTGATTGAGAGGTAGTGAATGATTGAAGATAAGTTAGCCAATTTTGCATTTCATCAGAATAATCATGAAGAACATAACTACAAGTGTTGATGGGCTTGGCCTGATACCTCCAACTTTTATGATACAAGGAGCAGTCCAAAGGGTTACCTTCATCAGAAGCCCTAGAAATAAGTTCAAGTCCCAACTCCTATGAATCTTGGGTCAAAGTTAAGCTACCCAATTTCACATGTTCTATAGCATGCAGCTGTTGACAAATTAGAGGTTATAAGAAGGGATGATAAAATAATAGGATGAGTTGAAAATAAAAGAGGAAAGGTAGATGAGAAGGTGAATGGGATGCAGTCATAAAAGTGGATAACATTCTGTATGTCATGTCATGTCATGTGCTCATCTTCCTACCTTGCCATATCATATCATCTTAGCAGTGTATTTCTTACATGGGTATCTTACTTAGTTCATTTATTCAAAAATTGATGCAAGAAACTTAGATGAGCAATCTTTATTGCTCACCTTCGAATATTTGTATTGTAGTTCATACTTTGATTTTAAAAGGCTGAAGGGTTTTAATTTATATATTCTTTGATTGTAGTCAATTATTTCTAAGATCTCCTAATGTCCTCCATCAAATTCAAAGCCCTTTGATATTCTTAGATTTAAAAATAAATGACTCACATATTTGATTTGGCTCCTTACCTATGTCCATTGTTTAAGAACAACATTATTCTTGAGTTTTATTTAATTGACTGTCCACTAAGTACAATTGTTAATTAATAAACTTAATTATCACATAATTAAGTCTCTTCAAAATTCTCTTTCAAATTCACAACTTAACATATGGTAAAATAACTGATTATAGGGTCAGCTCCCTTAAGTGATTAAATCAATATTTAATAAAAAAATTACCAACGTAAAAAAAATGAAAGATTTCACCATGGGTTAATTGTAGAAGAATGTATCTATTTGAAGTGCATTCTAAACTCCAATGAAAAAGAAGAAGAAGATGATGATGATGATGATGATGATGGAGACTTGATTATTATGATATATTTCTCATAGGGATCCTAGTTGAATGCAAAAGGCATTGACATTTTGAGTTGGTTGAGGAAACATCAAAATAACTTTAACTATTTTTCTGGACATATTTCTTGGCATCTCAAATTTTCATATAACTTTTATATTGGTGCATTTTAGTTTTACTTTTTTTCCTTGCATTACTATCTTTTTAAAAAAAGATTATCTCTAATCAGTGTGTACTTTCTGAATTATTAATTCAAATGTAGAAATGGCACACTTTAAGCAAAGTAGAGTATCCTCCTAAGCATTCAGAGAATAATTTCATTGGGCCTAGAGCCATTGAAAGTCTTGATGAGTTGAGCAGGTTGTGATCCTTGTTTCGTCTAGAATTCTTATGGCCGATGATACCTAGGCATCTGGCTAAGTTCAGGGAAATCTCCATGCAAACATGATCAACATAGGGTTCCACCTGCCACCCTCTAGGTTTTTTTAAGTTAATACCACACACATCATGGAGATCATCTTCCTTAGGTTAGAGAGAGAGAGAGAAAGAAAGCAGCGTGGAGAGAGGGTTTGTGCAGAGGCCAGGGGATATGGAAGGTCAGACCAGGGATATGCTGCTCTCTCCGCCGGGGGGCCTGCGGATGCCACCATAGTACTCCCGGGCTGTGGACTTGCCGTCGGCAAAGATGTTGCTGCCACTCATCTCCCGTAGCTTCGCAGTGCTGAGCGGCTTGTCGGAGGCCGCCTGTGGTGTGTCTCCCTCGAAGATGTTGTTCCCACTGAGCTCTGCAAACTTCTGGTTGTGGATTTTCTTCGAGGTCTTCATCACGGGTTCGTCGGTGAGCACGATGTTGCTCTGCCCTCCGGCTGGCTAGAAGAGGGTAAAAGAGCAAACAATGGGAGCATGTCGTAGATTTACAAGAGTATGCAACAACAACATGCATCAGTCAGTCAATTCACTAAGAGGTTTGATTCTATGAATGAAAGCCTGAAACAGGCAACTTCAGTCCAGAGATGATGTTCAAGCACAGAATCAATGATGCCAATAATAGCAAGGCATGTTCTATGTAATATGATTTAAAAACTTTAGGATGAACACCAATCTATTTATGATCTGCATAGTGATTTTCTAGTACTATGGTCCTGATATTAGGAGATAAAATTAACTCACATTGGATACTTTGACAGATGTGTGTATGCTTCGTGGAGCGGGCGCACCGACATCTTTGCTCTCCTTCTCCAAGATCCGGGCAGCTAGTGGTCTCAATACGATCTCAGGTGGCGGGCCAAAGATGTCGTTTCCACTGAGCTCCTTGGACTTGGCATCTGAAATTTGTTTCTTCAGTTTAGCATCAGACTCACGCTCCAATGTCCCACTTAGCTCCCGCTGCTTTGCCACCTCGGTCAGGGTAGCCGGCTTCTTTGGGGAAACACTCTCTTCGGCACTGAATGATATCTGACTGATGGCGCTGGCTGCTTGCTGCGAAAAGCACGAGCATAGCGTCACCAGATAAACACCGCTCAAAACTAATATACTAGGCATTATCCTTCACTTCCACATATGGTAAGAAGAAGATCTTGCTGACATGAACAGCTCAATCTTATGAGTCAATGGGCAAATACTAGATACCTGGTAAACCTGCTGCCCAGTTGATTCGTCACCATTGTCTCCGGCAAATATGCCACTGCCAGTCATTTCTTTCCACTTAGAGCCCGAACACTGCTTCCTGTAGGTTAACAGTGCAAGGAGATCAGATCTGTATAAGGTAAAGCTGATACATAAGTGAATGTATTTGAATCTATCTATTTAGGAGAGTTCGATGCTGATCACTTAAAAAGTGATCCTCTGATTATAAACATCACCAGCATGTTTGCATGCCTTAATAATTAAATACCCTCCATCACCTGTTTTGAAGCAACTAGCATTAGAAACCCTCACTATATTTGCCTCATAGAGGCTAAATAATCGAGTGACCATGATGACCATGATGCTACAGTACTTCGCTGTATCAAATGACAAAGAGGAGATCAGAAAACTTCATAGAAAAACGCTGTGATTGTTGAAGGCTATGGGCAAGAATCAGTCATACTATGCAGAGTTTTTACATCTACTGATCTGAGGAGCATGGAATGTAAATCCGTATACATAATTTTTTATTCACAGATCTCTGCTGAACAAGGTGAATCTTACTTTGAACTGCGGGTAAAATCTAATAAGTGATGCAGAGTCATTCTGTTCCACATTACAATAACCGGACAAACATAACAGAACAGAGAACTTTGTGTACAAAGATCACTTAGATTGTATACAGATCCTCTTCTTATTTTTTTTGCCACATCGTCATACAAATTTTGATATTGTTGATGAAAAAAAGAAGAATATTTCGATACATATCATAGAAAAGAACATTAAGCATTTAAATCCGTCAAGGCCTTTAATATGATATCAAAAAAGAATCTAAATGGTACTAATGAGAAAATAACATCATTGCCCCCCGGTATGATAACTGCAAAATAAAGAAGATGTGAGCAACGAATTCTTGTGCTTGATGGCAAATGAAGATGCTTCATTTCCAATGATAGGCATCAATAGCATTTTACAAACTTGAAAAACAAGATGGAACAAGAATACACGGGCTATTCTTGTCACCAATTATTACGAAAAACGTCCTAGTCAGTAATTGCAAAAAGAAGTTTTGGTAAACTAACACAATGAAAATTACGGCATAAGTGCATAAGTGTGAAGGAAACATAAAATCACACAAGATGGACAAAACATGACAGACACCAAAAAATTTCAGTGTACTGACAAAGTGGACTTGTTCACGAAAGCAGTGGAGAGGTTTCTTCATAAATAAATAGGCTACGATAAGTTTAACAGGCACTTAGAAGAACGGGTAGAGAAACAGGTGCACTACAGCATAAGATCAGAAAAAAAACAAGGCCTCAAGATCCAAATGCATTCTTGGTGTGATAACATGGAACTAAGTCTGTATTATCATAAATGTGGACAAGGCATAAACAATGTGGAAATGGTATACAACCTTAGTAAAGTCACATTAAAGGAGCAGATATCAATTAGACATACAGTAGTTAGATCCAAGGATAACAATTCGAATTATATAATTCATATTGACGGCGATGACCCATGTCAAATTCCATAGTGCACACTTACATAAACCCACTTAAAAGCAGTGCGTTTTTGTTCTTTCGGAAGGATATTACTTGCATTGCGGCAGTAAATTTTATTTTTTGCTCAGGCACATGACATAGACTAATCTGCAATACATTAATATTTTTTCTTCATTTTTAAAATATATGATGCACAGAAACAATTACCAACCCGTTCTTCATGTTTCCACGAATCTGACATACAGTCCAAATGGGGTGGGAAAAGTTGCATAACAGGAAAGGGATTAGAATGTCTGCGCATAGCACATCATAGACTTTTAATGAGAGACAAACTTAAATGCAAGAGAGATCTTCGAGCTACCATACAAACGTCATAAACATAACGACAGAAAAACAAAAATAGAATCAGTTTTAAAGCATACAATAAGAAAATAATACTTTGTCCATCCTGGGGGCATGAACTTTCATCGGGTCCAACACAAAATCTTCTGGATCTTCACCGGATTCTAAAGTATTCCAGTCCAAAAAAAGGCATAAATACGTTTACAGATGAGCAAAAGTAAATGATTCGCCATGAAATAAACGAGAATGCCAAGTCAAGATGTTTCGGTAACATAAAAAGAAATAGTTTCAGTATGTTTAGCCAGTAACGTCATAATGACGTGTTGAACGAAACGTAATCTAACAGTACACGTCCATCCTATTTTAGTAATTCGGAATCAGGTCGAAGATCATCATATTACACACATAAAAGCACAACCAAAGCTTCAAATACTACCGAGGGGGAAAAAGAAGAAAACGATAGACAATAAAAGACCAGAGAGCTCTGTGACGAAAGGAAAAAACGGAACGACGAGCGGATCGCCGACAGAAGAAACTCAACACACTGTTCGATTCGGAAGTAGAAAGTAGATGAAAACACAACAAATAAAATCGCACGCGACAATGTGGCACATTAAAGGCCCCAATCCGACAAATTACCTAAAGTCGACATCAGTGATCGACTGAGTACCTTAGACAAGAAGGAATAAATATCAGAACATTAGATTTCACCTTAAAAGCAGGGCTTCAGCCTCCTCCTCCGTCATCTCCCCACCAAACAGCACCGACCTGATCCCTCCCGGCTGCAGCATTTACGCATCGAAACGTGAACAACAGATCCTCCATGAAAGAAGAAGCCCAGCGGCAATGCCACAACGAGAGACGACGGAGGAGGTAGCACCTTTGCCGGGACAGTTCGGATTCCGGAACGGGACCCCGGCGAGTCGGCGGCGGGATTCCCCTGTTGCGGATTCTCCGTCCAGGTGAGAAGATCCGCCGTCGAGGTGTGGGACTTCCTCACCGGCGTGCTCCGCTCCATCACTGCCTCCTGCTTTCCCCCTCTCTCTCTCTCTTTCTCTATCCCTCTCCCCCCCTCAACACGCCAGTACTGGCTAATTTTTGTATTCCCAAGTAAGTGCATGCATTATTTAACTAAATAAATAAAGGCTTTTTGAAAACTAAAACTAAAAACCGGGTTATATCTGCAAATAACCGACAGCCGTCCTCTCCCGTCACGACGCTGACCACCGCGATTAACCTTACCTCCAGCCGGTAGGACGTCGCCCGCTCCCCCATTTTAAAAAATTTGAACTGGCGCCACTGCCACGTGGCAGTAGCGGATCGGCAGTCAAAACGCTCCTCCGACCTCACGTGGCCACCGTCAGTTTCCCACGGGAAAGCCCGGTGACAGCATCCAACGGTCAGTATTTCTCCATCAGGCTCCGTCACTTCGTCTTCTTGTGGGCGGAGGTTAGATTCTAACGAAAACTATGTATATCCCTCAGGTCGACCCAATCCTCGGGCCCAGTCCGGGCCGGTCAGGCCCGGCCCGATGGCTCTTCCGGGCTTGGGCCTCAAAGCTAACATAAGTCCATAAGAGAGCAATAAGCGGGCCGGGGCCCGTATTTCATTAGAGTGAACGACCTTCTGGCCCGAAGCCCGCTTTCTTATAGAGTGACTACCTCTTTCGGCATTATAATTAAAATTAATATTATTTTCCGGAGGAAGAAAACGAATAAATGGCACGTGGCGCCATTCTGTGAATCGATTTCCGTGAATCAGATTCCGACGGCCCAACAGCCCGGGCGGTATCCTGTTGACGTCAGGCGTTGATTTTACGGCAACGACGGCCGGCAGTGCGTCCCCGTCGGAGACGACGGCGACGGCGCAGCCGCAGAACCCGTTAAAAGGGAGATATTTTCATGCTTACGTCAATAATCAATTTCATACGCTGTAATTATCAGAGGGCTTTGAAAAATTAAAAAAATGCCATCTGGATTATTATAATGGTAGACATTTGAGCACGAGAAAGAGACTGGTCGATTGAGGGTTTCCGCCCATCACAGAGCAATCCAGATGGGCCTGGGCTCGATTTGGGCCCAGTCAACGATGTGGGGCTCACTTTCCGTGGCCCTCCACCTCCATAATAATGCCAATTTTAAGCCTTCGATTGAGAGATCGAGATGGAGATAGATAGATAGATAGAGAGAGAGAGAGAGAGAGAGAGAGAGAGAGAGAGATGACATACTCTAATAACCATATTTTGTTCGATCAACGGCTTCACCCTTCTCTAATGACAGAGAGAGATAGAGAGAGATGACCAACATCGTTGCACACCATAACCTCTCTCTCTCTCTCTCTCTCTCTCGCTGGAGGTTGTTATCACTGTGCCGTAGTGGACTTACTGTGATATGGGCCTGGATCGTGGTGAAGTGGGCCCATCGTGGGGCCCGCCAACCGTACTGTGGGAACCCATCAGGACACAATCAACGACTGTTTAGAGGGCCCACCGATTTGGGGAGCCGACGGTGACGGGGAGGGATGATCTTCACCGTCCAACTAAAGCTTCGTAAATCTAACGTCAGTAAACGCCCACGGAGGCAGATTGACGCGTGGACTGCCGACAGAAAGGGTCCATCACATCAAGCGGTGGTGCGACTGATTCCTACCACTCTTCAGTGGGGCCAACCCAGGCATGTTGATCTGGGACATTTCGGGACGTCCGATCAAATTTAATCCACGGACGAAATTTAATCCCCGATTTGGAGATCAGGGATATAAAAAAGAAACACATAACATCCATATAAATGACTAAATAATTAAAAAATCGGGGTTATTAATTAAAAAAACATATCAACTTATTAGAAAGATAAAATATATTTATTTGGGGTTGGTGATTAAAAACAACAGATCATCGAATTATACACATAAATTCAGTATATTTTTTAAAAATTCTATTAATTCCATACGAAGATAAATAAATTCAATTAAAAAGGCAAAAATAATTTTTTTGCCATAAATGTTGACAACCAGAAACGGAATTTAGTTATTTTCGTGATCCTTTCAGGTTAAGCGGATCGGAGTCAGCTCGGTTTATTCTCTTTTATGGTTGGGGATTGAGAATCGGGACACGTGAGGAGGAGAACCCCTGACCTGCCTGGTGGTCCCAGTGTGGATGTGGTCAACGGTTCAGCTGGCCTGGTCTAAATGCTGGACACCCATTTCCCTTGGTCAATCTCTCATTCATCTTCCCTTCCTTCCTTATTCGTGTTAGTCAACCTCTCGCTCTCTAAATCTCTCTTCTCGTTTCCGTTGGTCAATCTCTCATTCATCTTCTCTCCCTTCTTCGTGTTAGTCAACCTCTCTCTGGTGGAATGATTTGGATTTAGTGACGATTATTTAATTTTGGAGGTTAAACTAATTATTCCCTCGATCGGTAGTCGGCGTGGGGAGGGAGAGAGAGAGGTGGTGTTTAGGCATGATGGAGATGGGAGCTTCAACCCCACAGCTGTTTCGTCTCTCTTCGTTCTCTCTCTCTCTCTCTCTCTGCCTTTGTCTTTTCTCTCTCTTCCTGCTTTCCAAAAGACCCAGAACCAAAACTCTATCAGAAGTGGTATTGGCCGGATCTGGAGGCTTCGCTTACTTCCCAACCTAACCCCCCCCCCCATCTCCGTCGTCTTTTCCGAGTACTGTATCTGCTATCTGTCTATCTCTCTCTTTTTTCCCTCTCTCACTTTCGTCGAACCCTTTTGTCATCTTGCAGTGGGCAGGCTGCCTTTTCTCCTTCCCCTGGGAGTCCCCCTCGATCTCTGACTGTCTCTCTCCACTCCACCGTCCCCTCCCTGCTGTTCGCTGGGTTTAACATTGACCAGATTCAGGCCGCTCAATCCTTGTTGCGATATCTGGAGGATCTTTCTAGTGGAAATGTGAGCAGAGATCGAACTTTTAAGATAGAAGAAATCAAGACGCACCCCTTCTCTCTCTCTCTCTCCCCCCCTCTCTGAATCCCTCTGCCGCTCCACGGCTTCCGAGCTTTGAGAGATATATGGTTCCTCTCTCCCGGTTGCTTACTCCGTCCTTTCCACGCCTGGAGGAGACCTCTCTTCCTTGTTTCTCGCTCTGGCTTCGTCTCCATATCTAACGACCGCTATGGATTCAGGTAACAGCGGCAGTATTCAGTCCTCCAGCGGCGGCGGCGGCGGCGGAGACGACGATTATGACCACCCAGTTGACTCCATCGCCTCCTTTCTCTCACCTTCCAGCGGCGCCTCCTTCTCCTCTCTCTACCACCACCTCGATCCACTCTCCGGCTACCTCGATACCTTATTGCCGCCGCCGCCTGCCGCGTCCAATTCCGTCCTCCATCCAGACTTATCGTGGGAACGCTCCTTGTCGGCACAGCCCCTGCTGGGCACCTCATCCCCGCCGCCGCCGTCTCTTCCCTCCGCCGTGCTGCAGAGCGCCGCCGCCGCTGCCGCCATTCCCCCTGCCTCCTCACGGGGATCCAAGAAAAGGTCGCGGACATCGAGAAGGGCGCCGATCACCGTCCTCACGACCGACACCTCCAATTTCCGCGCCATGGTTCAGGAGTTCACAGGCGGTCCCTCGCCGTCCTTTTTCCCGCCGCTGCGACCCGCTCTCTTATCCGGCGCTGACATGGCCGACGCCCCTCCCCGCTGTCTCCTCCAGCCGTTCCCACAAAAGCTCCCCCTTTTCTGCTCCTCCTCCTCTTCCCCTTCTTCTGCCACTCCCCCCACCCTCGATAAAGCGGGTCCTCCAAGAACAGTTTCTGCTGCTACTGCACCATCTACCTCCATGATGATCACGAACGCGACCTCTTTTCCTCCGGGTCCTGCTGACCAGCCCAAGAATTTGCTAAACATGGCCAACTTCCAGTTCCTCCACCACCGCACATCGGGAAAGTATGACCCCCCAACCATGGCCAGCATCGCCCCCGAGAGATCCACGCAGGGAACCACGCCGTTGGCATTCGCGTCGTCGCCGGCGGCGGGAGCTTACCCTGACGCCAGCCATGCTTACGCGTCTGCGGGCACTCTTCCAGCCGTATCGGAGATTACGGCGGCGTTGACTGCTGGCGGCGGCGGCGGCGCAAGATTTGATGATCCACTGCGGCTGATCGAGGCTTTCGGCGGCGGCGTCGACGGTGGTGATCGGGGGCAATTCAAGTCCGCCGTCAGGAAGTATGGTAACTCTGATAAGCTGAGGGTGTCGCCGCAGGACATCGAGGCAGAGAAAGGATCAGAGAGTGCTCCCTCAAGGAGAGGAGGTACGTTCGATTCATTGGTCGGTTCTTTACATTGAGAAGATAACGCTTTGATGCGAAAATAGCTAGATATAAAACCTTCGTCCACATCAGTCGCTCTGTTGATTCATTTGTATAGCCGTCGTTATTTGTTTGAAGGCGGGCTTATTTGGTCTGGAATCCTTTCTATCTCATCAGTGGCAGCACGACAAGAGTGAGAGGAAAACCAGGAACCCTAAATGATGATGCGCACTGGTGCAACCCTCTTTCTTCATGCCTTTTCCCCTCACCCCCTCCTCCGCTTCACGTCATGGCAGAAGAATCTCCGGGTGTTTGGACAGTCATAGCGACGGGGTGCCTGTGCTTCTAAGATGTCGGTCTTCTAGAATGACGGAGTGATTAGGGCTTTCAGTTTCCCACAGATGGAATGAGAGCTCACGCTGGTGCAGCGGGTCAACGGGGAAGTGAGTTATGAGAGTAGATTTGTCGAATTCAACATGGAGATTCGCCACGTTTACTTATATTAGGAACCATAATGACAAACGGATGACGTTTTCTGTGGCCCTAGTGTACACATACACATAGATAGACAGACAGATCGATCGATAGATAGATAGAAATATCTATATATATATACAGAGGGAGAGAGAGAGAGAGAGGGGGGGGGGGCGAGCGAGAGGGGGGAGGGAGAGAGTGAGAGAGGGGATGGAGGGGGGGGGGAGAGAGAGAGAGATGGAGATCCGTCCTTCTCCAAGGGGAAAGACCGTCCTTCTCCAAGGGGAGAACTTTGAGCCAGCAGGCACGCGTTGACAGATATTCATGTAAAAGCTCGAAGAACCCGCCTGACAAAATTTTTTAAAAGTTTGGATAGGAGGCCAGAGATACCATTAGAGAGAGAGAGAGAGGGAGAGAGGTATTTATCCTCGCCGTACGTCTTATCATAATAGATGGAGGCAAGGAGTGTGGATCTCTCCTCTCCTCTCCTCTCTATCTCCTCTCTTCCTCTCTCTCTCTCTCTCTCCTCTCGGTCTCTCTCCTCTCTCTGTCACTCATGGATGTACGCGGCATCCCGGTCTGGATCTACGCAATTTGTGTTCAGAGTTCATGTGGCTTCAGTCTAGGGCCAATTTCTAGTTAGTCCTGAAAAGTAAAAGGTTTATTGGGGTCTTATTCCCCAATTAAACGAAGTCACGGATATCTTTTTCTAGCAAAGGGAATCTCTATGTAGTGAAACTAATTTATGACAAAATATTTTGAAATTTCTTTTGTAGTGAAATCTCGAATATATTGTGCCCACTTTTAGAATTTCTATCAAAATTATGTCCCTATTTTACTATATAGGAGTACAAGCTCATATAGTCTCACGATAAAGTGTGAAGTTATTATCTTTGAAATATTCCATACTATTTCAAGAAATTACTAAAAATTTCCCATGAATGGCATTTGGCCGCAATCCACACATAAATGCATACAGTTTCAATTAGTGACTTTCATAATTTAATGCTGTACTGCATCGTATCAGGCATGAGAACAAAAACGAATTTATATACCTATTTCTAATGATTTACCTGCCTTAATGTTACCCTCATCTTTGTAGGTGCTAATGGCCAACGGACGCCCCATCAATGATTCAGTTCTTCTTAGAAATATGCCTAAATTTTTCTACAAATCAAGGAAGCCACAGCTTGAGTCAGTTCTAGTTCGTCAAAATGCCACCTCGTATGAGCATAAGCTCAACTCTAATAGCTACACAGAAGAACCTAGTTCAGTTGTTGCTAATAATGTTATGAACAGATGACTAGAGAACCTTAATATGACTCTAGATGTGATTGCTCCTTTTGGGTTGAACACAGTTTATTAACGTTCTTTAATCAAGTAGAATTGGGATAATTTTGTTAGGCAAGATAAAACTCTCTCTTGTTGCATTTGTATGGATGAGAGTGACCTGCTTATCGGCAATTTGTGTTAAGCGGAATGATCTTTTAACTTGAACAATATTGAGAAGTTGTCAAGCTTACGATGTGAATTTATATCAGATCGCGATCATCTGTACTCCGTTTCTAATGACCAAACTTTATAAAAACCTCTCAAATTTCTCCCCTAATCAGATCCAAAACTCTAGGAATACCACCGACACTCCCCATTGATCAGTGGGCATACCCTTAGAACTCCAATTTTTGTGATGTAAGCCAGCAAAATTTCGTGGATTTCAACGAGAGGTTCTATTGGTTTTACTCATACTCCCTCTATTTTCTTCACATGCCCAAGTAGTTAAGTCGAGGTGCACCATATAAAAAAGACCGTGCCGACAATAAGATCATGATCTTGTGTCAGTTTAGAACATCCTTGACATCAGTTCTCAGGGAATTCGTAACCCTATCGTTGCACTGAATGACTGATCTCCTGCATAACCACGAGCCCATTAGGTTTCTTGTCCTCGAATATAACGGTTCAGTGAAGAAGTTATTCATAGGAATGCCGGTTCCGATCGAAACTCGTCTTGTAGAGTTCGGCACTAAAACTAAGGCATGAAACAAAGGTCGTCTGAGTCAACAAGACTAGTTTTTCATTTTTATTTCATGTGGCTATCCCGTCATCATCTTATATCACGAGAATCTCTCTCTCTCTCTCTCTCTCTCTCTCTCTCTCTCTGTATCTATCTATCTATCTATCTATCTATCTATCTATCTATCTATCTATCTATCTATCTATCTATCTATCTATCTATCTATCTATCTATCTATCTATCTATCTATCTATCTATCCATCCATCTATCTATCTACTTCTCTCGCTCTCTCGCTCTCTCGCTCTCTCGCTCTCTCGCTCTCTCGCTCTCTCGCTCTCTCGTTCTCTCTCTCTCTCTCTCTCTCTCTTTCTCTCTCTCTCTTTCTCTTTCTCTTTCTCTCTTTCTCTCTCTCCCTCTCTCTCTCTCTCTCTCTCTTTCTCTCTTCCTCTCTCTCTCTCTATCTCTTTCTCTCTTTCTCTCTCTCCCTCTCTCTCTCTCTCTCTCTCTTTCTCTCTTCCTCTCTCTCTCTCTATCTCTTTCTCTCTTTCTCTCTCTCCCTCTCTCTCTCTCTATCTATCTATCTATCTACTTCTCTCGCTATGTCTCTGTCTCTCTCTCTCTTTTTCTCTCTCTCTATCTATCTATCTATGTTTCTATCTCTCTCTCTCTCTTTCTCTTTCTCTTTCTCTCTTTCTCTCTCTCCCTCTCTCTCTCTCTCTCTCTCTCTTTCTCTCTTCCTCTCTCTCTCTCTCTCTTTCTCTTTCTCTCTTTCTCTCTCTCCTCTCTCTCTCTCTCTCTCTCTCTTTCTCTCTTCCTCTCTCTCTCTCTATCTCTTTCTCTCTTTCTCTCTCTCCCTCTCTCTCTCTCTCTCTCTCTTTCTCTCTTCCTCTCTCTCTCTCTATCTCTTTCTCTCTTTCTCTCTCTCCCTCTCTCTCTCTCTATCTATCTATCTATCTACTTCTCTCGCTATGTCTCTGTCTCTCTCTCTCTTTTTCTCTCTCTCTATCTATCTATCTATGTTTCTATCTCTCTCTCTCTCTTTCTCTCCCTTCATCTATCTATCTAAGTCTCTATCTATCTCGCGCCCATCCAGACCGGCCCTGGGCTTAATGTTGGTCTTATCTGAATCATGTCTTTTGACTTCTCCACGAGACCAGATCAGGCTCAACCATTGTAGAAGATGTATGGGGTTGGGATGGGCTTACAAGGCCCTGCCATTGGCCTGTCCGTGAATATCTTCGTTGTAGCGGAGTTCTTTTGCTATGCTCACGCTCCCCATTGTTTAGTCGAGACCTGAATTGTGGAGGCCCCACAACCTCTTAAATGGAGTTCACTCCATCTCTTTCTAATAGGAATTGGAATACTTGAAAGTTTCCTCTTGCAGACGGAAGAAAACAGGACAAACGATAATTGGAGAGAGAGAGAGAGAGAGAGAGAGAGAGAGAGAGAGAGAGAGAGAGAGAGAGAGATGTGGTGATCGGAGCTTATATTCTGCTTGCTAGGACGGAAGGTAGATGGTGCCCCCACTTCCCTGTTTATGATACTACTGTCTCTCTTTCCTGAACCGAGCACAATCAAAAATCCGAAGAAAGATCTGGCAGTAGCTGATGACCGATGGCATAGGGGGGAATCGGACCAATGGTTGAAGAACATTTAAAATTGGATCAGCTGAATTTACAATTTAAAATGTCACTACCTGATCCAGCCTTATAACAATGGTCGTGGAAGTCACCATCGTCTCATCAACCATTACTTTGCCGCTGACTAATTGACCACATCAGTCTAGAGGGAGAAAAGCTTCTCACCTCTTCTTGGGAAGATTGATTCAAAACACACCCATGAGAGAGAGAGAGAGAGAGAGAGAGAGAGAGAGAGAAGAGAGAGAGAGAGAGAAGAGAGAGAGAGAGAGAGAGAGAGAGAGAGAGAGAGAGAGAGAGAGAGAGAGAGATGAACAAAGGGACACACTAGAGTTGAAGTATTTTGATGAATATTCGTACATATTTGGAGAACAAAGGGTCACACATGTTCTTCCTTCAAAAATAGAAAAGTTTGAATGATGAGTTAACTCAATAATATTTTAATGTTTCATAAATATATTTATAGAGAGCTAACTTTAATCCAAAATCATGAAAGTGATGACATAGAATATTTAAAGATTTTTGATGATGACTATATGTGTGGAAGGAAATTTCAATAACCTCACATGTTGTGAAATGATTTAACTAATGGTCTTTATTAAGAAAGTTTCAATTATCATTCAATTATTATCAAGGGTACAAAATTTCAAAAAATTGAGTATAAATAAAATAAGAATTTTCCACAAGATAAAATAATTGTTATTATAAGTATGTCTTATTATTTTAATTTTATGTATCAACTGACTTCAAACATGCAACTAATTATAAAAATATGTGAATGAAGAGTCAAATAAAACTGATCTCTATAAAATTTTCTAGATGTTGAATCTTTCTAAGTAAAATAATTTATTTTGAGAAAATATATCATAGATATTGACAGAAGACTAGTTAATCGAATTCATCCAAAGAAGAAGA